TGAGAGTTCGAGTAGAAGACGAAATGTAAAAAAAAAAAAAGGATTTTGTTAAGCCAATGAGCGGTGTCAACGTGAGATTCGCGACATGGGGCACTGTGTAGAAGATAGATAATGTCCTAAATGGCAACAAGTTTTAGAGAGAGAGAGAGGGCTTATTGGCTAGCCCAAGAGGGTAAAGAGCCCACTGCCCACTCCCCCGCTCCTTCTTCCTTTTTTCTTCTTCCTTTTTTCAAAAACAAAAGTTGCTCAATTGTAGAGGATTTTTTTTTTCATTATCTAGAACACAGTTATAAAATCGTGAATTGAAGTTTCTAAATTGATAAATCATAAATCGAGAATCCAATCGTAAAATTCAATAAAAATACCTAAAATTAGTATTTTGTGTGTAGTCATTATAAAATTTTGTAGAAAAATATTATATGTATTGAACGTTGAGTGAGATTTATGATTTACGAAAAGAAAATCATTATTTTGGAAACCTACGAGGATTCCATGCATAAACAAATGCAAATTTTATTGTTTCGTTAGCATAAGTATTACATAACAATATAAATCCTAAATCTTTACGTGTATATATCATACATCATAAAATATAACGTGAGTTGCATTATTAAATGGGCGAACATTTGAATGGCTTGAATCAATAGATGCATATCGAATTGTGATTTATCGTAGTATCGGTAGATTCTCTTGCGATCTCGGAGATTGAAGATTCACCTAATAGATATGCATCATTCACCTTGAGAATCGAATGATTCAAGTGACTCGTGTTCTAGAGGCGTGATAGTAAAGGTTGCGAAGGAATATAAAACACCTTGAGAAGCCCACAAATCCATTAAATCCATGAGTGATTGTAACTCAGTTTAGTTCGCGCATCATCAATGAGATTTGAACAGTGACTTTGATTCTTAAGCTAGTTTTTTTCTCTCATCACGCATCAGTCCCGGGCTGATTTTAGAGGAATTTCATACATAAAGGCAAAGAAATTATATAGTCTGCAATTTTTATTTTGAGTTAATATCACGAAAAACCCTAAAATCGTATGCATATGATAAATTTACCCCAAACTAATTTTTTAACCACCAAAAACTCTAAACTGGTACGCTTATGATAAATTTATCCCAAACTAATTTTTTGACCATCAAAAATCCCAAATTGGTATACCCATGATAAACGGAAGGTAAAACTCCAAACTAGTACATCCGTCAACTGCCACATATAATCCAACTCAGCAATTTGACGATAAAATTTAATAAAAACTAAAAAAGGGTAAATTTGTCACATGTGTACCAGTTTAAGGTTTTTATGGTCAAAAAATTAATTTGAGATAAATTTATCATATATCAGTTTGGGGTTTTTGGTGTTATTAATCCTTTTATTTTATCGTTTCATGTATAATTAACAGTTTTCGTTCTGTGTACAGTTAATATTTTAAAAAATTATAATAAATGCTTTTGACGACTTTTTAATTTTGTATTTTCAGGAAGCGAGACCTTTTGGAAGGCTGCGACAGAATAATGCTGAGGCGCGCCATGTACAAGCGCGTGAACGAGCATCGCCATCCCATCCCATTAATTATATGGACAGAAAAAGGTCAAAAAGATGCTTGAAATTTTGTTTGGATTTTAAATGTGAATATACTATGATCTGAAGAAAAAAATTGAGATGCTTAGCACTATATAAGAATCCGAATGCCGGGCTTTGAAAGTCTTGAGTAAAAAAAGGTCAAAAGAGATGCCAAAACTTCCCAAAACAACAAATAAATATGAAAATGTATCGCGTAATACACGACATGTTGATAATTGATGTACAACATACATTTGAAATTTAAGTTCAGTTTGTTCTAACATGAAATTGTACCAATACCAAAAAAAAAATGAAAAATGTAGGTAGGCAACCCTCTTCGGGCTCACCATTGGCATGAAATTATCTGTTCTAATCACGGCTCATTTGCACTCACAAGGCTCGAGAACTCGCCGTGCTAGTTTGAGTTCTCTTGAGATTTGGACTATGTGTACAACAATCCATATCCAAGAGATGTGAGATTAGAGATATATATGTAAGTCGACATCCCATCTTGATTTCAACACCACTACAGGTGGGTAGCCCCCTCTTGACTTGTCTGCTAAAGCACGTTACCGTTTGCTCTGGTCGTGACTATCCGCGTTTATTTCTTTAATTTGTGTCGTGCCAATAACGAAACTTATTTACCAACGAAACAATTCATGTACGAAGGATGCGAGACTAGAGACGTGTCTGAACTCCACCTGAAAAATCCTTCTTTTTAATGACTATGAATGGTAATATTTTGGTGTTCTACGAGGAGTTTTTGGGTATTTGATACCGAAAAGGAATTTCGAAAATTACAATAAAGAAAATGGTAAAAGTCACAAAAAAATCCTAAATTATGTCCACTGTGATACATTTACCTTTAACTTTTATTGTGACAACAAAAATCTCAAATATGTATGCGTGTGACAAATTTATCCAAAACTTGTATCCGTGTGACACATTTATCCTAAATTTTTTTTGTGACACAAAAAATTTCAAGTTAGTATTTATATGACATATTTACCACATTTACCGTTGCCTAGCAGAAGCAAAAATGGCCCTCTTCTCCTCCATCAATCGCTCTCTACCAAATCCTTTTTCCTGTTTTGGCTCAAAATTCTTATTCTCTTTTAATATTTAAATTCATGCCCTATTCGGGTATATATCAAAACTATATCCGGACAATATCCAGATATTAGAATGAGGTGGTAATTAAATAGATTCGAAGCTCATCCAGGATCTTCTAGAAATTTTTAAAAAAATTATGAAGACAAAAATACCCTTATACTAAATTGAGTAAGCTATCAAAGGAGTAGAAACTTACCTTTCTTCTTTCTCTCATTACCCAAAACTTAAATCGGCTTCCGTTTTCATTCTAAATGTTATCATTTCTTAAACAATTTTCTTCTTTTGTGTTTGTTTTCATGATTTTTTGCACTCAATCACGTGACCGCGTGAGGCAAGCAAAGTGACTAAAGCAAATATCTTATGGCAAGAAGCGCCGCCAATAGTGATCAAGTCTTTCAACAAGATTGACAAAAATATTGGTTGTTTTAAATTGAAAAATTTATGATAATAAATTGATGCTAATATATTTAATTTACGATTGAAGCTAAGTGAAAAATGAAAAAGAACAGTTTATATAATTTCTAAGTATATGATATATATAATTTCAATGTGTAGCTTACTTAATTACAAGGATAAACCTCACCTAATAGAGATAAAATTTCATTGAAGTTTGAGTAATTTTTTTTTTGTCGGAGTTTAGGTTTAAATGTTCAATTAAAGTTTTTTTTTGGTAAGGAATGTTCAATTAAAGCTAATCATTACAAAACATAGAAATAAGAATCTTAGTAGAGTAAAATGGAAAATCAAACAGACTAAAAACTCACGTGACTAACAAATCTGCGGCCGCCACATCAACAGCGATTCTGGGCAGGAATTGTGTGCTAATTTGTTTTTAGTCTACTAAAAACACTAGAGCTAAAGCAAAACTTGCCATCAACAGCGATTTTGGGTAGAAATTGTGTGCTAATTTGCTGTTTTATCTTGGAAAACCAAAGCTAGTCATAAGGGCGAGTTCAACCTTTCAGCTAGAAATGGCAGATGCAAAAGCTCAATCACTCTTGTGATGATCATCTATCTAATGGCTACAAAAGAATCGAACAAGGAGAACGGTGAACCTGAACCTTTTTTTTTTAATCCGTGATGCGAAGATGGATGCAGAGACAAAAATGGCGGACGTGCACGGTGGGAGGTCTGGGATCCAAGTCAATATGAAGGACACCGAGAATCTTTAGCTTCTCCGCCCTAAGGATCCATACATTCGAGTTTGCCCTCCTTCCTATTGGTCTAAGCATGTTTGCTTTTGCCACTTCCAAGCTTTACCCGACTAAGTTCCAGGCCTGCAGCTGAAGGAAGGTCCTTCAGATATATATTATCAGATCAATGATGGTATGTGGAACTCTTTCCTTTAAGTTATTCAAGAGAGGAAAGATTTTCTTCTCAGATGATTTCTGCTGCTACTGTCGTGTATGATACCTAGTGCAAGAAACGGCTTCAGCCATGAAATCAACCAAAGCAAAGCAGGCTTCTTTGATTAAAATAACCTCCCGCATACGTCCTATCAGGGAACCTGTTCTTCTAACTCTTTGAGTCTTGACTTGCATATATAGACTTTCTCAGTAGTTAGCCTCTATCTTTGAAAGTTCTTCTCTTAATGGTGTCTGGAAGTTGGGTTTTCGTGTTTTGCTAGAAAACTTCGATGCAGAGACTGTGCCTTGCAGAGTTTGTAACCTGCACTATTCCAATACCTGGTGGTTATTTAAAGTATAAGGTTAGCAACCATGGGCTGCCTCGTAGGGCCTTATTCTAACTCGACATTTGCACATGTGGGAGATCGTGCTTGAAAATTACGTAACGGTAATATTTTAGATCATGATGAAAGGACTGTGCTTTTTTAGATAAGTAGTAAAATAGACTTCCATTAACTTTTCTCCAATCACTGGTCGCAATAGACAACGTCGGAATGGCATATACATCACATATTTTTGGATCAAGTAATCACTCAAGGCTTTCAGTAAGCCCGTTTGCTATGTCCATATTTATTAAGAATTGATGATCTTTGTTGACACCTGATTTTTGCCGATCCGATGAACCGGTGCTTAAAATGTAAATGGACCAAATTAGTGCGAAAGAGAGATAATAAGATAGAATTATTAGGAAAAGTATATATAAAAATAAAAATGAAAAAGGAAAATTGAGCCGGTTCGACCCGACCCGCTTTTGGGCCTTCTTTGTTCTTTGTTCTGGCCCGATAGCCCCGGCCCAACTAGACCTTTTCTTTCCTCTCTCCAGCTCAGCCCAGCCACTCAGGCCCCTCACTCTCTCTTTCTCGCGCTCGGTCAGAGAAGACAAACAACAGAGAAGACAAAAAGAAAAAAAGTGCAGAGCGGTCTGACACGGGGGAGGCGTCGCGCAGCAGCAGGAGAACGCACAGCAGCAGGGGGGCGTCCCGCGACGCCGAGGATGTCAGGCAGAGGACAGTGGTCCGGGAGCTAGGACAATGATCCTTGAAGGAAAAGAAGCCAAGCAAGAAGGAAGGGAAGGCTGGCCGAGAGCTTGAGAGGGGGGAAGGAGAGCCAAAACCGAGAGAAAATCGGAGGAGAGATCGGGGGAAGTCTGGCTGGATGGGAAAAGGGGAAATTTTTATGGTTTTCCGGTGACTGACCGGAGGAGAGAGTGGTGAGATTTGGCTTGAGAAAGAGGAGTTCCTTCGCTCGTCGCTCACCGGCACGGCTGTCGACTTTTGCCGGAAATCAATTCGTCGATCGTCGTTCGTTCGTCACCGTAGCCACTTCCATCCGCGGGACAGAAGGTTTCAGCGTGGGAACACCGCCATCCGCACAACTACAACACAAGGGGCTTTCTCAGGCATGAGCGATGCATCTCAACTGAATCAAGGAAGCCATTTGAGCAGTATAATGGAGGAACAAAGGTTTCATGGAACTCCTGCTTCATGATCTTCACCAGATCAGCCGTCTTCACCCCACCCCCGGAACTGGGACTTTACTCGACTGTCCAGTTCTTAGGAGAGAAACCGAGAATAAGGAGATTTTCGCTTGTTCGCCGGTGGCCCAACCGAGTCGCCGTCGTTCCCGTCGAAGGTTCCATTTGCCGGCCTCCATTCATCGTCAAAGAAGCCACCCGAACCAGGTAGGTCCACATTTTCATTTTGCTCTGTTTTGGCCCCCTTCTCCTGCCTCTCGGGAGCCAAACACACCGGATCTGTTCGGTGCTTGTCTGGCTCCGTCCATGGAGGATAACGCTCGTTTGACACTCAAAGAAGCTCTTTTAAACGTTTCAGACCGAGAATAGGTCAGGAGTTTTGTCAAAATCAAACCTGTTTCTGCATTTTTCGACCGCACCTAACATGTTTGACAAAATGTCCCAGGGGGACAGTACAAGCTTAGAACGTTAAATCTGGTCATGTGTTTTTTTTAGCTTTTCATTGAAAAATGCGACAATCTTCTGGTGAGATATGGATGTTTAGATCCTTGTACATCACAACTGATCCGAAAATCGCATTGAATCTCACTCTAGACCATTTTTCTGAACTTGCACATCACATGCTCGGTGAAATGTCTAAATGGAGGTCCGAATCACTTTTTGTGGAATCGGTGCTTGGAACTCGATTTTTATGCTTCATTAGTTCTCACATTTGTCGAATGGTGTCTGACTTCGTGTTTTCTCTGTGATTTCTTTCGAACTCCGGTTCGAGTCGGCCATGTGTCCACCTCCCACCCGCTGGAATGCTTTTCGTCAATGTGATGCCTGCGGTTCGAGGCCGCCACCGTAAGTTCGTTATTTTCTATTCCATGTCGTGTATGTTTGGTTGCTTAGGTTTAAAGTTACTCTGGTGGCCGTGAGTTTGGGGGCCGGCAAATCGAGTTTTTGCTCGTCGACTCATTTTCATGGCCGGGGTTAGTCGACGGTTCGGTAGCTGCGTTGGCCAGCGGCGAGGGTCTAGAACCGGTGGCGGTCGTCGGTGTTGGCCGCGCAAGCCGGCGGTCAGGGGGCGATGAGGTTCCCGGCGTGGTCTCGGCTGGAGGCGTGAGGAAGGAGGCTCTCGGTGGGCTCCCAGCGTCAGTTTGTGAGGAATAGAAGACGTGGGGGGAGGAAACAATAAAAAATTAAAGAGAAAAAGAGATAGAAAAAAAGAAAAGAGGGAAAATAAAAAAAAATAAAAAAAAAATTAGAAAAGAAATAGAAAAAGGGGTCCCGGGCGGGTCAGGAGAGCCGGGTCGGATCGGGTCGGAAGATCCGGTCCGAAGTGCTTATTTTATTAAAAAAATTCAAAAAAATTAAAAAAAACTCAAAAAAATTCCAAAAAAATCAGAAAATTAAGAAATATTTAGAAATTAGTTTTTGGATTAATTTCATTAGATCTTAATGTTAATTTCATTTTAGATTTAGTTTAAAAACTTGTAAAAATTGAGAAAACCCTTTAAAAATTTCCTAAAAAATTGGACAAGCCATTAGGGCTTTGCTTTAAAGCTTTTGATTTCCTTTTCTTTTTTAGAAACGATACTGGATCGCAGGTTGATTATTTTTTTTATGATTATCTAGTTGCGCACCTTTGATACATTAGTTGTTATTTTCCATTTATAGCATGGTTAGGTGGAATCTTAAACTTTTTGGATAGGCTGTCAAGTGCGTTAGTTTGCGAACGTTCAAGTTTAGGTACCGAAAGGATACTAGTTAGATCGCTAGTATAATCAAGTCCCCGATCTTTAGAATCTCTGGTTTTCGCACCTATCTAGACGACACTCCCGCGTCTCGATTAGGGTTTCTAGCCAACCCTTAATTATGGCTAGTAGCGACTCCAATTGAATGCTTAGTTTAGACAATTCTCGTCACATGAGGTATGAGGCTTGGAAGCGCATCGGTTCTTGGATTAATGAACCATTTGGTTTGTCCTTCAAATGAATCAATCAATGTTTACATCCATCGACGAATATCTCTTGACCTATTCAATCATTTTTCCCCCGATCGTGACGGGTAGGTCGCCACAATCTTCTAATAATACCTTCTAAGGGATGGTGCCTACAAAATGCGGAACCAGAAGTTCGGATTTTGGAAAAACTCTATCATTTACAATGAACACTTAATCTGGATAAATACAAAACAGCTTTCTAATTTTGGTAGAAAAGTCAAATGGGACTTGTTAGAGGGACTCGTATCAAACCAAACAGGAAGGTATTCTAACCTCACGAGGGTTAAGCAGAAATAGACATCTTGGGCAAAAGCGTGATAAATCATTGTTGATTCAGCAGCGGAAGAACTCCCAGGGGTGATTGACCCAGGGATAGTCACTTAAGTCATCAGTAAATGCTGCTTTCGGATCAATTTCACCAAGGCCAGCTAATATACATAAGATGGAACTGAAAATCGAATTAGGCATTGGAAAGAAAGTCGTTACAATCAATTTCTCATTTGCGGATGACTCTCTGGTAAAGATTGGGTTGTTCTATATTTTGATTGAAACTACATTGGGTGCTTATAAAGGATTAACATGTGAGGGTTTAGCCTCGATGGTAATCAAAGTAGATTTCTTGTCGTTACGGTTAATTTGAGAGATTTATGTCAATGGCTTTCGTCACCTTCATTTTCTTCGTTTCTATATTCACGTGAAAGATTATTTCATGTACTCATAAAAGTAGAAGTTAGTTGGTAGATCATACCCACATTACTTGCTAGACTAAATTTACACGAAAAGACGGATTATGGTGCTGATGCTAACATTGATGCTAACATAGATGTAAACCTTCGGACTGAAAAATTTATATTAAGCAGCATATAATCTAAGAGATAGATAGGTGGTTAGTAGCACAACTATGGTTCAAATCGCATTCTTCAAATGTGACTGAAGACCTTTTCATACTAATTGCCTTTGGCGTGCAGGACAACATAAACTACCGTGCCACAGCTAGTGAAATTCAAAGCCAATTTGGGCAGCAATTTGTTTATATCTAGGGATGGATAAGGAGCATTGGCCATCCTTTGACGGCAAATTAATGAGAAGTCACAATGTGATGGCAGCAATGAGTTTACAATCTATAGTTGTGCACTAGATCAGATCAACAAGAGAGTAAATGATGAGTATGTTAACAGCCGAGTGGGTGAGCAGTGGAAGTTTAATTCTCCTGATTCCTGGATCGCACCATTATAATTCTATAAACACCACCACAAAGTGATCAATTATGCTATGTAAACAGATCACTCTACTTCACACCCTCTTTACCTTGGAAAGATGAATGTAAAATGTCTATTTCAACAAAACCCCAACACGAAGCAATGATCATCAAGAGACTACAACCAACAATGCGTACAAGTTTGTAGTTAGCCTAAATTTGAATAAGCTTGTGCATTCAGCAAAAGTTCCAGCTTCCATCGAGAAAAGGAGCTATTTGGCTGCTCATATGCATATCTTGCTAAAAAGCTTTCACTTTGAAATTCGTATAAGAAAGTCTCATGGTTGGGTTTAACAGATCTTCGTGCACAACTTGGCCAATGAAAAATCGAAACCGAACCGAAGCATGTAAGGAGAACCTTTAGGTTGTCGGCTTTCCTACATCTTTGGTCCTTTTTCTGCTCTCTGCTTCTTCTGCTTCTGTTTGTTCTTTTCTTTCGAAGATGTAGCTCCTACAGCTTCAAATTTCTCAGCAAAAATGTTCTCGCTCAGTCTCTCCAAGCGCGCCTAGAATAAGAGGCATTATGAGAAGACTATTTGGTCCAAAGAGAAAAGGAAAACAAGGATGCAACAAAAGATCTTAGCACTTACCCTTAGAAATGACTTTACAAGACGCAGCAATGTTGATTGATAATCATGCTCAGAGAGACCCTGGAGCTTATCCTCCATCTGCTGCACCATGGAAACTTCTCTCAATATTCTGGCGTCAATTTTGACTATTTACATGAGCAAACAATGCTAATTACTAACTCAAATATCCTGCTTTCAATAGGAAAATAGAAAGTAATCCTAACCTCATGAGAAACTTGGTTCTTCTACCTACATATTGCAAGTTTGATGCAAATATCTTCTGCACTAGATGCCAAACCACATGGCCTCCAAGAAAAGCTACCACAAGCAGCTACCTTACAATTCAAATAAGCATTCAGAGTTTCAGCACATTTTAAAACATTGGATATTGCATCCATCTTGCACCTACTCTTGAGGTTCGTGCTTTTGTGTATCTTCTTAAGCTCACTCAATCGCTCCCTCAAACCAAACATGTTGCTCCGATTTACACACCTGGGGCCGCTTGATTTTGCCCCACCTTCTTCGTGAACCTCCTAGATATTCACAGAATCCTCCACAAGGGAAGCATTGAGATCTTGGAAACATAGTACCAAGGAGAAGATACGTCAAGGTGAGGAAGTACTCAAGATGCTTTAGGAGCAATACGATGACCTCCGCCGCCTTTGTGACCGGAAACCTGAGCTTCTAAACTCTGAAGAAGCATTAATTGCACTCGAGCATCTGGTTTATGAAGAAGTCAGGGCAAAATCAAGCAATCCCGGGTGTGTAAATCGGAGCAATATGTTTGTTTTGAGGGAGCGATTGAGTCAGCTTAAGAAGATACACAAAAACATGAACCTCAAGAGTAGATGCGATATGGATGCAATATCCAATGTCTTAGAATGTGCTGAATGTGCTGAAACTCTGAATGCTTATCTGAATTGTAAGGTAGCTGCTTGTGGTAGCATGTCTTGGAGGCCATGTGGTTTGGCATCTAGTGCAAAAGATACTTGCATCAAACTTGCAATGTGTAAGCAAAAAACCAAGTTTCTCATGAGGTTAGGATTACTTTCTATTTTCCTATTGAAAGTAAGATATTTGAGTTAGTAATTAGCATAGTTTGCTCATGCAGATAGTCAAAATTGACGCCAAAATACTGAGAGAAGTTTCCATGGTGCAGCAGATGGAGGATAAGCTCCAAGGTCTCTCTATGCATGATTATCAATCAACATTGTTGCCTCTTGTAAAGTTATTTCTAAGGGTAAGTGCTAAGATCTTTTGCTGCATCCTTTTCTCTTTGGACCAAATACTCTTCTCATAATGTCTCTTATTCTAGGCACACTTTAAAAATTTGAGCGAGAACATTTCTGTCGAGAAATTTGAAGCTGGAGGAGCTACATCTTTGAAAGAAAAGAACAAGCAGAAGCGGAGAGCAGGAAAAGGACCAAAGATGTAGGAAAGCCAACAACCTGAAGGTTCTCCTTACATGCTATGGTTTGGTTTTGATTTTTCATTGGCCAAGTTGTGCTGGAAAATCCGTTGAACCCAGCCATGAGACTTTGTTATACAAATTTCGAAGTCAAAGCTTGTAAGCAAGATATGCATATAAGCAGCCAAACACAATGTTGACAACAACAATCGATTTTCTTATGCAACAGTTTCTTTTCCCTATGGAAGTCGGACCTTTTGTTGATTGCACGAGCTTATTCAAATTTAGGTAACTACAAACTAATACATATTGCTGGCTGTAGTCTCCTTATGACTATTGCTTCATGTTGGGTTTTAAGTGAAATAGACATTTTACATTCAGATTCTTCCAAGGTAATGAGGTGCGAATTAGAATGATCGCTTTACATATACAATGCGCTTAAATGATCACTTTATTGGTGGTGTTTATAGAAATTATGATGGTGCGATCCGAGGATTTGCAGAATTGAACTTTTACTGCTCACCCGCTCGGCTGTTGATATACTCGGTGATTACTCTTTTGTTGATCTGATCTAATGCATCATTTTTGTTAAACTCATTGTTACCATCACATTGTGACTTCTTATTAGTTTGCCATCAAAGAGTGGCCAGTGCTCCTCATCGATCTTGAGATAAACAAATTGCTTCACGGTTGGCTTTGAATATCAACAGCTGTGGCGAGGTAGCTTTTGGTGTCCTGCATGTCAAAGGCAAATAGCATAAGAGGGTTTTCAGTCACATTCGAAGAATGCAATTTAAACCATACTTGTGCTACTATCTCTCTCTCAGAATTTATGCCATTTATACGTAATTTGTTAGTTCAGAGATCTACATTTATGTCAGTGTCAGCACCCTAATCGTGTCTTTCTTGTAACGTTACTCTAGCAAGTATTATGATTATGATATGCCGAGTAACTTTCACTTTTACGAGTAGATGGAATAATTTTTCATGTGAATAGAACACAGAAATGTATAGAAATGATGGCAGCCACTAACATAATTTCTCAAACTATATTTGCCAGCGGAATTCGGCCACATGTCGGCAGCACACTGGCCGCATGATGGCCACTCTCCGGTGGCACACCGGTTTGCTCGTCAGTGGCTGAGGCAAAATTGGGGTTTTCATTGTAATTATGATGTTTTTCCAAAATTTATGTTGATGTTTCGCATCTTGTACTAACTACCCTATAGAAGGTGTCGTTAAAGAATCATCAGTTCCTAATGAAATGGATGTAGCTGTGACTAGCTGCAAAGTCATTACTTGATCCACAATATGGGATGTATACGTCATTCCGAGTCATCTATCAGGACATGTGATTGAAGAAAAGTTAGCACAACTATATTTCACTACTGATCTCACAAAGCACACGATCCTTTCAATATCTAACTGATGATGATTCAGAATTTCCCCTAAGAAAGTTACCTTCTAAGTGCAGACATGTATACGTCATTCCGAGTCATCTATCAGGACATGTGATTGAAGAAAAGTTAGCACAACTATATTTCACTACTGATCTCACAAAGCACACGATCCTTTCAATATCTAACTGATGATGATTCAGAATTTCCCCTAAGAAAGTTACCTTCTAAGTGCAGACAGAAATCAAAAGTAATCACATTAAATCGACTTAGACATCGTATGGAACTAGATGCGCTTTCTACAGAGATGGATCTACAACATCAAGAATCGGTGGTCCGTGTGTAATAATTCATGCACAGGATGTAATTGCTCTCTGGTCAATAATCTCTCAGAGCCATCTTTTCCATGGTGCATTTAGAGCTATCGTGCCGTGCTTCTTGAGATCACATCGGCCTCTCGAAACCTTCACCTAACTGCATATGCAACCATTCTGGTTGCGATCCTCGACCATACTGTCTTGCTGCTTGCGAAGCATACATCATCCCAGTCGCATCAAATGGCTGCTCACCAAGCTGAAACCCAAAAGGCCACTTGATTTAGAAGAACACAAAGAACCTGCTACTGAAAACAATGCACAGCTTCCAAGAGATCTTGATCTATTTTCACAGATCTACCGTGCAGCGTACAAAAGTGAGAGGCAATATGAAGCAGTAGGTGAAAACGATGAGTAAAGAGTGACACCAAATTACCGAATGTTAATATAAGCGGGATGGCAAAATCAGTGGGTGTAGGATGAAAATCACTTAAGATCACTGACTGGACCATTATAGAGACATATAAGACTCACTAATGAAACACTCGTTCGTAATGAGCAGATCCAAGAAGAAAACAGCGGACCAAGCCCTCAAACAGAAACCCAAGTTCCACATTTGTAGGGAAGGAGCTTGTACTGTGATAGAGTTGGAGACTGCCTCATCTGTAACTTGGGATTTACTCCATCTGGGCCTGTTGCATGTGGTTCTGCCTAGGTTGTTGCGTGTCCAAAATGAGAGCAAACTTCAAGCTTTAAAGTGCCAACAAGGATGCAAACATCGTGCATCAACTCTATCTCTAACTCTCATCTCTCAATGTAACCCCTTCTTAATGTGGCCGACTCATCTAATATTAAATACAACTCTTCCTATTCGGTCAAGAATGCACCTTCTCACCATGGCGGTTCCATCAGAAAAGTGAATATGATCATTCTAACGCTTGCTTTTAGCTATTTGAAGACGAGGTGGGAAGATCCTTCTTTGACCTCGACCTATACCTAATGGTTTTATATTATAAGGCACCGCATTTCTCTATCACACCATAATTCTTCTAAACAAGTAACGAAGCTTAAATGGTACTTCAATAAAGATAGTCGCTTCTCGTTCCCAAATATGACGTGTACTTTCCAAGATCTGAGCTACAATAGTCCTCCTCCATTCTGAAGGACATGCATCCCATATACTCTGCTCGGAGAGGGCTTGCCCTCTCGCAGGCACCCTGCATGGCACTATTGGTTCCACTTGATAGACTAGAAAAGAACCCTACCAAGTTCTAATGGCAGCTAAATTTTCCTCGTCTGGCCTATTCAGTCGTTTAAAATTATCAGGCACACCGGAGCACGATGAAAGCAACATATGATAACACCAGTCTTCGTTATTAATTCAAAGGCTATCTGAACATTTTAAAAATTGTTCGACTAAAACTCACATCTTTTGCTGGGAATCCATCAATAGTAGGATTGATGTTCATCCTTGAATTGATTGCTTCAAGCTTCATGGACAAGAGCTACAACAATCATAACAGTTAATTAGCACAAGAAATCCAAAGTCATTGAGTGTTGATGAAATGCTTAAGATGGACAATTACCTCGACCTGATTCTGCAGTGATTGAATGTAGTTGATAATCTCATCAAGGACTAGTGCTTTTCCAATAACCTGATCAGAAGGAAATATTAAGAACAACTTGGATGACCCCATCAAAAGCTGGAAATCTTGCAATAGATAATCCCAAAACATCTAAATACTAAAACATCATTATAAGGTTTGAAAATCATGAGATACCTTGTTGCATCCAGGGACTAAGTCTTGAAGAATCTTCATCCGCTCACTGATCTTTTCTCTCCTTGCCTGCCAAAGAAGATAGGATGTTGAAAGAGCTTCTGAAAAGGACTTTAACTGAATCACTCATGCCTTATGCTCAGCCAAATAGACCGTGTGAATGAAATTGGAAAATGAAATACAGAGCACATATGACACAGTTCTATTGACTACTCTTAAACTTTAAGAGTATTTTAGTAAATCGAAGAGTTTGACTTACTCTCTCAGCTAGGCTATGACTATCCGTAGCTTGGCCTCGTCGTGCTCTGACATGAATATAATCCTTCTTTGGTGGCTCAGAGGGTTTTGCAATCTGTTCAGCCTGCTTTTGACTAGCAGCAGAACTCGAATCTCCTTCAGCTCTCGATCCACCATTGTCATGCCTTGAAACCAGTGACTTCGTGCGTTTTCCGTTTGATATGTTCTATAGAAATAAAGCACAAACCATCATTCCAAGCAATATCACCCGAAGATCAACTGCGACGTGTTAAAAAACTCCACAATTCTTCATACACTAACGTCTTTAAGTTGATCCTCTTCAATATCTTCTAACTAGCTGAAAAATACAAACTTTGACAGTGACGGTGCAGTGTAACAACCGAAATTCCCGGCAAAGAATGTTATATTACCGATCAGCAACACTGAATTTGAATTTACTTCCCAAGATCACAAGATTAAGACTATTTGTGCTTTCGCAGCAGCCGAATCTCGATGAAGTGGCCACATCGTCGATTTCATAATTTGCTAGCTTTAAGTAGACTCACGTCTAGGATCAAGCGAAGCTTTTAACTGCCAATTCATGGAACCGAAAAGATCACAGTTCAAAGCTAATAGAGTTCTTCATATCCAGTCACTAAACCGGTGGAGAAAATAACACCCAGACTAACGACTTTCCAGTTTATTTGGCCTGATGAGGAAAGTGGCAGCTCAGAAGGTCATACGCCCAAACCCAACTTAAGACAAACTCTAGACAAAATGTTTCCTTTCCTCTGCCTTCCATTTTCTCACCTACGAAACAGAGAACTCCCAGTTTCAAAGAAGGAAAACGAAAACGCACACGGACACGAGGCAGAACCATTACATAAGAAGAGAAAGAAAAACAGAGAAACGAACCAAATCATCGGCACTACTAGTGGTGGACACCATCTTGGAAGACTCGTCCTCCGAACTCACATCCTTCCTCTTCCTCCCAATTCCTCCACCACCGCTCTGCTCCGTCTCGGTGGACACCTCCGCCGACCCGTCCCGGTCCATTTGACTATCCAGGAACCCGCTCAAATCCCCCATTCGGAGCCCCGACCCGCCAATACCCGTCTCCCCATTGAACGGCCAAATCTCAGCTAAGCTGTAGAAAGATGGGTTCGCAGCAGAGAACCGCGATTCGTTGACAATTGGAGGAGGATCCATCTTTTAAAACGGACCCAGAATCAACCCCTGTACAGGAATCTGATCTGAGGCGCAGCTTAAGAAAAAAGGTACAAACTTTTCTTTTTCCTTTCTTTTTACAGGTTATGATCTTCCCTCTTGGTCATGAGTGATGAGTGATGAGAGTTGTTTTGGAGCTACTGAAGGAGTGAAAAAGTGTGAGTCAAGTGAGTAATGGAGGCTGGGGAGGTCTAGCTTTGCGGGCTGATGGGGATGTTTAAGTAGTGATTAGGAGAAAGGGAGCGTGGCTACTAGAGATTGAGGAGAGGGACATTAATGGGTGGTCGTAATGTGTGTGCGTGAGAGAGACCTGCAGGTTGAGGAAAGTGGTGGGCACTGCGCACACTGCCTTTTTTAAACATTGAGAACAAACTGCGAGAGGCAGAGAGAGAGAGAGAGAGAGAGAGAGAGAGAGAGAGGAGGGGGGGGGGGGGGGGGGGACCGAGAGAGCTGGTGAAACTGCGTCCCATGTTTGTGATGTTACGCATGCAGTGAAAGCTGCAAGCTTTTTTCAACTGTTAAAACTATTCATCACTTGGGAGGAAAAGAGATTTACTCTGGAAGAAAGAGATGCAGAAACAGAGCAGGTCAAGCTGAGCATGAGATTTCTCTGAACTTTACTGGGTTCCTTCTTCCCTCTGGCTCTGACCCACCAATTTTCACTTTTTAGCTGAAAAATGTCTTTCTGCCCGAACCATATAAATGTCAGGCCACCACAACATGAATCTGTTTCCCCATGTAAACAAATGAACAAGCTCTGGAGTGAACTAGGTAAAGGTCTGTTTAAGCAACAATGTGTGTTTTGCTTCTCCTACTTTTCTGAGCAAATAAATAAATTAAATCTTGGTAGGTCCACCTTTTCTTTACCCCTGTCAATATATCATTTCTTTCGTGATATCAGAAGATACTGATAATGATCCGGTCCTTGTGATTTACTTATTTTGTATGCAATATAAGATAAAATGATACTTGCCTATATGCTAACTAGCAATGGACGTAATAATTATTCTAAACATTTTCTCTTTTATCTAGATTTCAATTGATAAAACCTGGGAATTGCATTTGCATTGGAACACCGGTTAGTAAAGCAAGGTTGACATAAGACTAGTCATCTTTTATTAGTAAACGAAGGGAGACATACGACAAATAAAATCTTGTTGTGTCCTGTTGGAGTCAAAAGTGCAGAGAAACTTCATTGTGCGGTCATCTCCTCACTTTGCAGGGCCTTATTCTTGCAATGGAAGATATCATTCTACCTTCATTATTTTTCCGGGATCACATATATAAATGAATCACCGTGTGCCGTGGCTGTGTATATACATACAAGAACTTGTAAACCCTAGATAAATATTATATTTTCTGAGAAGTGTGCACTTCTGACCACTTTTAGTTCGTGCGAGAGAGTCATGGATCACGAGCCACACGGCCTTATATTTTCTTAAGAGTACAGACTCCAGGAGGAGAGTCAAAGAAGATCCAATAAAGCTGTGATGTTGCTCCCGAGAATAAATATTCCCAAACTTAAAATTGGTCAAACTAGTCCTCGAGCTCTTGCTCTTCTCGGACTCCGGGAGAGAGAAGTAGCTGGATGTTATCAGTCTTTATCTCTTTTTTGCAGTATAATGTGTGGATCTAGGGATTCAGAAAAAGGGGCCATATATGCAGAATGTGTGCTAAGATACTGTGCGTGGACCCATGAAATTTTTTTCTGTTGATAAGAATAATCAGACACGAATACTTAAACGTGGCATTTGCTCCGCGCATATGAGTACCGTGGACAGATGTTTTCCGCACTTCATATATCTCATGGCAAGAACTCGGCAAAAATACAAGTACTAGCTCGTTCTTCGCCCGAACGGCTTAAAAAAGATGACAATCAATTTCTTAGATTTAGAATGCCTATTCGTTATTCGTCAATTCTTTCTTAGTTGGTTTGGCGGAATCATTGCATGTCAGAATAAGTTATCGATGTTCGTATTGCCCTCCCTCCACAAGGTCTTGCCTAACTTGCTTAGCAGAAATCTGCAATGTAGATCAGCAGCCATCATAAATCCCTTATAAAGTCTCTTCGGAAAATCCCAAAAATGGCTGTTATCTTCATGCGCCTCTCTCTCTCTCTCTCTCTCTCTCTCTCTCTAACAAGTGTCCAATCCTACATCATCTAAAATCTGCACATGCTACATAAGAATATGGAGTGATGTTCCTCATGTTAATATCACACTCCACTGTTACATGCCCCAACCAAAAAAAAGAAGAAGGGATGGCACCACTAGTTTGTTGGGCAAAATGCATGTGATGCTTAAAGGAATTTGCTTGCCAGATAAAGAAGGTGGTGGCTGAAGAAAGCAAGGAGCTTAAGTAGATGAAGGTATGTCTTCTGTTGCATGTTATCGAGCTGAAGTGGATTCCAAGACGTGTCAAAACCCCAACCGCTTGAACATTACATATCAAAGGTTCCATGCAAAGATATTTACACTCACTTCACTGTACGAGAATGGACTAGTCGCATGCATTGTTCACATTATTGTACTTGCTACAATTTCAAAATCTTACTATAGCCCACTAAAATTTCCTTCTGTGAAAGAACTTGGATATCAATCAAGAAACGAATTCCCTTGTTTCTATTAAATAGAATAATGTCGAGCAGGAAGCATGATTATTCACCACAAGCAAAAGAGGTTTCAGAAAATGATACCACTTTTGTATTTCTGATTCCCTACTATCAGCTGAGAAATGTCTAAAAATAAACTTCAATGATATCAATATGGTTTGGGGTCTGATGTTACATATGATACGAAAGGGAATACCCAACAATTCTGTCACTGTAAAGCCAAGGTGCCGACAAGTGGGCGCATGAAATGTCAATTTTTCCCCCAAGCTTTTACCAAATGGTTCAGAGCATCTTTTTCAATTCATGGAAGGACAACTAAGGTTCCTCCAGGATAAGATTGCCATATTAGGTAATTGCGTTTTCGTAGTGTATAGCAATGGCTCACCACTCTCGCATGCCTACCTATTTTCATTAGCCCAAACAAAAAAGCCATATTTTCCTCTTTATATTACTTTTATTTTGGAATTTCCTCTTTTGGGTATGATTAGCCTTATGCCACATTGGAAGAAGAGCATTTGTTGCGTACCCACTATTTTGGAGTGAAAACCATGAGATAGGCCCATTTTGATGAGCTTTTGGGCCACAGCAATGAGCTCAGGTAGTACTAAATTAATATTGGGCCTCCATGTTGCAGCAGAAATGGGCTTGCTCTTGGCTATACAATCGTAGAGACCGATTCCTCCGGTTCTGATGTCAACTTTATGAAATGTAATACATTATCAGTGCATGCCATCCTGTCCATGACATAAGTATGAACCCAAAACAAAAGTACAGAAACAACTCTGACCCAAAACATTAGAAGATGTTTAGCAGGTAGCAAACACTTTGGAACTCCATTATTTTGTACTTCTTTAGTAGAAATCCCATCTCAATCCCAGGAAGGAAATTTAGCAGTGCAGTGCCTTAGTTAATTAGTAGAGTGGTTCCTCCCAAAGTTCAGGAAACTCCATGAACATCTCCTCGTTCTGGCTCAATATGGACTCCACAAATGAACCATCTGAGGATGGGATTGATGACCCTTTAAGGCCGTTGCTTGTACCATTCTGATGAAAACCTCCTGTCCCATTACTTTCCTCTCTGGCCTCGTTCTTGATCTCATTCTGTGGTCTCATCCTGATCCCTTCCTTTGAAAGTTCAGTTGGCAAAGTCACGTCTTCGATAAGAAAATCGCTCCAACTGAAGCTCTGCGGTGCTGCAGACCCGGTGGAAGAGGAAGAAGTGGGAGGCGGGAACGAGGTATTCGAAGGCATGAATGTCATTCCGCCATGTGCAGAGCAAGTTGAGGCTTCTGTGACCAGCTTTATGGCATGAAGCTGGGCAAGAAGATCTAGGGAGTGATAGTTTTGGGCAGTGTCTGTTTCAGTTCTACTTGTTACCTTTGGTGGTATTTGGTGGGTGTTTAGGTCTGAAAATGCTTGGGGTTGATCTGTGGACCCGATTCGGCTTTCTCTCGTGGTGCCCCCTATGTTTCCATAGTCTCTCAGGACTTGAGAGAAGGGCTTGTGTGTGACCGGGTCGATCCCCATCTCTTTCAGCTTCTTCCGGAGCTTAGTATTCCAGTGGTTCTTCACATCATTGTCAGTCCTCCCTGGAAGTTGCTGGGCGATGATGGACCACCTAAAACCGAAACCATTGCGTGTATAGATATATATATGTGAAGAGAGATATCTCACTGCTTATAAATCATTTTCAAATAAACTTTATCGTATAAATTGAGTAAAATGGCAAATAGTTGGAACATTTTCAATTAGGAGTTAAAAGATTGACAAGAATTTCGCAAAGTACAGATTTTTCGATTCTTGGCGATGCACCTGCTGCCTATGATTACATGGAGCCTGATTATGAGCTCCTCTTCCTGTGGTGTGAAGATCTCAAGCTTCGAATCTGGTTGATGGTAATTGCTCCATCTGGGCTTGCAACTTTTCCCACATCTTCTAAGACCTGCACAATTTAGTCAGGCATAGCAATCAGACATCGTGAGATGTGTGAAAAGTGGTCTCGCGATTGGGTCCGCAATTCATAGATCCAACTTTTGATTAATGTTACGAAGCACTGTGCCGACGTTACCTGCTTTTCTGGGGGCAAGGCTCCAATTTCCGTTCCCTTGAACGATCGTCCTTGGGTCATCTTCAGCAGCCCAAGGACCCGGTCTATTGTTCCTCTTGTCGGTGCAAGGGGGTCTCATCTGCTAGATCCAAAAACATATACTGATGATGAAAAGGGGAGGCAAAAGCAGAATGGAAATGACAAAAAGTATCATGAAATCATCAATAGACAAGTAATAGAGAGCATGTTGATGCAAGCTTCAATCTTCTTTTTGCCCTTTCAGACGAAGTTTGATGTGTGATTGGGCTAAACATGTATAAGAGTAAAGGAGGCACGAAAAGTGTGCCCTTCTTCTCTTGCTTGTGCTGGTGCATGGTTTTCAAGAAGATTGGATCAGGTTCGAAGCGGGTGAACGTCTGTGGTTGAACATTAGATTGGATTTAAGTGGTCTTGTTGTCCAAAGCAAGTGACTTTCTTTCAAGTTAACTACTGCTAAAATCACAATTTTGATGAGAACAACTATTTTAGACAAGAATAATTAACTAATCAGAGACGCCAAATAAATGCTCATTGCACTCCTTGCAACTGGACTTGATCAGAAGCTACATTCGTCTTCTCCGCATCACACACAATCCTACTGTTATCTCTCTGAATCCGACACGTTAGGTTGCAATTGAAATGTCAAGTACCGAACTAGGAGTCAAATCTCGTGCAGAAAGAAAGAGAGGGAACACACGAACTAGCGTAAGCATCATGCACGCCCTTGGAGCAATTCGACTGCTCAAACGAGAGAATCTCTCTCCGACTCACGTACGAATGTCGTGGTTGTTAACCAGGATGATTTGAAGCCATTGGAGCAGCAGGCACACAAGTGATAAAGCTATGAACAGTAGATGAGTTTAATCAAAACCAGAATCATTGGCACAGACACAAAGTTTAAAGCGGTTGGAGGACTGTGCATTGATTCACCCGGTTAATGAAACACAAGAAGTACAGATGCTTTTGGGGGCTCTCAAGTCATCCGGGTTGGTAAAGCTCTTTAAAAGAGAATAAAGCCCACGAGATTGCCACTTCTGGCTTTATTGGCTCAAAAAGATTCCAAGGCAGTCTTGGCTTGAATTCTGCCAGCTGATGCCATCTCCATTCTCTAGTTCTCTATCAAAGATAGGGGTGAGCGGTTCCTAATCCGATCCGGTCCAACTCAAGAATCGAGAATCGGACTGGGAGGACCGGTTTCCAGTTTCTAGGATCAAGGACCGAACCGGCTAGTCTTGGGACCGTGGATCGGACCGGACCATCGATCCGATCCGGTTTCAATAGGACCAATTACTTATTGATAAAGACAAGAGAAAATTTAATCCCCCATTATAAAAAGTGAATGTGCTCAAGGAAGCAAAAGAAGCAACGGTGCTCAGCAAGAATGAGCAATAAGCAGTCAGAAAGATACCTACAAGAACTTGCCTAAAGAACAAGACAAGTGACAAGCAAACTTCTGGCATCCCCTTCTTGGGTATTTAAGCGGCTTCAGATCATTTACTACAGAAGTCTTTACGGCACAAGTCTCCCAATGCTGCGTCAGAAATAAACGGGCTTGACGTCATTAGGCCCGAAACTACCTCCATAGGATGGGCATTTGCGAGGACGAGTTTCTGTTAAGTTCTGAATGCAGGTGTTACAGAATAGGTGATAGCATTTTGTGATGGCAACCTGAGGATTTAAAAGCAAATATTTTCTATTTTTTTTCAAAAATTTTAAATATATATAAATTAAAAACATATATATTTATCGATCCGATCCAGTCCGGTTCCCACCCTAGAACCGAGAACCGGACCGCCCAGAAACCAATTTCACTTTTAGGAACCGGAAACCGGGCCGATATTTCCGAGAACCGGACCAAACCGGTCGGTCCGGTCCCGGTTTGGGCGGTCTATCTTGCTCACCCTTAATCAGAGAGAGAGAGAGAGAGAGGCCACAGAACCAAGAGGGTCCTTCATTTTATCCTTGGAAAAAATATATAATACATTTCGGGTCGTGCTTTAATAACCTAAACTTTCGAGAACCGTAGATCTTGTTAGTGCCTAAAGCCATGAAGTTGGCCAAATAATAAGACGATCGGGATTCGTGTGTTTCAAGAAGCGTAAAGATTGAGGTTCAATTCCTTCTTGGTATCATAATTAGTTGTATTGCCATCTAGACGTAAGAAATATCACGAATACTACAAGTTCTGGCAAATTTGCGATACCGACGAATCAAAGTACTATTGCCGCGTCATTTTAACAAAACAAGCTTAGGTCAATCTTCTTAGGATTTCTAGCATTATTCTAGTGCCTTTCCACACAGATCAAGATTTGATTTATGAAGGCTGTGCCAATTGACAGATGCAGACGAAATTGAAGCTTAGATTGACAATTAGAGCAACATTTACAAGCGAAACAAGAAATATAATCTACACCAATGTCATCTTCATATGCTTGCTCTCGCTGGCAGAATTCGCATAACATGTGGGAACAAAGTTAATGCAAGCTTTTTGTGCCCTTTGGAATAATATGAATTCCGAGACTTTTCCTGGGTAAGCGACAGGTATATCCAACCAAACAACGATTCTCCTGGCCCCGTATACTCCTAACTATAGACATTTCCTATTATTATTATTATTATTATTATTATTATTATTATATTTTACTTGTGATTATTACACATACTAGTTTAATTAATGGTGGGTCCGTGTGATTAGGTCGTTTGATTAACTAATAGTCCCAGATGTTCTGGTGGAGATGCTACGGCTGTGTCTATTGTTCTTCAATGGGTCCGACTGACTTAAAGGGTATATTCCTCCTCTTCTTCTACTTTTTGGGGCTAATGGCTTGAGAAATTATGATAATCGATTTCCCGCTAATCTTACAGATTTTACGACACCCATGTAAACCACCTCGTAAATTTACATGACGCTTGATGAGCTATAGGAATTTTCCGACACGTCACGTCACGACTGTTACTCCGGTACAAGTTAATTCGATAGGACGACGATAAGATAAGAGAATTTAAACTACGGCCTAATATAGTGCGAACGGGTCAATCGTTTTCATATTAGAAAAGGGTGGCTCGAACTCCTCCATCAACGAACGGAATCCACCAGTTACGACGGCAGCAAAGTCAAATGCAAAATAGATGTTAAATGTTTGACCCGCACCCACCCAAAACAAAGAACAAAAAATAAAGAAGAAGAGGAGGAATTTGGACGCGGATGCTAGACCGGAATGATCGAGATTGCAATTGAAAAATTGCGATGTGATTGCGATCTCTGATGATGAGGGATTCAGCAGCGGTTATGCGGTGGTCAGCAGTTCGGGAAGTCGGCGTCATCGGTCCACTTACGTGGGCCAAAAATTGATGTGTGGATTAACGTTTTTTTAATTGACCTTTTCAAAGATTTTTTTCTTATTTCCAATTCCCACCTATTAAATTGAATATTCTTTATTTTTTTTCCCCCTCATGTAATTCCGTTTTTGACTTGTTCTTCCGAATTTCCCCTGATTTCATACTTTTCCTCCTTCGAATTCCCGTGCTCTTCTTGTCTACTACTATCTCAAGTCGGTCTTCCATCGGGTGCAATCTGTCAGCTTATTATTCATGGCTTCTTTATTCGCGATGAAAAACCCTTAATTTTCTAAGAAAATCACGGCACGTTACGTAGGGTTGTCGTGCATGTCGATATGTTGAACATTTTGAAGATTTCATAGCCAAATGGAGGGCGGTGTTATGGTCAACCGACGGACTGATCTTCGGATCGTCAGTATTCGCAACAACGACATGATTTTTCGTGGGTTACACGAGAAAATGCTAATCGTTTTACAGCTTCATATTTTAAGAGGGAGCATGGTCTCAAGATCGTGACTTTGAGAGTGTCATTTGAAACGGTTAGAATTATGCACACAAACACAACGAAAATGGAGAATAAATGTGAGAAAGAGAAGTCAAGATAATAAGGTTTTATCCTTATTCGCTATCAAAATAGGGCTATATCTAGTTGAGAATTCCGCTGTAATTAACATCTCTCATCTCTCTGTTATTAATTATAAGTCAAAGAGATTATATATAGGCGGCACAAGAAAACCCTAGGGGTTCAGAACACCCTAGATCACTCAGTAAGGATTTAAGCACAAACTATCCATAAAATATGGATTCAAATTAGAAAAGTCTTATGGCAGCCCGGGGGCGTTGCCCCTACAGACCCGTCGGGACGGCTAGATCCATGCGAAACCCTGTACTTTTCTATCGATAAGGAGTGTGAATCACGTCCCAGCATAAACTCGGGTGTATGTATCAAGGAGAAGACACGGAGGACATGGAATTCGAAGCTTGATGACTTCACAAAGTTCATTAAAAGACGAGGAGCCCAAGATGTTACAACACCTGTCTTTATGGTCTCGCATGGAGAAGACACATTATCAAGTGTGCATCGGGAAATAGAGCCCCCCGGAATCTCGCATGCATGAATCTGCTCCTCCTGGTCTTCCACGAATCTAAACCCCCCAAGAATTCGCATAATCTCATGGACTTTCGACCCGCCCCCCCGCATACTCGTCTCACTTCCTTGGTGAATTCGGCTAAAAAAGAGACGCCGCACCTAACTCCCTAATTTGTCTCACTTTCTTTCTTCGTGATGTTCATCACCCCGCAAATCAATCGAATGATTCAATGTCGACATCGATCAAAGTTGTGAATTCGGTAAGTTGGCGGGACTTTTCAAGTTCCGCTTTTACCGTCTTTACAAGTTTAGCTCGCAAAGGAAAAGAGAACCAAAGTAGTCTTTTGTGGACAGATTTCTTATAATCTAATAGAGCTTATTGAATGTAAATAACACGGGGAAAAAAAAATAAATACAAACGCGGCGATGACAATAAAAAGCTTCCTTATTTCGAACAAAATTCAAGAAATCGAAACAAAGAAAAGTGAGCAAATTGCAAAGTGGCAAAGGACTGGACACGTGGACTCGTTGCAGCATGCCTCGCCGGTTTCGCAACGGTTCGCAAATTGATGAAGAGCTTGCATTGAATTCCAGTTGTGGCAACGCTAACGCCGTCGTAAAGTTCCGTCTCCTTCCAAAAACCATAAATTCTCTCTTTCTCTCTCTATTAAAACTCAAGACTTTGACTAAACATTTGCAACAATTACCCTCTTCTTCTTCTTTTTTATATGGAAAAACAATGGATACGTAAAATAGATGAGAAGCAGAAAACTAATCGGATGATGATAGATATATTTGTTACAAGAATATCCTCCGATTTGAAAATTTATCGCGCAAAAAACATCTAGTGGGATAGTGATCGTCCAAAGTGAGAATTCCGATGCTCTAAGTAAACCAGATAAGCGATCGATATTCGACGTGTTCATTATTAAGAGTATTTTAAGTTTGAAAATTCATCAATACGAAAATTTTCGGTAAAAACACGTCACATGACATGACACGACACGCCTCGTGATCGCCCGGCACTTTTAGGATGATCATTGTTGTTTTTGTTAAAATGAAAAGAAAATGGCGATATAGCACGGGAGGCACTTTCCTCTTGAACGAGGCCCTTGTTTCAATTAAACATGCCAAATTTATAAGAATTGAAAATAAAGATAAATTCTAATGCTTCAATTTCGTTGGCTAAGCAAACCAAGTTTCGTTGGCATCGAATCTTCAAAGTGGACGAGTACTCCACGCTGCACTCCACTATCCTTGCGTATCTCACGTATAATCCAAGATCTATACGAAGAAACTTACCCATGAAGGTAAAGCATTTTCGGATTATTAATAGGATCATCACCATCTTTTCTTTAAAAACCAAACACGGAATAAATAACAAAACAAAAAAACGGGCTAATTCTAAAAAAAATTATCAACTTTACCTTGAACGATAATTCTCGCGAGAGTCAGATTTGGGATTCGAGTAGAACTTAATGCTTTTTATCGAAATAAAAAAAAAAGCTCGAATTAGAAGTAGGATAAAATAAAGTTAATATTTTTTATCACTAAAAATAAAGTTGGTGCTTTGTTTTAGTAGTTGGGAAAAAAAACTGACCAGTTTTTTAATTAGGTGTGGCCACATAAAGGCAGAGATAATAAAGTGACCAGGCCCACTTTAATGACGAATTCAACCCCATAATTATAAGACTTTGGTAATGAATTGAACAACACCACCACCACCACCACATGCAATTCTCAAGTTGATCGCTTAATTAAAATTAAGGTACATTCCGAAAAAGCCAGCGAAAAAAGGGAAATTCTTATACAATTTTTCTGATATCCAAAACCCCTTCTTCTTTTTTTTATATGCTAATGTCCAGTTTATTACACGAATACTTAGGTTTTTCTTCTTTTCTTTTGCTCGGTCGAATTAGATTGGGCTCCGACCGTTTGAAAAGGTCCCCCATTATATTTGTTGCTATTATTATTATTAATATTATTATATGCGAAATTTGAATTCTTAAAAAGGGGCAATATTCTCTTTTCCAGAAAGAAACGCTTCCACCGACCGACGGTATCACTCTCTCTCTTCCGTGTCTCCCTTTTGATCTCCTCTCTCTCTCTCTCTCTTTCTCTCTCTGTTCCTCTTCTCCTTCCCCTGCGCGTTCAGGTTCTTCTGCAACCTGCGTCGATGACCTAACGCTCTCTCTCTCTCTCTCTCTCTCTCTCTGCGTTTCTCTCTCCGAGTTTCGCCTGTTTCGGAGTTTGAGAGTTAGGGTTTCCTCGATCATCGCGGGAGCGCTGAACCCTTTCTCGTTTCTCTTCGAAAGGGAGGGACTTGGAACCTCTTGGTTCGGGGGGTTAAAGATCCTTCCTTTGATCGATGAAGAAGGCCAAATCGGAGAAGCTGGACATGGTCTTGGCGCTGACGAGGCAGAGGTCGCTCCAAATCTTGATCTGCGTGGGCTTGTTGTACGTAGTTTTAGTAACTGTAGAGATCCCCTTCGTCTTCTTATCTGGGTTCAATGCGCTCTCCCAAGAAACCCTCTCCCGCCCTCAGGCCCAGCTCCAGACCGGCCGCGACTTGCAAGAGAAGGACGCCCCGGCTCGGCCCCACGTCACCGTTTCTCAGGACTCGGACGAGTTGGCCCCCGCCGGGGCCGTCGAGCCCCGGAACGTCGTGTCGGGCTTGAACTTCGAGAAGACGTGGAAGACTGGCGTTACGGGCGGGTTCTCCGAGCTCCACAAGTCGGCGAAGGTCGCTTGGGACGTGGGTCGCAAGTTTTGGGATGAATTGCAATCTGGGAAGCCGAATGTCATCAGCCAGAAGCACGAGAATGGGTGGGAATCGTGCCCGCATTCGGTGTCTCTATCTGGGTCGGAGTTCCTGAACCGGAAGAGGTTGATGGTGTTGCCATGCGGGCTCACGCTGGGGTCGCACATAACGGTTGTCGGGAAACCGAGGCCAGCCCATGCGGAGCACGATCCGAAGATATCTCTGTTGAGGGAAGGAGACGAGGCGGTGATGGTTTCGCAGTTTCACATGGAGCTGCAGGGGTTGAGGATCGTCGAGGGCGAGGAGCCGCCCCGGATTCTGCATTTGAATCCGAGGTTGAAGGGTGATTGGAGCGGGAAGCCGGTGATCGAGCAGAACACTTGTTACAGGATGCAATGGGGGACGGCACAGCGGTGCGAAGGGTGGAAATCTAAGGCTGATGAAGAGACTGGTGAGTTTTCTGATTTGGTACTTGCTTATGTGGGTGGATCATTGTGAAAAGAATTATATTTTTTTACCCCTGTTTGTGCGTAGCTGTCTTCAACTGTTGATAATATAGAGAAAAAGAACGAAGGTTAATCTGGAAAAAAAAAATAGGGACTTCAATATCAAGTGTTCTTATTATTAGAAAAAATATGAAACTCCATTTGTTGATGAAGGGACTGGTGAGTTTTTTCTTTTAGTTTCTTATTTGTGTGGGTGATCACAGAGTGAAAAGAGTGATTTTTTACCCATGTTTGTGCTTAGCTTTCTTCAGTGTTGATGATATTGAGATTAAAAAAATTGTAATCTTTGAAAAATAGGGACTTCACGGATCTTGGTACGGGTGTCATTGTGGAAGATGTAAGTTCTGTTTATTTTAGTTAGGATGTAGTTTATAGAACTTATTAGTGGTTGCAAATATGTTAAGCACCTAGTCTGCATAAGCTTCAGATCGTGCTGATTATGATTTGAAAAAGGAATTGCCTGGGTTGCATTGGCACACTCCAAGAGATGTTTGATTGGTTTGTTGTGCGCTTCATTGCAGTTGACGGCCAGTTGAAGTGTGAGAAGTGGATCCGTGATGATGATGATCACTCTGAGGAGTCCAAGACATCGTGGTGGTTGAACCGGCTCATAGGACGGACAAAGAAGGTGGCGGTTGATTGGCCATATCCATTTGCCGAAGGCAAGCTCTTCGTTCTAACTCTTAGTGCTGGATTGGAGGGTTATCATGTTAGTGTCGACGGGAGGCACATCGCATCTTTTCCCTATCGCACTGTGAGTAACAACGATATGCATTCTGACGACCTCATTGTTAAGGTTCATTATCTTGCTCTATTGGTTTACGTTCTCTCCAATTTCAACAGGGTTTTGCTCTTGAAGATGCGACTGGCCTGACTTTAAATGGCGATATTGATGTGCATTCCCTATTCGCCGCTTCTCTACCAACTTTACATCCTAATTATGCTCCACAGAGACATCTTGATATGTCAAGAAAATGGCAAGCCCCAGCTTTTCCTGAAAAACCTGTAGAAATGTTTGTTGGCATCCTTTCAGCGGGTAACCATTTCGCAGAGCGAATGGCTGTGAGGAAGTCCTGGATGCAGCATAAGCTTATCAAATCTTCGAATGTGGTAGCTCGCTTCTTCGTAGCATTGGTAAGAAGAGATACCTAGAGTTGGTCGTATGTGTTGTTTATTCTCGAGGGGTCATAATAATGTTTTCACTTCATGTATGGGCAGCATCCTCGGAAGGAAGTGAATGCGGAATTGAAGAAAGAGGCAGAGTTTTTCGGTGACATTGTTATAGTCCCTTACATGGATAATTATGACCTCGTTGTGCTCAAAACAGTGGCCATTTGCGAATATGGGGTGAGTTGAGGGATTTTTCTATACAACAGGAAAACCGATATTCTTCCTCTCAAAGGTGGACTTACTTGCGAGTCTTTCTTGAATTGGCTGTTTTCAGGTTCGCAAAGTGTCGGCCAAGTACGTGATGAAATGTGACGACGATACATTTGTGAGGTTGGATGCAGTTATGGATGAAGTCAAGAAGGTACCCGAAGGAAAGAGCTTGTATATTGGGAACGTCAACTACTACCATAAGCCCCTTCGGTACGGAAAATGGGCAGTCACATATGAGGTACGGAGTTCTCCATGGTTCGGTTTTGTCAGCGTTAGGCTCTTTGGGTTGATCTTCTTGCGTTGCCTTTCTACAAGCCTGATTGTCTCTCAAAAACGAATGAAGGGCTCCTTTAAAAGTGAGAGCAGTTTGAATCTAGGATTTTATCTCCTTAACTACACAAGGGATGGCAGAATCTTCTCTCTTTGCTACTCTTCGATTCCCCTTCTCTGGTTGTCTGGTGATTGAGTGGTTTGGCTTGAATACTCGGGAGCTTTTGGTGAGATTCTGCACAATATTGCATGGGTGTAGCATGTGGTTACTCTGCAACTCAACCCTTTTAAGCATCCAGATTGACTAGACCGCTTCCAATTTGATGTTTCTAGCTCACTCCATTTACTTTCTTCTACACCCAGAGTGATGCCTTAGTTTCCTGCAAAGCACTGTTGCTTTATCATTCCACCTTTTTGTAACCTTCTTGCTCACTAAATTTATGCGATATATATGCAACCCTTTGTGCAAATCTGTATTGTGTGGTCTTTGTAGATGCATCATCGAAAAGCACGGGACAAGTTACATCTAAGCACTTAATGATGCCGTTGAGGAGTATATTTAATTTTTAGAAGAGATCAATACCTTTGGAAAGAACCAAAAGAAAGAGAGAATAACCTCTCTGGATCTTTAACATTTTATCCTTTTTACTTATGCTGTTTTTCTCGGTTCATACTTGCCTGATTGGATGGAAGTGATCTTTTTCGAGATCGATGAGACATACTTTCATTTTCCATGCCTCAGTTTTCTTACCTCTCTTTACGATTTTCATTCCAGGAATGGCCCGAGGAAGAGTATCCGCCTTATGCAAACGGACCAGGCTACGTTTTGTCCTCTGACATTGCACACTTCATCGTGTCCGAGTTTGAGAGGCTTAGACTAAGGGTATGCATATGAAAAGATAATCATGATTTAGTTGTTTGTGTTTGCGTTTATTCGATTGACTTATGGCTGCCGTGCAATCCCTCATGCAGCTGTTCAAGATGGAGGACGTGAGCGTGGGGATGTGGGTGGAGCAGTTCAACAGCTCAAGACCTGTGGAGTACGTGCATAGCTACAAGTTCTGCCAATTCGGGTGCATAAAGGATTACTACACCGCGCACTATCAGTCTCCGAGGCAGATGATCTGCATGTGGGAGAAGTTGCAAGAACAAGGCCGGCCTTTGTGCTGCAACATGAGATGACAGGGCTCCGTCGCGGAAGGGAGGAGGAGAAACCATAGAAGAGAGAGAGGCAGACAAGTTTTGCAGGCATAGCCACGACGCGTTGTGTATATACTACAGATCGTGGTAGCGGTGAGAGTCGGGTGTATCTAGGTTCTAGGATGCTCGAGGATTAATCATTCATTCATTATTTCCACCCATCCAGTTATCTCTTCAGTTCTATCTAACAGGTTTATTCGATTCGCGAGCATTTTCTTGTCCCACGGTTCATTGGTTGGTTTCAAGTCAGCGCTTGATCACACGGGATCAGTTGGGGCATCATTTGTCATGCCGACCGCTCCTCTTAACTTACTTTGTAGGACAGGGATTTTGCTCTAGAAGCTGAAAATGTTACATGGTATCGGATACTTGGTAAAAAGATTGACACCTTTCTCCCCTTGTTTTTTCAATGGACTGCGTCTTGCGCACTCTAAGCAAGCAAGAACCCACCTTTTCGAGGAGTCGTGGAAGACTAGCGAAATGCGTTTTTGGTGTTGCGGATTAGATAGATGGGTCGTTCGACGAACTATTCAGAAAGTGGTAACTGGTGGGTGTGGAGGTTATTATTGTTCAGCGCCTTCCGACCAGACGCGATCAGCGACACGCATCCTCGGAGTGGAGCGGCTTCTGTCGGGCATCGTTTCGCATGTGATTTTGAGTGGACACGCACGCGGAGGCAAATGTTCTGTTCTTGACTTATTATTATTGGAGGAATGAATCCCGTGTCTTGACTCGGCGATGGATTCACATTTTGTAGATAATCAGTGACGACCCCGAATCTTCCTCCTTAAATTTTTCGAGCAACGAGAGCATTCACAACGGTGCATTCATAATTAGTGACCCGCTCGCCCATTGAGGCTTGATCAGCAAAAGCTCTTTCGTGACCATAGGGGGCGACGACCGCGACTTGATTTGTTCGAACTTGTCAAGGGACGATGAATGCCTCTCGCTCCTTCTCTTTCCCTCTCAATGTCTAGGTTTATTTTTATTCTTAAATTTTTTGCACATTTCTTATTTTTGCACAAAGATACCCCCCCAATTGTCGTGGGAAACGAGCACGTAACAACGGGCACCCGTTCGTCCGCCGGAAATTTTTTCCGGGGCCTGTTGATATAAAGGTCTCGAGTTCAGGGACACTTTGACGCAACGTCAAGTATGCGGGGGGGCACTCTGAGAAAACGACCTTACTTCGGGCGTGTTTTTTTCTTTTTCTTTCGAGTTTTCTCAACAAAACAGAGGCAATGGGCCGTCGATTTCGGCGGGTCGGAGGCCCCAAAGCCCAATAACGATTAACGGGCCCATCCAATCTAGCCCGTGACGACCAACCAGACAGGCCCATATACATCCTTCCCAAATCCTTGTGGCCCATTCGAAAGTGGACTCGCTATTTGATCAAGTAATGTTGGGCTGACTTCTCATCACATCATCGCGAATTATACAAAGAACGAGAAACTTAAGGCCAAAGTCTTCGATTTAAGCATTCTTGGTTTGTTTTTTCTTTTTTAAATTTATTTTTTTTTGGGGGAGGGTGGGGGTGGGGGCATTAAATCATTGTCGAGACATTAAGAAGTTTTTACTTCGCTATATTTTTATTTTTAATTTTTTTTCCACTAGAGATAGTTTTCTTGGAGCTGGGACGAGAGCTGTGCCGGTTCTCTTTTGGGTTAAAATTGGGAAATGGAGAGAGGGGAGAAAGGGGAAAAGAGGACAAGCAATGCCCACGCGAGCGACGTGACTTCTGAATCGTCCAAATTCGTCGTCTTTTGTCAGATTGAAAGTGACCAAGTCCGACCCGAATTCGTCCTTTTCAATTCGTTCTCTGTAGTCTGTACTCCAACTTCCTTCCCACCACTCGCTCCCCGCCACGTACTCCGTCGCTATTCGGTCTCCTGTGCACAATCATTATTGTGCCTGACACTACCGATTCGAGGCGATGTTATCCCGAAAAATTTTGACCCATTGCGTGAAAGAAATTATAAATTTTTAATTTATTCAACGCAAACTCTTAAATTTAATTTAATATGTAACGTGATCAATGAATTTTTAATTTATTCAATATGGTCTCTAAACTTTTAGTATATATTAAATTTTTAATTTATTCAATATGATCATATTAAACAAATTAAAAGTTTAAGAATTACATTAAACATTAAATTGGAATTCATGGATAAAATTAAACGAGTTCAAAATTCAAAGATCACATTACATATTGGACAAAAGTTCGATGACATTTCTCATGTATTTCATTGAATTCATAAAACTGGATGATTATCATAATTAAGGTAGCATATTATATGCAAAGTTACAAGTAAAGCAGCATGTCTAATTAGGTGCTGAATTTGTCATCATCTTATGTATGGTAGACAGAGACCCATAATCGATTATTGATATCATGTTAATATATTATGAGATATTTTTTTGTTGTTGAAAATATTATGAGATATTGAAATGGCATCTTTCGAAAATCTTTGATTACAATACTTTTTTTTGCATGATCTCCGTCTAATTAGTGTAGAAAGTATAGTACAAGGGACTTATGAACTTATGGATCGCGAATGACCAAAATCCATTCTCCAACGACGTGGGTCGATAGAATTAATGTGCACAAAAGGTCAATGTACGCTCATAATTAATCATCAATACACCTCTTCGTGACAATCAGTATCTTTTTTGCCATTTTTTAACCAGCGAGTCCAACAAGTGACTCTCGAAATGCAACTTCAAAGAACTTACCTTCTGCGAACACTCATGTCGGACTCAAACTCTCCCAGGTCAAATTGACTGTTCTCCCTTTTCTTCAGCCGATATTCCAGGGTAAAAATGGACGTAAAAACAAGTCAGAGATAAAAAGAACAAAAAGACATACAATTTTGTGATATCTTCGCTCAAGGCAGGTAACGGATTAAAAAGAAGTTTGTAATTCATAGACTAATTTCCAAATTACTAAAAATTATACAAAGCACCCAACCGTTTGATGGCTTGCTCGTGACACCAAGGGAGAAAAAGCAAATGCAACGAATCTCACATTTGGAATAGGGAAAATTCCAAATAAAGGTTTGAAGTTCTTTTATTTTCTCAAAAAAGGGTCTAAAGTGGACCTTATTTCAAATAATTGCATTTTCATCTACTTCAAGCTCTTATATAAAAATGTAACAAGAAGAAAATGTAATATAATAAATTCCTAATTGTTTGCTTTCTCCTTTTATTAAATTTATGTAATATACAAGAAGACCGGGCACGGGCACGTTTTGTAAGTGCTGATTGCACAAAGTTTGTTCCTTTACCGGAAGGAAAAGGAAGCACACGAGGGGATCCACATACCTCTTGTCCAAGTCGTCTCATAACTATAAATTTTAGATTAATCATGTTAAATTATTCCTTCGATGATGTGGATCTCCATCCTAAATGAATAAAAAATCAAGTGTCCCACTAATCTCATATAATAACACGGGAACACGAAATAATTTCGATTTCATGACATGGAAAATTAAATTTTTTCCGCGCATCTTAGAATATCGTTACAAATTATTGTTTAATTCATACGAAAATTACGATATTGCCTTTAAAAGGCGGCAATAGCGGCAGAAAAATTTGTGAAAAGAAGAAAGATTTGGCTAACGATGTTGTCTTTTAGAAGCTAAGCAAAGACTAGACACCACTTGTCGAAATATAATTGGGCTACAGTAGTCCGCAATGCCACTCATTAAGACAAGCAACCCATATAATTTATATTCTAAAAAAAAAAAAAACCCATATAATTTATAGAGATAATGACACAAACAGTTCTTGAACTTTGATATAATATGCAACGTGATCCCTAAACTTTTAATTTATTCAATATAATCCTTAAACTTTAGCCCAATATTTAATATGGCCCTTGAGTTTTTAATTTGTTCAATATGATTCTCAAATATTTTCAAATAATTCAGAGACTACATTTAACATGCCAAAAATTCAGGAATCATATTAAACAGATTAAAAGTTCAAAGATCACATTGAATATTAGACTAAAATTCGGAGACTATATTGAATAAATTAAAAGTTCATGGATCACATTATATATTAGATTAAAATTCGGGGACCGTATGTGTCATTATCCCTTTATAAGTAGTACAATATCAGAAAAAAGAAGAAAAAGGTGGAAAAAAAAGGGCAACATCACAATATCTGTATTATTGCAAAACTCCATATCTTTTCATGTTGATAAACACCGGCCTTTTCCTCATTGTCCACCTACTCTCTTTTTCCTCTCAACTTTACACGGGGGAAACACACCATGAAAAGCCAACTCCTCCTTCTCCTTCTCCTTCTCCTTCCACTTCCTCTGCTTACCTAGAGAGAGAGAGAGAGAGAGAGAGAGAGAGAGAGTCCATGGACAAACCCATGCTCAATCTCACCCAAGAAAGCGAAAACCAGACAGACCCACAAGACCCGTCGTCACCCAGAAGGAGCAGGAACAGAGGGAAGCTAGACCAGCGGCTGCCGGCGAGACCGACGACCATGAGGATGCTGATGGCGACGATGATGCCGCCGACGGTGATGGAAATGTGGGCGACCATGGGGTCGGCCCTGGCCAGCTTCATGTTCATCTGGGCCATCATCAGGCAGTACTGCCCCTACGAGCTCCGCCGCTACTTCGAGAAGTACACCCACAGGCTCACCTCCTGCTTCTACCCTTACATCAAGATCTCCGTCCACGAGTACACCGGCGACCGGCTCCGGCGGAGCGAGGCCTACGCCGCCGTGGAGGCCTACCTGAGCAAGAACACTGCCAAGAGCGCCAAGCGGCTCAAGGCCGAGATGGGCAAGGACAGCAACCTGGTCCTGACCATCGAGGAGTCCGAGAGGGTCACCGACGAGTACCAGGGGGTCAAGGTCTGGTGGGGCTCGAACAAGATCATGTCGGCGACGCCGTCGCGGTCCATGACTTATTATCCGGAGCAGGAGAAGCGGTTTTACAGGCTGACATTCCACAAGAAGCATAGAGAGGTCATCGCCGAGTCCTATCTGAAGCATGTGATCAGGGAAGGGAAGGAGATACGATCAAGAAACAGGCAGAGGAAGCTGTACACGAACTCACCAGGTTACAAATGGCTGGCCATGAAGTCCACTATGTGGAGCCACATCGCTTTCGAGCACCCGGCCACGTTCGACACGCTGGCGATGGAGCCCGAGAAGAAGAGGGAGATTTTGGAGGACTTGGTGACTTTCAGCAAAAGCAAGGATTTTTATGCCAGGATTGGGAAGGCTTGGAAGAGGGGTTACCTCCTGTATGGGCCTCCTGGCACGGGCAAGTCCACCATGATCGCCGCCATGGCGAATTTCCTCCACTACGACGTGTACGACCTCGAGCTCACGGCGGTCAAGGACAACACCGAGCTCCGGAAGCTGCTGATAGAGACGACAAGCAAGTCGATCGTCGTGATCGAGGACATCGACTGCTCTCTCGACCTCACGGGGCAGAGGAAGAAGAAGGGTGAGAAGCTGCCCTTGGAGGATGAGAACGTGGACAAGCTCAACAAGGATATTCCTAGGAAAGAACCGTATGAAGATACCACCACCAGTCGGGTCACTCTTTCGGGGCTCTTGAATTTCATTGATGGGTTGTGGTCTGCTTGTGGAGGAGAGAGGCTCATTGTCTTCACCACCAATTATCTGGAGAAGTTGGATCCTGCGCTCATAAGGAGGGGTAGGATGGACAAGCACATCGAGCTTTCGTATTGCTGTTTCGAGGGGTTCAAAGTGCTGGCCAAGAATTACCTCTGTCTCGAAACGCACCCGATGTTCGATGCGGTCTGTGGCTTGATGAGTGAAGTGAACATCACTCCTGCTGATGTTGCTGAGAACCTCATGCCCAAATCCCCAAATGATGATGCCGAGAAATGTCTGTCGAGGTTGATTCAGGCCCTTGAGGAAGCAAAGGAAACGGCTGCTGCTGCTGCGAATAAAACCAACGAATCCATAGACGAGGCTGCCAAGGAAGGCGTGAAAGGAGCTGCTGCTGAATATAGAGACGGGCCTGCCAAGGAAGACGCCGTTCGGACGAAAGACTGATCGGGAACGAGCTACAGCATTTGCGGCATCATCTTTATGGTAATACTGATTATCCAGCCACAAAAAGCCATGATGATTTGTGGTCTTGTGTAGTAATTGATGAAATGACTTTTCCTATGTTTTTGAGAAAGAAAGGTTTTGTCCAGGCGACATGCTTGGGAGGTTCAAAGATAGAATTTGATCGTTTTTCCTTTTGTCTATGCTTTTCTCTTTTCTAGAAAAGCTTATGCTGTTTACTAGGGACCCTTTATGGCATTTATGAAATTGGCCCCATCATATTATCCAGTAACTGTGGAACAAGATGGCTTCACTTGAAAAGAGAATTCAAGTACACTTCAAACAGTTTTTTGATCACTCAAAACCGAAAATCAGAGTTACAAAGGATAGACAACGAGCCAAATAGCCAGAGAAGAGTTTCTATACGACATCCAACCGACCCAACTGGCCAAAGGCAGATAGCCATTATTAGGATCACTATAGAAGACAAAGGAAACAGGGCCATAATAAAAGTTTCGGCTCAAGCATTATTTATGTGACACTTGCACGACCGGCAGACCAAACATAACTTGCGATGAAGATAAAATTCTCGGCTGGCACTTGCACTAACCAAACTCTCTTGCGTACTAAGTCGGACTCCATTGCTTGGCTAACAAGACCACTCCGGCATCTGAGGTGTGATGCAGTTGTCTGTGTTATGGACTGAGGAACTCCATCAAGGCCTGAGGCCGGGCAATTTTCACTAGGCTGATCAACCTGCAATCTCTGCTCATGACTAGAAAGATAAAAAACTGACTATTATTCCCAATCCCTCATAGGGTGCCTCCCTCACCTTTAAGACTTACCACAATCAAACTCGAGTAAATCTCTTCAGGAAGAAATCTACCACATCGATAAACTAACTATTTACAACCTCGAGGAATGTCGTATTCGTCTGAGTATAACCCGACTATAGAAGTATCTCGTCCTGAAGAATAATAGCAACGCCGCAAGAGAACCCAAAAGAGTAGTGCCCGCCATAATGAAGAAAGACAACATGAAGCACTTTGTTCCTTTACATTTGTGCCCTTTCCCTGATGCTTCTTTGTCGTAGATATACCCGATCACTCTAATGGAGAAGATGTACGATCCGACGGGGTTCGCCATGGTGATGGTATTGAATATGGTGCCCATATGACCCACACCGAATATCTCGGATGTGATTGTTGGCATCAGCGACCACTGTGAGCCATAGCACACGCCCACCAAAACGGAACCCACGTACAGAGCACCAGGCAGGCCAGAATCAATGACCGCATGACCAACGCTGAGAGCAGCTAAAGTTATGGCCATGAACAATGGCCGAGCCCACCCTTTGGAGTGTAAGAAGAAGTCAGATACAAATCCGGCCCCAAAACGACCAAGAAAGTTCCATATGCTCCACAAGGAGATCATACCGTTCACTTCTTCGCTGGTGTAACCCAGAGATCCTCCTATCTGGCCGATGTTATTGATCGTGGCAAGTCCCGACCCCATGCCACATGCCATGGCTAGAAATAATATCCAGAAGTCCATAGTGCGCATAGCTTGCAACAAATCTAGGTCTTTTTCGAGCTGCTGGTCGTTGTCTTCATCTTTACTGATTTCTTCATTAATGTCACCAGGTACAATCTGATAATCGGAACCAGTCAGATCTTCTTCTCCATCATAAATCGTCTCGTAACGCTCTATCTGGTCGAGATAGCTATTCTGATCCACACCTTCAATCGACAGCGTCTGTTCAGCATTCTTGAGATCTCCTTGCAGGGCTCTAGCAGCAACAAAAACAGGTGAAAAGAGCAACAGAAGCAGCAAAACTAACGCTGAAAGATGCAACAAGAACGTCCACTTGAAGATGTTTTCCAACATTATGACAACCATGAGATAAGCTGCAACGACGAGAGCAACCAAGGACAAAGCATATAGGTGTTTCTTCTCTTCCGCTGCACTCGCATTGTATATTCTTACGAATCCCATGAGGAGCAGAGCATTAATCGTTGGTAATAGGGCAAGCATTAGGAGAAACGCAGCGGGGTTCTCGTTGAATACTGTCTGATATATTTGGATCAGTATAGCTCCACTTAAACCAATAAAACCCTACAAAGGAAAGGATTCAACAACCATCCAACCAAACTGATTAACTGTAAAATGCAGTGGAGCAAAGGAAAAAACATTATTTTGACCCCCCATAAAAAGGAAAAAACATTAGAGCAAAGGTAAGTAGAGCACTTCTAAATAATATCGACAATCTTGTTCTCAATGATTTGTCCAATTTCCACAGGTTTTAACTATTTCAAGTGCCTCTTAAGCACTCAACAAAACTGTCCTCACACATATTGCAATATATTTTTTCAACTCTATGCTGCTCGTGTATCATGATCAAACATCAGTTTTACTTGTCTGGAATCAATACAGAAGCTGCACTTTCAGCAGACGACATGATGCAATTTATGGGATGACATCCAAAAGAAGAACATAAAAAACCCCAATTCCTGTACATCATTAATCTTTACGAGTGAGCAAACTTTGAACACCAGTGAAGGTAAAATCTTGAAATTCAAACAAGTGAAAAGAAAGAAAATTCAAAACAACGATGACCAATCCAGAAAGTTAAATGTTCACACTCAATCAAGCACCTTCATGATCCCAACAGCAGTACCGCTGTACTCGGGGAAGTTCTGGACTGCTGTGACGACATCGGCGGTGTTGAAGAAGCTCTGCGCATGCGCGGCGACCAACATGAACATGCACACGACCGCCACGGGAGGCCGGCGCAAGATCCCGGCGACGGATGCCCATATGAGGGAGTAGCCCACCAGGTTCTGGGCCGCCCCGGCGAGGTGGACCACCCACGGCCCGCCACGGCGGAGGGGATCACTGGCGTGGGAGTAGAGGAGGCCGGAGAGGACGCCGCAGTTGGCGCCAAAGTCCTTGAAGACGGAGATGGCGTCGAGGGTGGACTGGGAGTAGCCCTGGGTGAACTTGAGGGCGGGGGAGTAGACGGAGAAGGTGTAGAGGGAGCCGCTGGTGCACTGGATCAGGATGCTCGCCACGGTAGACACCCACTTGTTGCTCAGCTTCTTCTCGCGCCGTCGGCGGGTCTCCATCTTTCTCCGACGTGGGGGTGGCGGCGTTCGTCGCCGCCGCCGCCGCCGCCTTGAGAGGCCTGGTGATGTTGTGACGGCCCTGACGAGTGGTCGGGTGGGATTCGACTCTGGGTGATGATTGATGCTTTCTTGGTTCCACTGTGTCTTGTCGGCGTTGCGGACGTTGATGATGATGGTGGCCGGTACGAGACACCTGGGCCATGTGGCCTCCACGTGGCATCGGTCCTACCTGGCTAGTTCATACCTCCGCACACACACAGGCAGAGAGTAATGATGTGCAACACGACAAAGAAGACTGAACCAAGTAATCCGGCACACGTCTGTACCAACGTTTCTGTCTCGCTGCATTTTAAGCTGGCAACTTGCGAACTGTGTTATTTTTCATGAGTTTTTTCTATTTTTCTTCGCCTAAGGAGTAAAGGGGGTGTGCAGAATAAGTTAGATGGGAGCTTCAATGGTTCCAGAGGTTGAATATGCAGTCATTTTATGAACCGTGGGACCAAGTCTGGTATGTAGTGTTCCTTCATGTTGATCTCTGATCCAACAGTAAACAGTAACTTGACATTTTAATCAACGCTGTTGGAGAAATAGCCCAAGTTAGCCTTGGATTCATTTGAGGAGGCAAGTTCACATGAACCGCATAAGGTGAAACCGAAGTCGCAGGATGATGTCGTCACGCGGAGGGTCCACGGCCTCTTGATCTGAATGCTTCAATCCTATGGACAAGTCGGGTATGACCCTCTTGATTGGAGCTCATCCCAGTATAGTTCGAGTTTAATCAAAGTAAATGCAGCTTTGAAATTCCATTTCCTGTCGATTTTCAAACTCAAATGCAGCTGCTGTCCTATGAGCATCCGAATGTTTACAGGACATTTTCATCTGCTCAAGCCTAATGACAGAGCAATGGTGCAACTAGAACATATACACATTCCCTCACTATCCCGGTAATGATGGAGGTGACTCAAAAGGCATCAGAGGCATTCCTCAGGAGGGACCCTGCCCATTATGAAACTTCCGAGATCTTCGGTGCTTTAACTTCTGCACCTGATAAAACTCATAATTCTCGCCATGTTCGACATTTGTCGGGTCGAAAATGGAGATAGTACAACAAACTGAACGAGAGGTAATGCCAAGGCAGAAAGCAAAAATTAACGGAAAACTGCTCGATAAGGACAAGTCGTAGCCAATAATTGATCAGATCTCCATCTCTCTCTCTCTCTCTCCCCTAAGAAAAACGAGGGAGACATATGGGTATTATGTAGCGCTCAGAATTTCACTTGGTCCGGAATACAACAAGGAAATGGCATGAAAAAGAACAAACTAATCAAGGAATTCACTCAACCGCTGTGAGCTGCGAATGCTGCGATCTTCTATGAAGAATTAGCTTGTAGAAACTTCTTGTGCGGAAGAACAACACCAGAACGACCAGGAAACCGAAGAAGGCAACGGATGCCACTATGAAGAACGACAGCATGAAGCAATGAGTGCCGTAACAGGAGTTATCCTCCCCCGTCGCTTCCTCATCATAGATATATCCGATCACTCTCACCGACAGGATGTACGATCCGACGGGACTACCTATGGCTATGGTGTTGAAAATGGTGCCCATGTGTCCAACGCCGAATATCTCCGAAGTGATCGTGGGCATCAACGACCACAGGCAACCGTAGCAAACGCCCACGAGGACTGAGCCCACATAAAGATTTCCTGAAAAGCCGGAAGCAATGATTATGTGACCGACCGTCATGATGAGCAGAGTAAAAGCCATCAAGAACGGCCTCGTGAAACCTCTCTTGTAAAGCAAGACATCAGAAACATATCCGGCTCCGAAGCGACCTAGAAAGTTCCATATACTCAATAGGGAGACCAAAGTGTTGATCTCGACGGTGGTGTATCCGAGGGATTCTCCGATTTGGCTGATGTTGTTTATGGTGGCTAATCCAGAGCCGAGCCCACACACCATGGCTACAAACAACAGCCAGAAGTCCGCAGTACACATCGCCTGTATAATATTCATGTCTTCCGAAACTTTCTCGGACACTACTTGCGGCGGATCGTACAACAATGGACTCTGCTCAGAAGACGACGGCTGTGACAATCCTTCCCTTTCCCCCCTCATTGCCACAATCGCCGTTTTAAGAGGCCAAAAAAGCAGAAATAGCAGAACTATGAACGTTAGGATACGTGACCATAACGGCATGGTAAAGATGTTCTCCAGAATTATTAAGATCATGAGATAAGCAGCAATGATCAGAGCGACTGCAGAGATGCTATTCAAATGCTTCTTGTCTCCCATTGCATTCGTGTCGTAGATTCGTACCAAAAGCATGAGCATGAGCGACACGGATGTTGGTAAAAATGCTAGCATCAGAATGAAGGCACTCGGCTGGTCCTTGAGCATTGTATAGTACACTTGGATTAGTATAGCTCCACTCAGACCAAGACAGCCCTGCGCCAGAACAAGGTAGATATTGGCACTCAAGAACACATTTAGAAGCAGACTAGCACATGAGATCCTGCTATTGAACTAATAATCAGATTGATTCTTAACCATTTTCCCTACCTTCCCCAAATTTCACCTTTGAGTTCAATTTTTAATTGGACCAAACAGCAAGTCTTTCCAATCACTTCTAAAATTCATTTCTGCAGCAATTTCTCCCCTCACATGGCTTCCCTTATATGTGATCCCTCATGAAAAGCACACTACAATTTGCACAGAGATTAACAGTAGTCACTTACAAGAACAAATCAACTGCAACAACTAAATCAACTCGGAAACAGAATCTCAGATTTCTCTAGTTTAAACTTTAATTCAGGACCCTGTCTTCATCTTGACATGTCTGTGGAGGCGAGAGAATGAAGCACGTCGTTGCCAAGAACATCCGTGAAGCTTATAACACGCTTTCCTAGATTCACCAAGATATCCCAAGAACCATCCTTACAATGTCATGTGGAGGCACTCCGAGTACGCATATGGACTAATTACACAACCTTGACTCAGAAGGCGCGGCGATGTAAGGATTCTAACCAGCACTAGAAGAAGACCAATCAATGGGTAACATTGAAAAACTCTTAACGCTGATATTCGGACACACATGTTTCTCTCTCTCCGCATAACACCAGCTAAAAATTGGAATTTTGAAAACAGCCCACAACAATCACATGCGCACGCATACCTTCATGATGCCCACAATTGTCCCACTGTAATCGGAGAAGTTGTGCACGCCACTGACCACGTTGGTGGTGTTAAAGAAAGTCTGCGCGTGGGCCGCCACCCACATGAACAGGCACATCACCGCGACCGGCGGCGGGTCAATCACCCCGACGACGGAGGCCCACATGAAGAAGTACCCGGCGAAGGACTGCACGGCCCCGGCGAGGAGGACGAGCCACGGCCCGGGCGAGAGCACCGACCGCCCGGAGCGGCCGCGCTCCCCGGTGACGGCGGAGTAGAAGAGGCCGGAGATGACGCCGGCGTTGGCACCGATGTCCTTGAAGACGGAGACGGTGTCGAGGGTGGATTGGGAGTAGGACTGGGAGGACTTGAGGGTGGAGGAGTAGATGCCGAAGGTGTAGGACGCGCCGCCGCTGGCCTGGATCCACACGCTCGCGATCGTCGACACCCACTTGTTGTCCACCCTCCTCTCCATGCTCGCCTCTCACACTGGCCGCGTGCCGGGTCGCTTCTCGATTCTCGTTAAGGTTTCGTTTCGGGAAGTTTCAGATGTTCCCCCTGCTGCTGCTGCTGCTGTTCTTGGCCACGATCTGGGAAGGAACAGAAGCGAAAGACAGGGTCGCACCTTACTTGACTCTGGTATCTAACCTTATCGCCAGCGTTGACTGATCCCTGTTCATTGATGGGAGACCGCCATCGAAGCTGTCTGCGTCGTTCTGTTTATTCTGATCTTTTTCACGTTCGGACGCACCTAATTTTTTTTTTCCATGCATCATCTTTTTAGATTTGTCGTTTTATCTATCTCCTAAATATTGGGAAAGCCCTTCTATTTAACTGGATTAATTCCAAAAAAAAAGCATCAATTTTAGGTCGAGGGACAATTCTGGCTCGAACTTTTTTTTTGTTTCATAAAAAAGCACCAACTTTAGGTCGAAGGACAATTTTGGCCCGAACTTTTTTTTGTCCCATAAAAAAGCATCAACTTTAGATCGAGGGACAATTCTGACCTGAACTTTTTTTTGTCTCGTAAAAAAGCACAAACTTTCATTTAAATCCCAAATTTAGCCCCCCATTGACTTTCTGTCTGAAGTTACCCTTGTTTGAGAAAAAAAGTTATGGTGGTGAGCCTGGCGAATCTCTTCCATGGCATCTGTCGACGGGCGGTGGTCTACAACTTTAGATTACGACAAAACGACGAAATTTGGCTAGAAAGATTCAATCTGGAGATATTTTTTACTTGCCGGTGAAGTGAATGAGAAGAACAGTTTCACCGTTATTCTTCAAGCTGTGGTTCAGAGAATAAGACAATGAATAATGCTTTAAATCCAGTCAGCAAGTTACGTGAATTTATTGTTAAGGTGGAATAGTCTAGTTGGAAAATCAATTGTTTTAAGTCAATAAGGGCCAGATTTGGGATTTAAGTGAAAGTTGGTGCTTTTTTACGAGACAAAAAAAAGTTTGGGCCAGAATTGTCCCTCGACCTAAAGTTAGTGCTTTTTTACGGAACAAAAAAAAGTTCGGGCCAAAATTGTCCCTCGACCTAAAGTTGGTGCTTTTTTTTGGAATTAACCCCTATTTAACTACAAATCCCTTCTATTTGTTCAAGTCCTTTTGTTGTTTTCTAATTTTTTCTTCTCTCCCGATCTAAATATAAGAGTTTGAACTCTCCTCATTTAGTTTTAGATCTATGAGCTTTTATCTCCCGATTTAGATTTGAGAGTTTAATATTGTTTTCGGGGTTTCGATACCCATGCTCTGTTCGTGTACATGTCCTCTTCCTCCAGTTTCAATGATGATCGTAAGAGCTTTGACGTCCGGTTGAACCACGAATATTTACTCTTTCAAAAGTTAAATCTGTGTTTTTTCAACCTGTTGTGATTGTCTCCGTGCGGCGATGATGTAGAGGAAGCTGAACCTAGGCATGCACTGCCAATAGGCAACACCCTAGTTATTAGAGATGGACTTTCCAGCGTGTGCTCATCACCGATGATTGATGATGATACAAGATCCAGTGATCAACCGTCGATTATTTTGCTTAACAGATTTATTTTATAGAATAAGTATGTGCTTAGCCCTATCGATGCTCTGCTCTCTTTCGATTTTCTTAGCTATTAAAATCAATGTACTTATCATGTATTCTTTTGAGCATTGAATACAATTTTCTTTCTAAAAAAATTAAGAAAATGGCAACGAATTTATCGTCAACTCTTATGATATGCACTTATTTATAAGTCAAACGAGACCAAACGCATCGGTTAGTAAAAATTTGAAAATGAAACGAGATCAAATCTGAGGCGAAGGGTAAAAAAAAACCTCCAACCTCTAAATTTCCCAATTCGGGTTATGCATATTCTGAATAAAGTACTTCTTAGATAATCTGTAATTTTTGTCTTTTACACATTTGGTTGATTGGAGTATATTACCAAATTGATCTTCCGATCTGCTATACATAATTTATATCGATCCCAAAATCTCCAATCACGTGAGAGTCAGCCATGGTAGGCGCAATTTTTAAAAAATTAATTTAGTGTTTGCTCCTATCTATTTTATTCAGATAAAGAAAATGGTTATCCATTTCTCTAATTGCACTAACTAGCATATTCCGTCCGTCGTGTGAGAGTCAATTTTTTCATTTTGAGTAAAATTAAAGTACGTATTTTAGTATGAATTATTCATTCTATTGTAATCCATTTCTCTATTCTGTAACGATGCTAGTTTGTGCAATTAGAGAAATGGATAATTATTCCTTCGGGTGGCTTCAATGGTCACCAAACTATACATATTGTTTCAATGATGTAAAGCAAATGGTGTAACTAGCGAGAACTCATCATAAGCATAGAATATCAATTTCTAGTAAAAAATGACATGAATTAATTTACAAAAATTCATTATGAATGCCTAAAAATTTGTTGAAATTGAATAAAGTGTAATCTTGATCTATCTATCCGTATCTATATATTTAAGTTAAAAGTGGGTTTTGCCTCACTTTTAAATTCCAATTTAGCTCAGATCTACCTTAATTTTGTTATGGAGTGTAAATTCAATTAGAAAAAATATTGGCCAAAGAGAAAAGTAAAAGGTAAAAATAAATAAATTCAACTACTCACTTTTTACTAAAAATTACATTTTGTGAAATTCTTTAATTATCCTTTCAGTGCAACAATTAACTTCATCCTCCTCTTGTTTTCTTTTTCTAAATTTTGAAAAAAAAATGTTTGGTCGGTAGTTTTTGAAAGCATAGCCCAAACGTTCATCCAATAATTCTTTCCAGAAAAGAATCAATGTAGCGGTAGAAAAAATAAAATATTCGCGCGCATGCATGAGAACTAATTAATTAAATTGATTCTTTCTATTAAAAAATAAAATAATCGCGCATATAAGAGGCTCTGCTGCTATAACTAAGTTCATATTAAGCAGGAGCAGCAACAGCAGCAACGATAGCAAAGAGTCTCTTCTGCTAACAAGCAATAGAAGTTGAACGTTTGCCAAAACATTTATTGGCAACCTACACCTGATGGGCAAAGCTGGCACAGGCAATATAGCTACAAAATTTTCCCAGACATACTTAGAAATGATCTGCTGCTACAAACTGAACCATGCAACAAGCATTTTTTGCTTTTGTTTCGCCAACATGCAACATACGTGTTAAAAAGCACTTTTCCACTGACTAAAACTACGAAGAAACCACACGAACAAGAATGGTAAATGAAGATGGATCTGCAGCGAAGAACAGCTTGCAGCATGAAGAAATACGTTCAATTGAAAAAGATACTTGTAGGTATCAAATATGCAATCAATCACATGTCATTTAATTGGCACAACTGTAATGCCAAGCATAACAGCAGGGCATAAACGGAGAGACTTGACTAATCATCTACACAGGTTATTTATTGCATTATGCATCAAGGGGCAAGGGGGTGGGTGGTGGACATGTGTATAAGACAAGACAAAAATGGCAATATCAAGAACAAAAAAGCATTCTTAGCACCTAAATATTCAAAACAAGTATATGCAACCACATTACTTATATAATCCACCTTCAGCACCATCATATCATTTACCTGATCCACGGAGGTATCTGTATACCAGCAATTTGACAGAGTAAGTGACGACAAGAGAAGCAAGCAAACCACAATCCGAAAGTTAAAGGACTTAATCACGAAAGGGGGTGAAAAGGAAAAGTCGGAGAACAAAATTGTAAAGTAGCACAAGTTAGAAGGCCATAATTAAATTATCCCCTTTGAAAATGAAAGGAAGATTATATTAAAATTCTCAACTTGCTTTAAATTGTTCTTTGCATCCATAGACAGCACGAATAAACCTTCCCCGCTCCCCCCCACCCAACTGATATAGCGTTGATAGGACGTCAAACAAAACTAAATTACAAGTTTTGGAAAATCATGTGGCATTGCAGAATCATTGTCCAATCCTACTCTCTCTTTGATTTAGCCAAAGCCTTTTTCCTCTGCCCAAGCATATAGCTGTACATGTGAGGACCCCCTGCACCGATATTTCGTTGAGCCTCTCAGATAAAAGCCTCAATAAATATTAAAACAAAGAAAGTAAATTCTTCACGCTTACCTGGGACATAGATCCCCAGAGCAAGGATAGCAGCATAGAAATAATCAAAAGAGTAGTTCCATCTGTTTGGCATTCTTATACAATACTTCTCAGATTTCTGCATAGACCGATATTTAGTCAGTCACCAGATGCCAATTCATTCTCAAACAAATGTGCCAGAGGCAAGAAACGTATCCTGTGTCTGATATTGAGTATGTCAAAAAGGCAAGCGATGCATCTTATTTAGTACTGCACATGGACAGTACAAAGTTGCAAGCAGAAAATGAAAGCATGAATAAGGGCTCTGCCTAGCAAACACTCACTGTTTGCAAGTATTTCAGATTTGAGGCAAACAACCATTTACTGGTCCTATCCTATCAACAGAGAACTTTTATTGAAGGGCCTATGTAGAGCTCCTAACTCCAACATAGTTAATGCAGCTGCGGAAACTATCAAACAATTCGGTCTTTTCAATCCAACAAATCCTCGGCGCGATAAGCCAGACATAAAAAATCAAAACTAGCCCAAAGATGTTAAATGAATTATAAAACCTTGTCTTTGAGCAGAGTAGGAATACAGTACCAAATAAAGTGGCATGTTCATCATTTGACAATTGGCTGGAAGTAATTCAGTTAAAAAAGAATGAAAAGAAAGAAATACCTTAATGTATGGAAGTGCAATATAAATCAGCCCAACTTCACTGGCAATGCCAGAGGGATACAACACCAGGAAGGTGCTGTACCTGCACAGTGTAAACATATCATTCAGAAAAGGTACAGCAATATAATATCAGACAGATCAAACCTCTCTAAGAGTTTAAATAGGAAAAAACTAATTTCTTAGTACCTCAACCACAATAGCCATGATGGTGTAAAACCTAGAGCCTCCTTCATGCCAAAGAAAGAGTACCGGATAATCTGTCAAGAAGAAATATGCAAAATTATTCCGTAAGGCACTAAACCTCTGAGTTTTTTCAACTTCTCGATAGACTAAAGCAACAACGACAGTTGCAAAATTCAGTCTGACATCAATATGAATAGCCTAGCAGTGCAGACTACACACGGTGCAAGACAAGCAAAGTCAGAAACTCATTGGACCATTTTAGTCCTCAGAACTGTTTTCATGAATTAGACCAAATTGAGAACATATGAAAGAAATAAGGCTAGAATATTGCGTCGTGTTGTTGAACACAAAATCATAACTAAAATATAAATTGAGGAAAAAGAAGTCATGAGGAATATGATAATTGAAAATGGACTACAGTAAACTGTTTGAAACTCTTTTGATGAGTTGAGTGCATGTAGAAAGCAATTACTAAAGATAACTTGATTCTTGTTGTAGAACACCACATTTAAGGTCATAGAAAAGAGAGGCAATTGTTTGAAGGAAAATCATATATTGGATAAAATAAATCAACTTTATTCAATTAGCAGCATAGATTTTACCACATACTACATAGTGATAATTACATTATGACATACGTTATATCAAGGTATCAAAATAAATCTACCAGACTCTGGAGAAAATCAATACGACGAGTTGTATCGGAGTATCAAATTAAATCAACCAGATTCTAGAGAGACAAAATTGCATTAAAAAAATATACCATGTAGGAACTAGGAAGAAATGAACGTCAGATAAGATAAATACATAATGTATGTCAGTTTGGTAGTACTATGAGAAGGAAGTTTCAGAAGTACACGTCATTTACATTGTCATACACAGGAATAATATTCTGACATCTGAATTGAATATAACAAAATGCATAGCAGTTTAAGGCAAGTGCATCTGTCTCCTTGCAAAGTGTATGGAAACTAAATCCAAGGTCATTTATCGTATAGAGCAAGTTCGCGAAGCTTAGTCAATGTCGTCACAGTTCATCTCACTTTTCAGTCAATTCGTATCCATACATAAAAGCAGGTTTATGTATCTATCGCATATGCTCAAGCATAAGCTTGTCCTAGATGGCAAGAATTTGTGCAGTTGGCTACCGGAGTGAGAGCACAATCAAACTGTGTTTACCTCAGTGATCGACCAGCTAATTACCAAGGAGCTAACCATTACGTGTTTCTGAGTCTGCCCATAGAAGCACGAGATCGTCAGCACGAGAACATTAATCAGTCAGTTCGGCTCAAATTACTATGCCCAACTACATTAAGTTGTAACGGCGAGATTGCACGAGTAGGATGAATCACCTCGGGAAAACTGTAGAGGATGCCCCAAGTTACATACAATCTCGAACCAATCTGAGGCAGGGTGGCAGTTATCGGAGATCTAACCAGACCTATGAACAGAAGATTAAAGAGAAAGCGGAATCAATTCAGCATCCATGTAATGTGAACAGAACAGATTCCATTTAATAATCTCAAGAGAGCTTTAACTCACCGACAAGGCCATGGAGGATCTACCCCAAATCCAACCCAGGAACCCAGAAATGGGGACAACAAACAGAGAGACAGACAGAAACGTGAGAAGCCATCTTCGACGAAAATCAATGGTGCGAGCAAGAGCGTAATTCAACCACGAAAAAGCAATAATTTTTCGACGAATCGATAATGACTAGTTGAGTACTGAACCAAACTCCCAAAACCTCTAATACCCTGTTCGTAGTCCAGACGCGTCCTCACTATAAGCACACCGCTCCACGAGACAACTCGCGATCAAGACCGAACGACTGAGGCAAACAACTCAAAGACCAAAAGGGGGGGGGGGGGGGGGGGGTGGTGGGGTGTACCTCCATGACGGCGGCGGTCTGAGCGAGCTGGAGAGGCCGCTCGACGGCGCCGTAGACATGCTCGGGGCCGGATTCGCGGAGCGTCTTGACAGCGAGAACCAACACTTGCGACCTGAAAAACGAGACGGGAGTCATTAGGACCCCACTTTGGGACGGGGAGAGCGAGAGGGGGTGGAGCGCAATGGAGCGTACCATCCGAAGAAGACGGTCCAGTTGTAGACGGAGAGGTAGAGGCGCCGGAGGGCTGAGGAGGCACCACCGCCCGCCATTCGAGAGGGAAGAAAAGAGGGAGAGCTGAGGAAGCTAGAGAGAGAGACAGAGATCTGAACGATTAGAGAGGATTTGGAGAGGACGACGATGTTTGGCCGAGCAAAATGGGAGGGTGGTTGGACATTAAAGAGGAGGGAGAGGACAGTTGAGCTCCGATCAACCGCTTCCCACCTGCCCCCCAACCCCTTTCTTCTCAACCGGGGTTATGCATCGGAGATGGAGAACGATTAACAAAAAGGGCCAGTCTCCTTCTTGGGCCCTACTCCCCCCTGGCTAGGCCCAATCAAATTTAAAGGGTGTGTGTTTGCGTGAGCGAAAGTGTTTTCCGATTCGCATCATCGAAAATACATTGAATAGTCTTCGACCATTGATATCGAATGGCAACGCTTGCCCAACAGAAGAGGCCACTGCATCCCATTGATAACTTCTTGCGATCAAAGTTGTTCAAATGTCCCGGTCACTTGTGCTTTTTCTGACAAGTGTGGCATTTTTCGCCAACTGCACTTTTTGGCAGCACCCTCTTTCGCCTACTAAGCTTCTCCTGATTTCAGTAGACAAATGGAGGTTTCTTTCCTTGTTGAAAACATGGTAGCAGAATCATCTTGAGATTCGCCAAATTTCCTATTTGAATCGGCTCTTTCTAGTGCCCCATTGTCATCCTAGAAACATGTCAAGAGCCGCACTTTGTCCGAGCACGTTTTACCCCGACGATTCACTCTCCGCCCTCATATGACTGCCCTCGTAGGACTAGGTAGACCACAAGTTTTCTCCAACTCTAACTCACCTACTTGTTGAAATCGGTAGACCATAGGTTTTCTCTCATTATTGAGGTTTGCCAAATTGATCCGGGAAGGTTTTCCTATTCAGTGAAGAATTAGTTCTTTCCTATGCCCTATTGTCATCCTAGAAGCATGTTGAGAGCCGCACTTTATCCGTGCATGTTTTGCTCTAGCAATTCACTCTCCGCCCTTGTAGGACGAGGTAGACCATAGTTTTTCTTCGACTCTAACTCACCTACCGGAGGGATCCTACTCTGATACCATTTGTCACAAGCTAGCAATTCCTTGGCCACGGAATAGCCCTTGTGGCGTCTCTCGAGCTGGGAACACCAGGCCAGCCTTCTTTTTATAGTTATTCAAAAGAACAATGTAGAATCTTCGTATCAGTTCATACCACATCCAGCTTAACTCGAGTATACAATCCTTCGAGCGAGACACGCATAAAACTTTAGGCATAATAATTGATTTCCAAATGCCATGACCTTGTTAGGAGAGCAGTTGTATCATTCCCTCTGCATGACTCACTCTTCACTCGGCACCAAGTCCCATTCACAAGGATGCGAGAGTACAAGAGAACTACGATCCATGACATGACATGGAAATCCTCCACACGGTGCCCCTCCACAAAGTGAAGCCAGTGATCGAGCTTGGGGCGGTCGGTCTCATGAAGTGGAATTTCTTCACTATGGGCGAGGTGCACTGGCTCAGGACGCTGTCGATGAGGGACGGGAAGTCCAAGTGAATAGAGGCCGGTCTCCATTGAAGACGAGGTAGGTGGTGGGGTCCAAGTAGATCACCAGCGCTTGGAGAGGACGCTGGTCCTGACAACGTCTTCGAGGGGCAAAAAATGAGAAGATGTGGTGGATCACGGCGTCTGGCAAGGCGCTGATGAGATCGCTAGGGGCTCAAAGGAGGAGGAGTTCCGTTTTGTTTGGTGCAATTCGGCTGGTCACCGGAGGATTTGCGGTGGATGGCGCCTTGCACGGAGTCTCCGCCATGGATTTGAAATTCTAGAGTTTATGCAGAATTTGCCCTGAGTTTTCGAAGGATTTTACTTTTTTGTTTGTTTTCTTACATAGTGACCTTGAGTTGAAAAAAACTTTGATGATCCTGATATTGTTTTTCTTTTTTTTTCTCCTTTTTCATGTTCATTGGAATATTATTCCCTGATAAAGCAAGTGCCGAACGGTTGATTTTTAAAAAATGTTATACCGAGCAAGTGGTGAACGATCGAATCTCGGGACGCATGGAGGAGCTCCGCCGCACTGCCACCGCCATGGTCGCGCGAGGCTAGTGACCTCCATTGAAGCAAATTGACGGAGGTGGTGAACTCTGTGGCCAGGGCGCACGAACTTCGTGCATAGTGATCGAGATGGAGAAAGAAAGGGAGGGACACAGCGCTGACTCCAGCGGGTGAGAGGCTGGTGTCAAAGGCGGATGGAGGCGGGATGGCGAGGGCTCATGGCGAGAGAGAACAGAACAAAAGTAAAAAAGAAGAAAAGAAAGGGAACAACACAGAGCACATCTCAACCATTGAGTTGTTCAAGGTTGAGATGTGTTTTCCTGAAAAGTTATAAATCATTTTACAAATGAAATTCAAACACCAGAAAACGTTTTCGGTCACATATTACCGAACAAAGAAAAACTAATCATTTTCCTGAAAATGATTTCTCGAAAAGCATTTTCCTTTATCACGGAATTTTTCTCCAAACAAACGCACTCTAAGGAACAGTTCCATTCTCAGACATAGGTTATGATATTTTAGGGCTCAAGCGGAATCGATGAACACTGTTCGATAGATAACAACGGATCTCGATCGTCCATCGAAGTGTTCATATGGCATGACAACTCGTGCAGGAAGCACGATAGAATGCACTATGATACGCCCGTTCTTTTAGGACGAGACCGTAGAAACCCAATGCCCATTCGTCGGATGGAGGAGTTCACGCTTGTTTGTGAAGCCCAACTAGGGCATCAATAGTTACTCTTTCAATGAAACTCCATAGTTGACCTTTGATATGTGGTAGTTTGCTTTCGGGGGGCTGTCCGCACAGATTCTTTCCCCCGCCCTAAGGTTCCCTAGAAACCAGAAGTTCAGAACATGCAGGCAACACTAACAGTAGCCAAAGACAGACGATGTTATTTTTCCAGTCACATGTAAGCCGACAACTTAACAAATATCCGACGAAGATAGAGCATCAAATAGAAAGAGAAAGCACATGGCAATGTTTTTTACTTGATCGCCCCATGCTCTGTACAACAATTGGCAAATCAAATTCAGTCGCCCGGTCACCCCCTTATCCTATCTTCACCCCGATGATTATCAAAGCCTGAACCCCTTTTTTTTTCTCTCTCTTTTCTATCAAGATAAGAAGATTCTCAAGCAACGCTGATTATGCTCTCTCCGCTGCGGAAGCCGGACATCCCCTGAATGGCCGTATGCCTCGAATGGGAATCACCTTGATCTGAAGGCAGGGAGAGATTGAGGGATAGGGACAGTGGCTCCATTGTCGACTTCGTATTTGCACTGGGATTGGAGGTAAGTGGAGCACGAGGGATCGGGACAAGAGGTGTCGGCTGGATGAGCTTCGACAGCGAATCCCCGAGCCCATCCCCTCGAATTAGAGCCAAATTTGGGACCTGATTCTGAACAGGAACTGGAAATGCCGCGGGTCCAATCGGCATCGGGAAAGGGGCCATTGTAAGATATCCCTCTGGGTTGCAAGTATCTTGCAACAGCGGATTGCTAGGCAAGGAATTCAGCTGAAATGTATTACCTTGATGAGGAACATGTTCGCTCTCCATCGTACTTGCAGTTACCTGAAAAACATGGATGTGGCAGCATCATAAAAATCGTGTGATTTGAACGGAAAGACTAAAAATTTGGCCCAAAAGGTGGGTCAAAGAGAAGATTAGAAAGATAAAAAGTTGCAAGTGGGTTCTATTTTTTTAATTGCCACAGAAAGAGAGCAACGTGACCTTCACTCATATTTTTTAGTAGCCTAGCACATGGAAGAGTGAGCTTTTCCCTAGTACTACACAGTAAACAAATCGGCTTCCCTAAATCCGAGAAACCAAACCCACCATAAGCACATAATTGATGTCTAACTCGACACACTAAATCTTTCCTCGATTGTGCTGTAAAAACCAGAATGCCTAATAAAAAAACAGTAACCTCCTCCCGCTCCTCTAAAAAAAATAAAAGAAAGAAAATGACACGGTTAGCTTGAGTAAGGAAAACTCATCGGCAAATCTATGGGAGATATTCAAGAGATTCGTGTTTCAAGCCACTTGATTAGCTTGTCTAGATATGAGCTCCATAAAACCACGGCCTCATTTCTTTTTTTTATCTCATTCTATTTTCTCTAAGATAAAGAATGGCTGTGATTAGGTTGCTCGATCAAAGCAGGGCGTGAAGTCAATTCATAATGTTTACTTTGATTGAACCTGAAGAAACTACACCTATAAAAAGACCCTACCGATCTAGGTCAACTTTCACGACGCTTTCGACGAGTGCTCATCAGCCAACAGGAACAAAGACGACCTTCGAAGATAAAGGGGGCATCACAAAGTTAACGAAATACGTACAGAATCCGTGGTTATATCGAAGAGGCTAGACCGACGCCGCCGGCGATTGAGGTTGCTTCGCCGAAGGAAATATTTCTGAGCGTGGCTCGCAACCTGAGTGGGCGTGCGAGTCTTCACGAAGTTCCTGGATATCGCTCTCCAATCTCCTTTTCCCACTTTCTGTAACCCCAACAAGAACAACCTGTGCTCCTCCTCTGTCCAGGGAACTCCTGATGAAGCCCACAGACAAAAACACATCAACACATTCCAGATACACATGTTGCCAAATTCCATATGATTTAAGAGCATCAGGCGACTTTCCTCGTACACGTCAACGACGATAACTCAACATTCGAAGAAAAAGGCAGCGATTTTAGATCATTCGGATCAATATTTGTGGACCGACATCAAATCAGGCTTTCATTGTACAGCTGATACATACTAACAGCTCTTGATTAATCCTCGACATTGAAACTAATTCATTGAATGTTAAGATCAAAGTTGTCGAAACCAATGATTCCCAGGGAAACGCATCGGATAAAAGAACCGTAAGTTTGCAGGAAGCGGTGATCGCATCGCATGCAGGTAAATGAAATCTCGAATCAGGAACTTTTGGAGACCGATTACTACTAAATACAAATACCTCTACGGATGCAATACTCCAAAGATCGACCATTCCAACCAAAACGCATCCAAATCAACAGGAAAATAAAACGCCAGAGCGAAACAAAAGGAAAGAAAAGCAGAGCGACATGCTCACCTCTCTTGCGCTCACGGCCACCGCTGGAGTTGGGCACGACATCGTCGGCCGATGCATAACCTTTGGCGGCCTCTCCCTTGTTGCCGCTTCCATTGTTGGCGCTGGGAGTCGCGTCCTGAGGCTGCTGGTACTGAGACAAGTTGTTCAGGCTCACGCTCTTCCTCATCGAGTCCACAACCACCCTCACGCCGAACAGCATGATCTCCCCGGCGGCGGCGCCGGCGGCGCCGGCGCTAGAGCTCTCGCCGCCGGAGACGTCGGTGGTGGTGGCGGCGCGCGGAGGAGTCATCCTCGCACCGGCGGACGGCGAGGAACCGGGTCTCTCCGTTCCTTTCGCGACGAAACCGAGAGTCCGTACAGTTGGATGGAGCGAGGGAGAGGAGGCGAGACTTGTGAGAGATGGAATGAAAATGGCATATATAAGGTGAAAGTCAAAAGAAAAAAGAAAAAAAAAAAAGAGAAGTAAAAATGGACGGTGCATCTTACTTGTCGTGAGACGTGGATATTTCCGTAATCTGACGGCTGTGATACTTTGTATTCACTTGGAATTCAGTCCAGGTACCAACGAGGATTAGGGGCTGACGTGGCACTGCTTTGTTGAGGGAGAGGCTTTTTTTTATTTTTTATTTTTATACTATTTATACTTTCCTGGTTTTCTCACATTCTTCTTGGCTACATGATAAAAATACCAGTAGTATTATAGTGATTTTTTTTTATTGATCTATCCATTTAATTTTAGATAGATTTCGTACATACGCTCTTTAATGCCCAAGAAGTTAGCGTCTTCTCATGAAATAAAAATTAGTTGTCTTCCACATCTCACTCTTATATTATAATTTTCTGTTGGTCATGTTTTTCCCAAATCCTTTCGTTCCCTCCTAGTGTTTTTGTTTTTGTTTTTCGAAAGGTACGATGTTTTTTCATGCTTGATGCGCAAAACGGGTTTGTGTCTGTTTTGTACACACATCACGCATGCATCAATAGTAGCACGGGCGGGATCATGGTGAAAGAGATTTTGCCCAGGGGGGGCCCTGTATGATTTGGCACTTCGGCAATCATTAGCGATGCATTAAGTGGGGGGAGAGACTCGCGGTTCTAATGAGCTGAATTGAACAGCTTTAGCTGTCGAGAACTATAAGATATCCGAGAAGCACTCGTCGTTAAGAATGTCAAAACGTCGATTTCATTCCTCATCCATTCACCTCGCATCACTTCACTACCATTATTGTCCTATGGTAGCGTCAACGATCATGCAATGAGTTCCTCGCAACCATCATTAGTGGGTCTTTTAGACGTTTAAGAAAAGGAAAAAGCACCCGTCACTTCGCCCGCAAAGAGAAAAAAAAAAAGAAAAAAGAGAAAAGAAACCGAATACATTAAAGACGAGATATATTCGGGTGGAATAAAATACTTGATTTTCAGACGAAGAAAGAGAGGAAAAAAAAAGGAAAAGGAAAAGTATCTTGAACGTGGATTTTTTGACCGGTCCATCCACATTGCAACAGGCTAACAGCCAAACACAGAACTCCCAATCAGAGCATGTGGCGCACAGAATCGAGGATGGAGCACACAGCACATGATCCGTAACCAGAGGGCCCCCCCCTGCCCCCCCTTCTAAGAAAATATTATCGTCCACCTCCGAAGAGTACTCTCTTTCCTTAGCCAAATGAATCCGGTCAAAATATGTTCAGAGCCTGTCCCATCAAGTGGGCCTCTTAAAAAAAATCGTCAATCCACGACAAGAACCCAACAGTTTCCGGCCATTGTGCCCATTAAAACTAATCCCCCGTCTGACCTAAATCAACTCGATATTTTAGTAGCGAAAACAGCAATTCACGCCACTCGAGTCCTTTCCCCCTTTTTTATCCAAATAAAACCAAAGCCAAGTGCCGAACTTTACCTTTACTTCTTCCTAGAGTACACAGACAATACCCCCCCCCCCCCCCCCCCTAGCTGGCACGCACGCCAAACCCCCACTGAATACGAATTAGAAAGAAAGAAGAGCACGAACCTTATCATACTTTGCTTCTTTGCCTTATTATAATTTGCTTCTTTACGACTAATTTTCATTAACTTAATGCTCTGACACCGAGATTTGCACGCCCAACTAGTGTTGCTAAGATGAGAACGCAACTAATACTTCAAGCCCAAACAGAGCAAAAAGACTTGACTCTGTCATCAATCATCTAAACAGGGTCCTAGGTTTACTATGGAAAGGAAAACGAAATAAGATCTTGGGTTGAACTATTCTTGGTTTGAGGAGGAGAGGAAGATGGCAATTCTTTTGGGGGGGGCAATGAAGGTGGCATTTCGCGGGTGGGAATCGAATATTCGATCTTCATCGAATCAAAATGAAGGAGCGATTTTTTTTCTTTTCTTTAATCTTATCTCTGAAACGGCCGTACAATTCTGTGAACCCTTGGTGGTGGGGTGCGTTGGCAGGATAAGACAAGATAAGGTTTTCTGGGCCTCCACCAACAACCATAATAAATCAACTCGCGTCTCACCTTAAATTTCAAAATTTTCTTTCTCTCACAATTCCGTGGACACCTTATCAATCGTCGTAAGTTACAACTTCTGTTAGCCCTCTCCTTAATCTGTGCTTGAACAAGTAACATCTGAAGAACTGAAATTTGACTCGTCAAGAGCATACAATCATAGAACTCGAACCCGCCCCCAACAATCAAGGAAATGCAATAGGATAGTTCAGTTCGAAAGTCCTATTGGCTTATTATAAAAAGTTGGAAAAATCCAATTACTAAATTCGACGACCAATCCAACCAAGAGATAGTTGAAAAGACAAAAAGAACGGACTCATCATATTAAAGAACAATTGCTGTCACAGTCATCTTGACGGAAATGCAAGCAGCTGTTCTCTCTACAGGCGTCCGCGCGCTCGCATATTTTGCGCATGACATTTTGTGAACTATCTTTTCTACTCCAAAAAATCCAGACTACAAATAGTAAGTAAAAGCTAAAGTGGTTCCTTAGTCTCGAAGATAAATCATGTGTCCCCTAAATTGGATAAAAAGAGAAAAAGAAGCAAGTGGGATCGAAAGCAACAACCATGTATGTTACATCGACTTTTGCTTCGATTAATTCAAAAGCCGTAAAGTAGAAAACACCATGCTCTCCCCAAGTTAGGATCTTATCTTTTTGAGCTATTCAGATGCAGATTAGACTCTACCTTTCGGTCTTTTCATTAAAGTCCAACAAAACAGGGAGAGAGAGAGAGAGAGAGAGAGAGAGAGAGAGAGAGAGAAGCACACCAGGAATAATCTATGCACTCCAACAGATGTTAAGTCCTTGTTGATAAGGCTCAAAACCCTTTTTTTTTTTTTGGTCAGACAGGCTCAAAACCCTATTTTACGACTTGATTAATTGCAATTTGTTGCCAATGAAATCATATTTCATCTTGCTTATTGTACATTTTACCAGAGATCTGCTTTTTCTAATAATGCCATTTGAGCAACATGACTAACATGCACTCTGCTTTTGAACTGTGCTTTTCCCAGTTTTTATTTGTTCATAAAAGACACTCAAATCCCACCAGTGCGAAAAAGGATGAGAATAGTAAAATAATGGAAATGTGAAGAAGCACTTACCAGCTTTTCACAATAAAGCCCCACTCGTGTCCACTGCCCATGCAAAGAGCCCACAACCATCAATCCAGGGGGCGAAACAGCAACTTAGCAACTCCCTGAATCGAAGAAGTAGTTGCCAACTTAAACACAAATTTTAATTGCTACAGAGTCTAGGATAGTTAATGTATTCTCAGAAGACTTGACAATGATATGATTAGAGGAAAAGAGACCCACTTCGCAGGACAATTCCTCATGTCTTCTGAAGCTACAGGAATTTTCTGCACACAAAAGCTTTCTATGATCTAAAAGAAATTAATGATATTTGTCCAGAAGAAAACAGAACAGAAACAAAAATCAGGGCATACCGTGGAAGCAAGCATTTAATGATGACTTCTTGCCAGCTTCTCTTTATTCAAGTCATTCTGGTTTCTGATCATCACTTAAAGATCAAGGTTGAGAGATACCTAGTATGAACACCGATGTAGTGCAAGCTTCTTGCTTCACTGGATGACCTTATAACAGAAAAAAAAAACACTGGCCACGCAATTGCAAGTTCAAAAAGACAACCCTTTACTACATGCAAAATTTAATGTACATCTTAAGCTGAAGGAAAGAAATATCTCCAAAGCTGCAAAATCATAATCCTTCCATTCATTCTGCTTGTATCACAGTATGGAGTTGAAGGACCAAGTCTCCATTACTGGCTAGTCTTCCTGGGGCCGAGTCTCCCTGAGCTTGGCAAGACCTTAACCGCTTTTGAAGAGGAGATTCTTCAGCCAAATTGCGTAGCTGGAGCTGATTCTTGAAATCTTAACTCTGTGACTGAGTTGGGAAGAAACATGTCATGTTTTCATAGAACTGAGGATAGATTTCATGTACCCCTTCAAGCTTTGCTAGTAACAAGCTCTCTCTTTTTCCTCTCTTTTGCTTCGGTATGGGGATTATCGTTCCTTTGAGAGATTCTCGTTCCTCGTGGAGAAAAGGGGGAGTTGCTTAAAATTACTAATCTATCATTCTTGGATCCTTCTGAAGAGGATTCAATCCCAGAAAGAACTTTCTTTAGCTGTGTCCTCTGGCAGACAATTCTACCCCTGTTCCAGCCTGGGAAACCAAAGGATGATGACAGAGTTTCTTGAAGGAATGACGAGGCAGCCTTTGCAATAGGAAATTCTTGACTGGTTGAGCTTTTTTCCATCCGTCCTCGACTGGCCAACAGATAATCGAGTGAGAATAAGGAAGCACGAGCAGTTTAACACAAGGCGAACAATTAGAACAGCTTCCAGAGAAGGTCAAATGGACATAAATGCCTAATTGTTTGACCAGTACTCTGAGAATTGTCAACGGTGAACATGAGAGGCAGAACTGACTCGATAGTATATTTAACAACCAGATGATAAGCAAGAGAAACTCATGAATCTTGATATGAGTAGAATGAGACCAGGAGACCAAGATTCTGATTGATCATTAACTGTGTATTATCCTTAATGAGAACCAGCTATGCTAAGAATCTGCCAAAAGTGATAGTACGGCTTTCATAGTTAGCTTGACTTATCTTTCCTGTCAAATTTCCACAAATGGACCACGATAGGCAATCACGACCTTAAAATTGGAAAGAAAATAATGTTTGCAGCTGTTGGACAATTCAACCAATGCGAGGATATGGGGAACAATAAGAAGTCCATCAATACTCTAACCAAAAGGAAGCAAGTGCATCGCTACTTAAAAGCTTCGGTAGGAAGGGTTAAGAAGCATATTCGTTTAATGGATTTGTCTAAAACTAGCCGCTGCTCATTGCCATTCCACTGATAAAGCCACAAAGAATTGAGTTCAAAAAAGTTATTACCTGGTGCATAAAAAGTAATATGGCATCACTTGTAGCTTACTTGTCGGAGTACTAATTTGACACATACACTAAAGATTGCCGGACTTTTTAGCATCCCCTAGGACCAAGGTTTAATCTCATTATTGGAGAAATGGGCGCACCTGCCAGGTGCAGCTCATAGATTTGGAGAGACTCAACTCAGGTCAACCCAATGGAATAATCATGACGGAATTTAATTAGAGCTAACATCTCTACTGTATGTATCCATTTACCATTATAAGTATATAAAGAAGAGAAAAGAATATGAGCAGAAAAGGAGCTTACACAACAACAATGCTCGCGATTTGAGGAAGATCCTCTCCATTCAAGAACGCTTCCTTCATACTATTTAGCCAAACTGATATGGCAGTATATGCACCACCTTCCCACATTCTGTGACGTAGGCAACGTCAGCACAGGCAAGCAAATGGTTTAAGAGAATATAAGTGAGAATAAAAGATAAATCCTACATACCTGTGTACATCAATGGACCATACTAGTTTGTTTTTCCTAAAAAGTTCAGGAAACAGACCCCTTTTCGTGGCTTCACTGAGCACTCTGGCAGCACGTTCTTTCTGGCCTAGCCACCAAAGCGCCTCTAATAGCGCATTGTAAAATCTCTTTCCCAAACCACATCCTTCAGAGTTAAGTTTGTCAAGAACATACTCCACAATCTGCCAATTTGCATCGTGATCATAGTGCCCTTTGATCATTTGGCCAATCACTTGATGAATATTTGATCCACTATTTATGCACATCTCATCCAGCAAACCATAGGCATCATCCCACCTGGAAATACAGCAGCTTAAAAGTGAAAGTGATCATCAAAGGTATAGTGCAAAAAGGTATTTTACTTCTTGACGGAGTATGGAACTGCCAAATCGTCTTGCAGTAATGGCTGGATAATTTCTTTTGAGTGTTTAGCACTCAATAGACAAATCACTAATGTATTGATGATGACATCCACCACTTGGATACAATTGCAGATTTGCAACCACAAAAACACATAAACCAACAAGGTAAAACAACAACACAGTTCTAACATTTACTTCTGATTTATATATGTTCTCCCACATTAAACTTGTAAAAGATACCTTACCAAAAAAAAAACTTGTAAAAGATAATACCACACAAGCAATAAATATTTCCTACTGAGATCAGGTATTCACAAAGCACAATCGTGAAATGATAGAGATTGCCTTAACAACGAAAACATTATTGATTAAATCTCACTCCAGATAAATAGTAGCTCATCCTCACAAAAACAAGGTATATATCATCATTCTGTACTATCTATCTTTCGATATTGACTTGTTCCCTTCAATTTTGGCAATAAGGAAAAAGGTTGAATCATTATGAAAAGAAAAGGTCGATCAAGTGATGTAATTTGTGGAAAAACAAAAGTAGGGCATTGTACAGGAGGATTTCATGGAAAAATGAGTAGCCAGACCTGAGCCAACCAAGAGATGGGCTTAGGGAAAATAAATTCAATTTAACTATGCAAAAAGAAACAAAACAGCAGCCAGCAAGGTAGCACAAGTTCTGGAAGGTCATTCTCACAAATTCTGGTAGCAGATCTGGAAGGTCACTCAAATAAGGATAAGCCCATTTCATCAACTTAACAGCGGTAAGAGGGTAAGTACAATAATCGGTTTCATATTGTAACCAGTATAATGAAATTTATAGCTAACAAATTCCTCAAATGCTATCTTAGATGGATCCGACTTCTTCTTGCATGCACGAGATCATATTTCAAGAATTTCAGGATATAAGGATATCTGACAAGAATTTAATTGATGATTCTTCCATATAGGTAAGGACGGCCATCTCCATAGCTGCAAGATGTAGGGCCTAATCACCTAGCAGACACAATCCCTACCAGTAGCTTAAACTTGAGATATTGAAGAGAGATGATCAAGTAATACCATTGTTCTCTAAGATCAAGAACAGCATTACATAGCACAATTGAGACTAAGGACTTCCTAACACAACTGCTGCTTTGGTTGTCAAACAACCAGTAATCCATGCCTATTCATTAGAGGGGATGAAAACATGAACAAGCACTATGGCAGAAGTGACCAGGCAGCACAGCAAAGGTAAAGTGTAAAGTGACTGTCAAATTTTTTGGATGAAGACAGAATGAGCACTCACCGATCACACTTTGCATAGACAGCCACCATCATACAGTAACACATAACGCTAGGCAATATTCCAGAGGATTTGATTTCCTTGAACTGCTCTTCACTCTCATCAACTAGCCCTGCAAAGCAGTAAACACTCAAAACAGCTTCAAGAGTCCTCTCGTCGGGATTACATCGGACCTTTTCCATATCAATGTAAGTTTTGATTGCTTCTTCAAATTGGCCTCCTTGCCTAAAAGCCTCAATCATGCCATTGAAGGAGGCCCTGTTCCTTGCAACTTCTAAGTCTCCCATCCTTGTCAATATTACCTCAGCCTCTTTATATAGACCGCCCCTTGCAAATGTATGAATAAGAGAGTTGTAGGTTTCAACAGTTGGCTTGCTACCCTCCTCATTCATCGTGTTAAATGCAACAAGAGCTTCCTCATATAATGAAGCTTGCCCATATGCTTCGATGACCCCTGTATAGACCTTGGAACTCGGTAATATCCCTCTCTCATTCATGTGAAGTAATATCTTCTGAGAATCCTCATACAGCCCTCCCCTCCCACATGCAAAAATTAAGCCTTCATATGTTTCCATGTTCGGCTCAACACTCTCCTCTACCATATCATTGAACAAAGTTACCACCTCTTTAAAGTACCCACCCTCACCAAATACTTGGATCAGTATATTATAGGTAGCGGCATCAGGCTCAGTATTGCTCACTTTCATCTCGAGAAAGAGCTCACGAACATCGTCGTATCTCCCATGCTTCCCGTATAGATTCAACAGTTTACTATAAGTAGATGCATTAGGGGCGCACCCGGCTGCCTGCATCTGCCTAAACACATCCATAGACTCTTTGATAGACCCAGATTGCGCATGCGCCTCTAACAAAACATTATACGATGTGATATCTGGCAGATTCCCTTCGGACTCCATTTCCTTGAGGAGTTCCGAAACCTTCTCTAGCGTACCCAATTTCCCGAAAGTCTCAACAAGGTAGCTGTAAGTCGTTATATCGGGAATTACCCCTCCTTCATTCATAGTCCTAAAAACCATCTCTGCCTCGTCGCCTAAACCCCTGTTGGAACAAGCACTCAGCAATGTATTGTAAGTAACCAGATCAGGTTGTATTCCCTCGTGCCTCATCTCCGCAAACAAACCCAACAAGCCCTCCCAATCCAAACCACCCCTAGCACAAGCATTAATCACAGTATTGTAAGTCAAAATACTAGGAGACACCCTCTCTTTCTTCATTTGATCAAGGAACTCGAGTGAAACCTCGTACTGACCATTTCTCCCATACGCATTGATCAGAGCCGTGTACGAGAACACGCTTCGAGGGACGCCGTTGCTGGGCATTTCATCGAATATCTCTCTGCACTTATCCAGCAAGCCCTCGCGTCCCAACAGGCTGACCATAATCGTATATATGTGCTCGTTCGGCTTGCACCAGATTTGCCGCTGCATGTACTTGAACAGACGGAGCGAGCGCTGCCAATCCCCTCGCTGCGCGAACTCCTTGAACACCAGTGCGAAGTCGTTCAGCGACAGCTTGTTCTTGAACACGTCGAGGCAGCGCGCGATGCTGCCGCGGGGAGGCAAGCTGCTGAGCTTGTTGATTAGGGTCTCGACGTCGTAGCTGTACTTGCCCTTCTCGACGGTCACCGACGGGTTGCCGAAGACCAGTTCCCTGGGCTTGGCCCTGACAATCCCGGCGCCGAAGCGGCATCTCCGCTCGCCGGCGGCGAAGTCGAGGTCTCCGGCGAGGAATCGCCGGCGAACGGGGGATTCTAGGATTTGCTTGGATGATCGAAGACCGTGAGGTTTGGGAGAAGGTAGGGGAAGAGAGAGGGAGAAGGCCATTGTGGCAATTTAACTGATCATGAGGATCTCCGAGCTTAGACGGAATCGAAGGTCGACCGGTTGTCCAAGGTCTCGGCGAAGTGCTGCGCTCGGCTGAGGTCGACGGGAAGCCGTTGAGAAAAAATGAAAAGAATTAGAGAGAGAGAGAGAGAGAGAGAGCGCGCGACCGACCGAGCGCGAGACGGAGGTTGAAGATGGACACGTGGAGCGTTTTGTTGGATCAGCAGGGTCGTTATCCGGGGCGATACGGAATGGGTCGGGTCGAGTTTTAGAATCTGCAATTTCCTTTTCGGTTCCAATCGGGATTCGTTGTTCGTCCCAAAAAAAAAAAAAAAACGGGGATGCGTTGTGTCCGACGTGTGCAGGTGAAGATATTTCTTTACTTGAAACGGGGGAAAAAATTATAAAAAAGAGGAAATTTGCTAAAAATATCAAAAACTCAAAATTTGTACCCATGCGATGCGTGCGTGAATGAGTCATTCCAAAAATGAGTTTTAAGGATTTTGCGTTTAGATGGGTGTGTGTTTGCGGGACGTATGTCGAAGGTTAAAATGGAAATGAAGGATAGTTTACGATCGTCACCGAAGTATAAGGGATGCGCCACCAAACAAGAATGAGGATTGGAATCGACGAAATTCACCACCAAGGCTTAAAGGACAAGCCACCCGTCATGATTAAAAGACTTTGAGATAGGAGAAGCTCACCACCAAAATCTAAAGAAAAACTACCGATCGAGGATAAAACGCTTCTTGATTACTCTCCAAGGATGAAGAAATCGATATAGAATAGTCCACTCTCCAGAGATAATCGTCTGCACAAAGGAAAATCTCATGTATTTTTCATTCATCAAAGTCTTTTTTTTTTTTTTACAATGGAAAACAATCCTCTATTTAAAGAGAGACTAAGACTTGGGAAATACACAAACATTAAAAGATATGGGAACTACCCAAACATTTAAGTACTCGAGATCTAGAAAGCATTTAGATACTTAGGAACTAAGGATTTTGATTCTCGAGACTTGCATAATAATTAAGACTCATACTGAGAAATGCATTGACGACACATAGGAACTATGAACAGCAATAAAGACATGGAGACTTGAAATCTTGACTCTTCAACCTTGCGGTTCATCTTCCAAAATTCGTACTCCAGCCTTGACCAGTAAATAATCATCTTAGGAAATCGTCATCTTAGGAGATTGCTCGGAACAATCTCCCATTGATAAGTTATTAGTTAGCTTTGAAATCACTAAGCATTTTCGGTAACTCGATAATCCGATAGTCTTAGTAACTCAATAGTCTCCTCATCGACAACTTCATTCTTAGACCCATTGAAACAAATTATAACCAAGGTTAGTTTTGGCTTGGATAATCAACGATTGTGATGGGTTTGCTAATGGAATCAAATCAAAACATTTGCCCCAAACTTTTTTCTATGACACAAAAAACCCCAAATTTATACCTGCGTAACACATTTACCCCCAACTTTTTTTTTATGACACAAAAAACTCCAGCTCTTTTCTGTGACTCCAAAATTTTGGAGTAAATGTGTCACATAAATACAAGTTTGGAGTTTTTTGTGTCACAAAAAAAAATTGGAATAAATGTGTCACACTGTATAAGTTTGGGGTTTTAGTATTATAAAAAAAGTTTGGGGTAAATGCGTCACGGTAGGTATAATTTAAGGTTTTTAATGGCCTTTATCCTTTGAAATATCTGTATTAATTTTTCAAGTTACAAATATTAAGTTACCAAAATAGAATTATGAGTTTTAAAATAGTAAAATTAATAAAACATTGACGGTTACCGACGGGTTACATCAACACCTTCGTTCCGACACTCAGCCGTTGCATGTTAACATTCCCGTTAATAATAATTGGGCTTTCTTGTCAACCAACCGCACTTTGCCAACTGACTATTCCCAGCACTTTAGGTCTTTGCATAAAACCATTCATGCAGTTACGTCAGTAAGCTGGTTTTTGTTCCAGAATCGAGTTTTGGATGAAACCCGTTTGGTAACGCAATTTCATTTTCTATTTCCGGGACAAGTTTGCTTCCAAAATGATTCGAAACAGAAATGAGAACCAAAAAAGTTGGTTTTTCATTTACGGAACAAAAGGAGAACCATTTCGAGAATTCATTTTCTTCAACACACATATTCATATGGAAGTCACGATCTTTGAGGTGAGAAAAAAAAAGCAAAAATCAAAAATTTCAAAACTTAACAGAATGGTTTAGAATCGTGGCTACCCACTTTCAGTGAAATTTAAATTTTTTAGGTACGAAAAAATTAATAAAAATAAAAAATTTCAAAATTTCACAAAATGGCTTAGAAAACCTATGGCCACCCACTTTGAGCAAAATTTAATTTTTTAGTTGCCAAAAAATATTCTAAAATTTAAAAACTTCAGAGAATATCTTAGAATACATGAGCGATTTGAGCGAAATTTTATTTTTAGGTGCGAAAAAATAAAAAAAAAAAAAATCAAAAATTTCAAAACTTTAGAATGTCTTAGAATACTTTATACCATCCACTTTGAGTGAAATTTAAATTTTTTAGGTGCCTAAAAATATAAAAAAATAAAAAATTTCAAAACTTCACAGAATAGCTTAAAATACTGTAGCCACCACTTTGAGTGAAATTTAAATTTTTTATATGCCAAAAAAATAAAAATAAGCAAAAAAGTAAAAATTTCAAAACTTTACGAGAATGGCTTAAAATACCGTGGCCACCCACTTTGAGCGAAATTTTATTTTTGTAGGTTAAAAAAGAAAAAAAAAAAAAAAAAAGAAAAATTTCAAAACTTCACAAAATGGCTTAGAATACATCTGTAGCCATCCACTTTAAGCGAAATTTAAATTTTTTAGGTGCGAAAAAATAAAAACTTCACATAATTGCTTAGAATACTGCCACCCACTTTGAGTGAAATTTAATTTTTTAGGTGTCGAAAGAAAATAAAAATAAGCAAAAAGAAAAATTTTCAAAACTTCACATGAGTGGCTTAGAATACATGTGGCCATCCACTTTGAGTGAAATTTAATTTTCTTTAGGAACCAAAAAAATAAAAATAAAAATAAAAAATACCATTTGGGCATCTAAAAAAAATTAAATTTTACTCAAAGTAGGTGGCTAGAGGTATTGTGTCGTCGTGCATGAAGTTTTGAAATTTTTGATTTTTATGTTTTTTTCACCTAAAAAATTTAAATTTCACTCAAAGTGGATGGCTATGTATTCTAAGTCATTCTGTGAAGTTTTGAAATTTTTGATTTTTGTTTTTCACCTCAAAAATTAAAATTTCACTCAAAGTGGGTGGCCAGGTATTCAAGCCATATCAGTAAAGTTTTGAAATTTTGAGTTTTTGAATTTTTTGGGCACCTTAAAAATTTAAATTTCACTCAAAGTGGGTGGCTATACATGTATTCTAAACTATACGTGAAGTTTTGAAATTTTTGATATTTTGATTTTTTTGGGCACCTAAAAATTTAAATTTCACTAAAAGTGGTGTACAGTATTCTAAGCAATTCGTGAAGTTTTGAAATTTTGATTTCTTGATTTTTTTGAAAAATTCAACAAATTTCCTATTTTCCCGAAATCTAAATTTTTTATTTTCTCGACATTTTGATGATTTTTTCTGGAATTTTTCAATTTTTGGGATTTTCTGAATTTTTTAAAGATTTTTATGAATTTTTCGGATTTTTATTATTTTTATTCCATTTCTAAAAAATGGATTTTGTTCTGGAAATAGAATTTTCTGTTGTTTATCAAACGGGTTTTTATTTCGGAAATAGAAATTTTGTCTTTGTTATCAAACGGGTTTGTTTAGAAATAGAAATTTTTGTCATTATCAAACGGGTTTTTTCTCGGAAACTCATCAGGAGCAGGAAATAGAAAAATCTATTTACGGTTCGAACTCATTTCGAACAGAATGATTATCGTTATTCGCTAGCATTTTCTGCTTCAATCGTCATTCTAGCAAGCCCTAGTCGACGACTACAACACTTATTTTTGGTGTCAACACACTCCTAGTTTTTCGTTAACACAAGTTAAGCTATGAGATTTGCTACTTACAAAAAATTATTTTTCGATTAACTACTTTAGCCCGTTAAAAGAATGAGTATAAAAGTAATGGCACGTGCATATTTTCTCGACAGGATTGACTTATATAGATTTTCTTTATATATCCATCTTTTTCCGTCTAATTTAATATTTATTATAGTTAAGATTAAATTCGTAACATACAAGTCCTTCTTTTTCCTAATTTTTGAAACGATTTCTAATAACAAAAGTAGGTACTTTTATAAACTTCTCTCAACTTACCAATTCATACTCATTTTATATTCGTTTGTAGCAATAAATATTGTTCTCGAATTAGTATAAATTTATCTAACTCTAAATGTGTAATTTGATGATAAATTTCACGTTGATAGTAAAAATGAAGGGAATTGTTTATAATTCATACAGAATAGTAAAATAATCATGTGTAAAATTACTATCAATGATGAAATTATCCAATATATCATATACCTAGCATTGTTCTCAGCTCACTACATGAAAATGAGCAGATAAGTTGTCTCAAATTTTGCAATTTGAAAGGGTAATCTCAAGGACTGCATAGCTGTTCTCTCCTTCCTCTTGCTGTTGAAATTCTTTGCTACCCTGTATATTTTGTAAGTGAAGTCTCAACAACGAATTAAAAGCATGATTCTACCTTCCTTTTTAAGACATGGAATGTGAGTTGCCATTATCACCACCTTATAAAGACTTTGCGAATTGGCACTTTCACTAATCATATCGCTTTTTCCCTTTTCATCTTGGTTGTACAACACAGCATCGATCCTCAAAAGGATAATTAGATGAAATAGTTTGAATGTACCCTCGCAATTTAAGTGTTGAATATTACGATTAGCGATCAGATTATCAATTACGTGATATGGACCATGTCATCCTTGATTCACCTAGACGAGGAAGAGCGTATAAGTTGTCTCGCCATTTATTGCACGATTGAAAAGCGATCATAAATACACGTCATGGGGGAGAAAATTGGGAGAATGTCGTGGTCATTCCCCCGTTTGGTGTTCAAATTATTCGGTACCACGCATAGTTCACACTTCTATCAACAATGCACGATTATCCTCTTCATAACTTGAACATGTTGAATTGAATTACCATGGTCGCTAACTTGTAGCAACGTACAAGTCGGCATTTTTATGTATCCTCACTTTATTCACTTTTCTCAACGGAGGATCCGTTTGTTTGAAGGAAAACCGTTTTCCTGAAAATTGTTTTTCTACTTTTTGGTATTCGAATGACGGAAAATTAATTAATCTATGGAAAACAATTTCCGGGAGGCTGAAAACAAGAAGTTTAGATTGAGGAAAAACGACTTCCCCTTCTCGTAGAAAGGAAATCATTTTCCCTAAAAGACATTAAAATTAAATATTTTCCTTGAAGATGATTTTCATAAAACATCGCACCCTAGTTTTATTGCATTGCATCTCAACCTTCGGAAACATATAATTAGTATGCATAGTTTGTCTAGAATCGCATGTTCAAATTCCTATCAGCAAGGTGATTATCTAACTTATGGCAACTCGCTTAGATGAAAAATGAGCATATAAATAGCATTTTTTCTCCAGTTTCATTGGTGATCGCATAAGAGCGTCTCACAGAACTACGAAGATTTACTCTTCCAAAAATTAGATTTGTGTTTATTCAACCTGTTTTGGTTGTCTCTGTATAACAATGGAATAGAGAAAGTCAAACCTAGGCGAGCACCGCCAACTGCCAACGTCGTAGTTATTGGAAAGAAATTTCCAGCGTATGCTCATCACTGATAATGATACGAGATCTAGTGATCGACTACCGATTTTGCTTGATAGATTTATTCTTATGGAATGAGTGTGTGCTTAATATTGCCGTTGCTCTATTGATCTCCCTTGTATTCTGGATTTGACTTTGTTTTGTAGTGTTCTCTGCATTGATTTTCTTTGCCATGAAAATCTATATTTCTCATGTATCTTTTTTAGCAATGAATATAATTTGTTTTCGACAAAAAAATAGCATTAATACTTTGCAAATTGAAAGAGGCAATTGTTCTAGTTTTATTACGTGTTATTCTAGTTTTAGGGGAAAATTTGGATAGAGGATATCAAAGTCATCCCCTAATTCAAAATTTGCTATCATTCGTATTTCGAGAAAAGTATAAAAAAAATCTTAAACATATTGTATTGGTACTAACTCAGTTCTAAATTTTTCAATTGTGCCAATATAATCCTAAACATTTTCACATTTTGCCAATTAAGTCCATCCGGTCAATTTTGGCCGGAAATCGCTGACGTCGACAATGGCCATCTCACATGACAAAATCAGTGTTGACATGGACAATTTTTATAATTATTTTTAAAAATTTAAAAATTTAATAATTTTTTTCTTTTATTTTGGCAAGCCAGGGCTTGCCGTAGCCGCACCATGTAAGATAGTAGGTGTTTACGTCAGCGATTTCTGGCCAAAATTGGCCGGATGAACTTAATTGGCATAAAGTGGAAAATTTTAAGATTAAATTACCCTAATTGAAATATTTAAGACTAAATTGGCACTAATGCGACATGTTGTGGCTTTTTTGGTGCTTTCCCATCCATGCTTAGTAGGTGAAGTTTCAACAAAATAAATGCGCGATACGTCTTTCTTCTTCTAGATTTGAACCTGCTAAATGGGATTACCATACTCGTTAAGTCACGATAATTAATTGGCGAGTTAATCAACGAGGCTAATCTAAAATTTGCTCACTTTCCAAATTGGTCATATTGCAAGGCATTTAATTTTCGCAACATAAATGGTATCATAGTTTGCATTGTTTAGTTGAAGGACATTCTGAATCTGGACAAGATTCTATCTAAGAACCGATAAGATTCAACGCGCACGAACAATGCAAAATCACTGGACATCCCGTTACATGCTCCTAGGAAGAGCGAATAATTTAATAAACTGCAAAAGGCATATAACAAAAAACAGGAAGTCAAAGTGTTTTCAAAACCTTTCCTTATCCTCGTATCCCCTTGTCACCATTTGCCCAACAAAGATTCTCTGGAGCGCCACCCACCGTAAGCCCCCCAACACCCTCGCATCTGAATCCGACGTACATGAGCCCTTGATATCAGTGGGTCCTACGCGGGACCCACATAATCCAAAGGCTGGATTGTACTGATCTCACATGTGCCGCATGCACCGGAGAATTGCTCACGTTTTTCCAATGCGACCGTCGGCCACGACTACATGCAAGCGTCCACGTGGCAGCATGCAAGGGCCCATGTCACCGGTGGGCCCCGGCCTCAGTAAGAGCGCGCGCGCGCCGCCCATAGACAAATCGAAAACCCCTCTCTCCACTCGACGAAAGAGAGAGAGAGAGAGAGAGGGCACCAGTGGTTCTTTCGTAATTAAGAGCGCCTCCGAAGGCAATCTCTCTCGAGGAAAATGAGAGTTTCAAGTTCATAACAGACAGCTGGTCCTGCTAGTGAGAAAACGAATAAAACACAACTACCTCTTTCGCTCTCACTCTCTCCCCCTCTCTCTCTCTCTGCTGTGTTCGCTTTCAGAATTTCGCGACCTACGAAGAAGCAGAAAAGAGACCCATCGAATGCACCAGTCCATGATGGACGATTTTCAGGTAAATTCCATTGGAATGACGGACCGATCGATCCTCTTTCTGTCTTCCTTGTCGATCATAGCCGGGTGTCTCTCCCTCTCTCTCTTTAACGGTTTCGTTCTGCCTCCGGCGGGAATGGCGTTTGCCGTATTCGTTTTGGTCGGGTTTATGATTGGCTGATCGTGTTCCTCTTGATGGTTCGCGTGATTCCGGTGGAGTTCCTGGTCGATTTCCATTTCTTTCGAGGCTTTTTGGTTTTTTTTTTTTTTTCCGGTGGGCAATGATCGGTGATTCAGGGCTGTTCTGATTGTGCTGATGTTGGTTTTGTATTTGATTTTGGTTTTGAGGTTTTTTGAATTTCTGTTTGGTTAGAAATTGATGGCCTTGAAGCAGGCGTACGCGGAGATTATCTTAGGCATGGCCAAGGAGGCGGCGGGGCGAGTCATGGCAGCCGAAAGAAGAGCCACTCAGTTTCAGGAGGAGCTATTTAGTTCAAAAGGAGAGGCGCTGCGGTTGCTTTTGAGGTTAAAGCAAATGTGTGATGCCAAGGTATAACATGTCGGTTTCGTCTTGCTTTGGCTTTTGTTTTACAGGCATTGAGTTTGATGCGGAGCCTGGGGTCTTTATGTCGACTAATTGACATGGCCAATGTGGATTGTTGTTTGAAAGTGGAATTTTGATCTTTAGTTGATATCATCGCACTCGTTTCCTAGAAGCTGCAGCCGTCTGTCTGCTTTTGTTATCTATATTTCACCAGTTGTGTAACTCTGTGAATGTTACACTAAGTTTTGCGGTGAAACATATTCCTCGTAGAGTAGTTAGTTTTAGGGTTTTATCCTTACGTGCTATTTCGTACACTTTTGGGTACAGCAATAGATGATAGATTGTACGCGAAACCAATTCAGTTGCCACAAGAACACACAGATAGGTCCTTTTTCTTGCTACAATTGTAGTAGCAATTAGCTTTCTGTATAGGCCTGGTGGTAGTGTTGGTCAGTCTTTCTCATTCTTTGTTTCTTATGCAGAATTGATAGGGCCGTCAACAATCACTTAGATGTGTGTCCCGCAGTTTTGAATGATGTGTCTATACTAAACTTTGCGCTTAACTTTCAAAGGCAGCGTGTCTAAAGATAAGATTAGACTTGGGTTGATAGAGGATGCTTTCTTCCTCTAATTTTGTTACGAGTGACGTGCGTATAAGTATACAACCCCATGTATGGTGAAGCGGAACATCCCATGATTTGGTTTAAGCACCTGACTTTTATAACAGTCTTCCCTTCAATGCAATAGGCGTAATAGATAATCTCGATCTGCTCCCTCTGTTTCAGCTCGTGGAACGTCTCATTGGCTCACCTTTTTATAATGCATGGCCGAATATGGACAGTATCTAGATTTTTCTTCGGTTGAAACAGTTAACTAATTGCTTCTTCATTCTATTTCCATCTTTCTAGTTGGCTTATACAGTCATCCAACAATGAAGCGTTGTTAAGTTATAAATGCGTTGGGCACCATTAATTTGCTCCACGGCACTTTGGAAGCAATCATGCCTGATTGTACTCCAAGTACCATGCACAGAAAATTGGTGCAACTGAAGCTGCAATGAAATTTTAGTCTGCCATGCCAATTTGTAGCAACATTATACACCATAACTTGTAAATACATATCAATTTTAGCATTTTGTCTTGATCGTTGGCATGAAAATAGCAGTTTTCTCTCTATCTTGAAGTTCTAAAATTTCATTAATCTCGTGCCCAAAAATCCATGAAGTATCCAAAACGAGAACATCAAAGTTTCCACTATACGAAGGTAATGCATGAAATCATGCAAAAACATCTTGATGCACATGTAAGGGATGAGAATTGAGTGGAGCTACTACAATGACCTGCCTTCGAGGCTGAGAAATATCCCTGCCACTCTCTGTTAAGATGACGTAAAATAAAGGACTTGATCCCGCTAGTGTACTGTACCATGATAATCCTTGGTTTTGATCTCTTTAGTTAGTGCCCCCTTGTCGTTAAAGAAAAAGATAGGTGAATCTGATCCCACCAGTTCAGTCTCGGTGATATATTTTTGATATGTCAAATTTGAGGAGCACCAAGTGAATACACATATCCTTGCATATGACCTACTGAACATTTCTTTTGCTCTGTTAGTTCAGCTACCTTGAACGAAAGCTTACTTTGTTAATTACACTGAGAAAGACATACCAATTCAAATGATAAATGAAGCATTGTGCTTTAATACCAAACACAGAAGATCTTCAGTAATGAATTGTCTTTCGATAAGGAAAAAGGTCATGCTTGTCAGATTGTTTGTATAATGTCAATTTTTAGAGCTTAAACTATCTTTAAATTGTAGTTTACTGCCCAGGCATGTTATTCTGCTTTCAAACTTGTCGGCAAGGATGCATACAAACAGCTTTAGTCTTTTTCAATTCGTGATGAATAAAATGCATACTCAGTCTGAGAGAAACTTTCTCCGTTACTAAAAAGACGAGTGTCTTAAAGTAGTTTATCGAACAAGATACCTATGTTTACTATCGTTTTGTTGTACTTTTGAGCACTTTGTTCTTTGTTGTAGTTAGCTGACGTTTGGCGGAAGCTAATCATCCAAAAATATAGTTTTTTTTTTGCATATTTTGTTCGGGTATGCATGGACCGAATAAACGGAGAAACCCGAGAGATAGTGGACAGTTCTACTCTTGTTTGGCTTGATATGAGACCTGTTATAGGCATATTAGGCATTTTTTGAAGCATGGTTGTTTTTCAAACCTCGACTCGGCCTATTAGTTGATTCATTGAAGGGTCACTTTTCCTCCTTTGGGCATGAATCGTACCCTTTTGCAAGGTTTTCCTGCATGCACATCTTGTCTATAACTTTCCGTCGTGATTTGATGTCCATCACATTTAGGTAAACAATGCATGGTTTCTTATTTTAGGCAGAAGTTTGGAAAGTAGTACGTAACTTTACTTGTCAATATCTTCCGTATTTTATCGTATAACGGCTACGTGATATTGAAATGGGACTTGTTCAGTGGCATATTAGGCATTTTTTAAATGACGGTTATACGTTGCCTTGGGGTATTGCCTTTTTGGCACAAAACATTCCCTTCCACGTTCTTTTCCTGCATGCATATATTATTTCCTCTTTTGATTTGAGAGAGAGAGAAATATACGTATTGTATTATCTCAATCAAAGGATTACAAGAATACATGTAATATATATGTGTAACCCTCTCGATATAAAATAACTTTTGACTGTTTAACCCTTATTATTATTTCCTAACAGAGGCTTATCAGATTTAAATGCGTAAATAATTTATTGCGTTGTATAATATGTGGTCCTTATTTTTGGCTGAATTTTGAAAGTACCGCTTGATTTTACTCCAGTCAATATCCTATCTTTTAATAATTTAGGGTATCTCCTGATTTTTTCTTCAAATATCTCGTATCATTAAGTCTTTTCTCGACACTTTAAGGCATTGCCTTGCTTTCTTTGTCATGAAAAAAGTGACCTTGGAAACAGTTTTCTTGCATATCTGGGATTTTAAACTACAATAGTGTTACTGCACATTATGCCGACATCACAGGGGAGAAGAGTCATCCGTGCAGGTTTTCTCCAGAGCTGCAGAAAATCCAAAGACTCGAATTCATGATTTTTAAGTCATGATGGAGCATATATTGATGCTTGTGGCCTCACGAATTTTGTCGTACAATTATATCATTATGCATTTTCTCTGCAATGTTTATATTCATGATATTCTTGGCAAGAGCTAGTATCTTTATGCATTTCTCTGTACGTTTATGTTTGTAATATTCTCTATACCGATTCCTTTTGCTTCTTCTCATTTATAGTGAATAGGTATGAAAGTGCTTGAAATTCTATAAATATTAGTACAGTCAAATTATCTTTTCGGGGATGGCAATACCTACTTTACGGAAAAATGAAGTTATCCGATGTCCTCATGTCATTGTATGACTTTGCTAAACTTGAAGATGTCTTTTGCAAATTTCTGGAGTGCCAAAATTCTTTCATACTTTTCTTGGACTGTATTATGTTGTAAGACTTACGACTTATGTATGAGGCAGCAAAATATGGGAATGAAACTTTTATCCTTTTGATTGGATTTGTTAGATAACACGCATCTTTTATTTTCATAAGCTATTTAAAAAATCTTCAAATCCTTCTAGCACTTTTGGAATAAAAACTGCATTAAACAACTCTTCCTTATATGCAGTTGAGTGAAGCAGAAACAACATCAGCATGGCAGCAAGAAAGAATTGAAGAGCTTGAGGCACAACTTCAGGAATCTGAGAACACTGTCAAAGAGCTTAGAGAAGAGTTGAATAAAGCTCGAGATGAGTTGGAAAATGAAAGAACTCATAAATCGCATCAAGTTAGTAAGACTCTTACAATTGGTGACACTGTCAAACCTGAAGAAGTTTTAGGGGGAAACAGACGTAATACTTCTCGTTCCATAGGACAGTCTCAGTCCGATTCACAGACTGCAGATGAAGTTTCTGGCATGAATATCAGTTCCAATAAAGTATCAGGGGGGAGTAATTGCTCCTGTAAAGGTCAAGCTCTCAAAAACTACTGTCGTGTTCATAACCGTAATTTTTCTGTCACAGTAATGAGAGGCAAAGGGCCAAAGCTTAGGAGAAACAAGGGCACTCGGACAGTGCGGGCATTTGAAAAGAATTCGTCTGCACAGCTGTCTTTCTCCGGACAAGAGGAGAATGTTGAACATAGGACATACAGTAGGGGAAGAGAAGGCAAAGTGTCAGCTGCGGTATCCAACCTCTCTGTGGATAAGAATTATGGGAGGAAGAGAGAACCCTCTGCATTGAAAATGATAAAAGCGGACTGCAATGAGGTCTCTAAAACTGTTACAAGAAAAAGAAAAAGGACTCCAGGATGCAGAATCAAAAATACCTCGTGGGGGAAGCTGCTTGACCAGACTTTCACAAAGCAGCGAGCAACTGATGTTTTTTCCTTCGGAACTTCTAAGGAGTCTCATCCACCACGCAGACTACATTCACCTTCAGAGGCAACTGAAGTTATGGAGAAATCAGGTGCTCTGGTTACTCTTAAAGATGCTGAGCTTGTTAAACCTGGTATTATGGTGGATGCAACTAACAGGAGTAAGAGGCCAAAGGAATCAGAAAATATAAGACAGGGTAATGGTGGAGTCCAGCATATAAATGTTTTAGCTGCCACATCAGATCAAGATAAAATCAACGACTTGTCAAACGCAGATCTGAAAGCTTCTAGTGTAAGTGACGGAATTTCAGGCAGACCTCTGGAGAATAAGCTTCTCAAGTTCACATTTACTAGGCGTAAGAAGGAAACTTTGTGCAGCCCTAATGGCACTTTCTGTGGTGCTGATATTACTTCGAAGCCAAAGGAACAAAAACTTGACCATTCTTTGAAGATGGAGAACTCTGCCCTTACATGTGAAACATCTCAAGACAGTCAACAGCTAGTGCAAATTGCAGAACAGGTCCGTGATGTATTATTTGGTTGTATGGGAAGTTTTGTAAATTTGGCTTAACTTATCTAGTTATGTAGCCTCTAACTGGTAGTGTGTGATCTGCTGTTGGAAATGCCTTCAGCACACAATGTAGTGGTGTGCAGGTTCTAGGGTGGGAAGGGCGTTTGTCCTCCCCTAAGATCTACCATGTGGACATTGATGGAAAAAAATTTGAAACTAGAAATCTACCTTGTAGGCTCTTAGAACGGCCCTGAACACTAGAACCTTTTGGTTCTATGGGTTTCTCTACCCGGTATTTTATTATTTTAGATTTCTTAGTAAGTGAAAACTTACTGAACCTCTATCAATTACGAAAACACTCGACACAGTAGATAATATGTGCATGTCACGACCAAAAAAAAAAAAAGAATAATGGAGGATGATAAACCAAAACATTGCACAAGTAAAGTACCTTAAAACACAATAACTACAAGTAACTGCACATTATTTGAAGATTGTTTTTTAGGGTACCTGTACTTTTCTGCAAGGATCTTGCACTAGGTGTAGATCATAGGGTACAGGTGGAAGTATGACCCCATAGCCTGAAACATACATTGTAGTTACCGGTTTTCAACTTTTCTGGTGACCTCTAATACTTATCCTAGGTTCCTCTGCATGCCTCTATGGAGTATAAGTTAGAACAGGCTGTAGTGGAGACCTGTTATTATATTTGTAACTATTTTGGATTTGCTTGATTGCCATGACTACATCCTTAACTACTGCATCCTGATGCATTTCTAAATGGCTTTTTCCAATTACAGTAAGTGCATTACGCTTCTTTTTATTTTCTGAGGCTTTTTTTTGGAAATTTTTTTACCTTAGTACATTAATTGTTCAGAACAGTGTATCCTCATTGATTATAGCTTCAGCTGCAATCATGTGAATGCACTTTTCGTGCAAATTAAGCTTTTCTTTGCTTGAAAATCGACTGCAGCAGTAAATTGTGTCCATCTTTTCTACTTCCTTCTTCACAGTTGTCTTCAATGGCTGCTAAACTTCTTTATGCTTGTGTGCTTTGAGAATAAAGGTTTTCCCCATGGCCTTTCCTTCTGTTTTTGGTTCTAGTTGCCGTGCAAACTGTAGGTATGGCCTTCCCACTTCTTAAACCCCCAATCACAGATTAGTTACCCCATTTCTCATGTTGGCGGTTTCTAGGAATTGAATATTTGCAAAGTGATGATTTATTAAAGAATTCCATTCTTCTAACTTTTAAGTAAGACCATTTGTCTGTCCTGAAATGTCTTTGTTTCCTTTCCTTTGCCTCTTTGCACACGATGAGTTTTATTGCAATGAGTTGGGAGTCATGAATGCCTGAATTATGTGTCATAGTGCTGCCAGTCTGCCTTGCGTAGTACAAACCTTCTGCGGTTGGATATGTAATTAGCCCAGATGGATAAAATCGTGCTATTCAATGACAAGGGGCAAAAGGTTTTGCTCATAGGATATGCAATAGAGTAGAATTTTCACCTTTTTCTGAGTTGTCATGTTGTTGATAGATTGCTTTCTTCAACCCTTTCTAATTGTAAATTGCGCTGTGCAGCTTATCTCTCTGGCACGGAATAAATGGGATTAGAGGCCGTGTCGCTGTTAAAGAAGAGAGACCGGGAAGTTCCTCAGTAGCCCGGTTTCAAAGAAAACAATTTTTTTTGGTGATTTCTATATAAGTAGTAGCGAGACAGGTAGCATTCTTGAAAAGGAAGCGATCCGATCATCTATGAACAATATTTGCTCCGTAATTTATCATTAGCCTCGTAGTTATCCAACTATACCTTAATAATGACCATGGAATATGCATGGTATAGTTATTTTTTACTTATTTTTTATAACAGTATTATAGATAGACAAATAAAACGAAACTTTTCAGTATATATTTAATGATGACATTCATTGTTGTTATAGTGTTGGGATCATCATTTTGAAATACTTGCAGAATTGCTTGTTTTTCTTGGAAGCTCGTTTGCCTGTCATGAATAATCCAGGGCTCTCATCCTCTGGGGTTATATATTCCCATCTCTTGATAACTAGTCTGAACTCTGAACCGTGTGGTTCACATTCCCCGATCGTTTAGCTTACTCGTGGCGAGATTTTAAGATCTTCGCTTCCAGATTTGACCCGTGAACTCTCTCCCCGCGGCTCAAATTGAAGACGCTCGAGATGTAAGCTTGTCTATGGTTTGAGAGAATCCCATACATCGGAACAGAGAACTTCGTCCCGGTACAACCAACCCTGATCGGAGTAATACAGTTAGCACAACTGTAGCGAATTCGTTCCGAATTGATTGTCCACAAAGCGTATAAGAAAGAGAATAATGAGGCCATCAGTCCAGAAATCAAGCTAACGAAATCCCCCTCGATATTTTCTTGGAGTTATTGCAGGCATGAGGGGTTCACGCACCCAAGTCCATCTGCATCATTCGAAATTGATGGATCTCACCAAGTTCAACAACAGGGCCACTAGGAAAAAAGCAAAAGCGATGGATGTCACCAGATTCAACGTAGGTCCATCGGATTCGAACGTTCAGATACACTGCACGGCGCATGTGTCCGGTCCATAAAGTAATTTTCTGTCTCACTCCTTGGAAACAAACTTGCGGTTATCTTGAAAAGTTTGACAACGTTTTTCTCCTTCCGATGAAGTTGTTGGGGGCTTGGACCCCGATGGCTATCGATCCGAGGCAATCATCTCCCACACTTCCACGATTACCTCTTCGCACTCCTTATCTTAACGGCCCGTAAGAAATTGGGGTGCGCGACGTAAGCATCACACAAGGCGAACACGGTTCCATTTGTCCGATGAAGTGAGATTTTGCAAACACTGACCAGTGGAGAGTGATTACACAAGCGTTCAATCATTAAGAGAGCAATACAAGAAACTCTAAGATCTGGGGAGAGAGATCGAAGCTTAAGGTGACCGACTGAAGAGAGAAGACAGCATCACCCTCTGTACACATTCCATGCTCTGTACTTGGGATGCCCAGGTTGATGTCATCTGGTGTGCTGATTTTTCACTTCAAGTATTACAAAAGGCGATCTGTGACGGCTTCTGTTTCCTTCTCTCTCTCTCACCGGATTCATCTTTACAGGAACTTTAACAAGAGAAGTCTCAAGTCTTAAACGTGGAACGGTCCATCTGGTAAGCTGCTCGACTTCAGAGGTTCCAGTTCCATCAGAAACAAAACTACGCATCTGTTGCATAGAATGCCAAAAAAATCAAGGTCAGATACTGGAGCGATGCCATCAGTAACGGCAAATGAACCACAAGTTTACACGACCACCTATTCCTCCAACTAGTGGCTCGTTATTAGGACTGAAAATGGTAAGATTAACCGGATATAGGGGTTACCACAGAGGTCGAACAGCTTCATAATTAACATGAAAATAATCTTGATTTTCAAAATGGGACATTGAGATTAAGAGTCTGTAGTGGCTGGGGATTTTGGGTCTTGCTACCTCAGAAGTGCAATGAAACTTTCAATAAGATCTCTAATGAGTTGCAACTGAAGAATTTGAGGAGGTACATACAATGCCATCACTTGTCTTGCGATGAGGTTTCGGTCAATATCCGCCAAGACGGAACTAAAAACTGGCGGAAATATCATGACTCTATACCTGGCAATTGTATGGGCTACTACTGCACCATCTCAGGAATCAACTGATTCTCAGTATGAATCTTGGCCAATGGATTCACCATGAAGCCAGCACCACCCTGCTGTCGAAACCTGCGGTTCTCCAAATTACACACTCCATTGTCACAGCTCCTATCACCTCTGAAGCGTGCGGAGGGTACTGATGGTGTATTGGAAGAAATGAGCCTGGAACTCGAGTACCGGCCCTCAGGCTTCCTCCGAAATCTTGAACTCAAGAAATCTGTAGGTAACATGCAACAGGAGGTTCTTCTGGAGTCAGTGTTAGTCATCCTTCCACTTGTTAGGGCCAAGTCATATGAGATCTCATCCAACGCCATCTCTAAACCGTGCACACGTGTCTCCAGAGAACGCATTCCATTTTGTGAGCTCCCAATGAATCTCTAATATGAGTACACAGGAGTGTAAAATCAGAACAACTACCAGTACAGGTGTTGATATAGATATAACCATAAAAGGTAATCAAAGACCCAAAATAGCTGACAGTACTACCATATTTTTTTTTGGTCAAAACAGTATTACCATATTATCTTGGATATTCTTGATTGCGCAAAATTTCCTTCGGATGAGGCACCTGACTATGCGATTCTTCACATTGTTTGCACATGAAGAAATCCTAAATGTTTTTCTAGTGGGCTATGCGAATTATCGCACCGTTACTTAATACAATAACAGTGCCACTAATTCATTATCTAGTGTACCCCTCCCTGGTGCAGTCAGCAGTGATTAATTAAATAAAAGTTTCAATGCTCATGCTTAGCAAACAGACCTGAAGGAGATCTAGTAGACTTGATTGTTGCTGCTCAATCTGAACGAGCTGATTGCGGATTAATGATAAATCTTCACAATCCTTGTGATTCCGGTGGTGATCTTCAGCTGTGTTACTACCTACAAGAGTAAAATCAGACCTCTCCTCAGGACATGGAACCACACGAGATCCAGACCTGAATCCACTAGGCTTGGGCAAATTCTCATCAGAGTTCTTGCTGAATAGGGCTCTTTTCGTTTCTGGCTTTGAGACCCCATTAATCTCATTGCTCTTTCTCTGAGGAATGTTTTCATTCCTCTCCCTGAGATCATCCCCACCAGTCCCTTTTGATAAGGTAGATCTGGAAATAGCAATTTCAACTTTCCAGTCCGAAGGCTTCTTATGATCCCCCTTTCGAAGGACTGGACTGACATTTCTGTTGCTACTCTTCAGTGGACTTCTCTTCCTTAGAGTGCTCGCAGATGCAGAAGCAGATGAACTAGTCGGTGGAGTTGGACGGCTAGGTGGTGTTTGTTTTTTCCTCATCAGAGGCCCAACAGATCCAGAAGAAGAAAGAGTTCTCGATGCAGATGGATAACGCCCGTCGCTCGCATTTTCTGTATTGACAGAGGGAAAGAAAGAGCTTGAATCAAGCAGATACTGCAACAGAAAAATATTGGCGACCGATCTTAAGAATATGGCGAACGATAAAATAAACTTACGCCAGAACTTTGGCAAATCTGAACCTATTCAGCAACCATGAATCTTATGGCTATGTCTATGGCTTGGGAAACCATTCCAACATTTATGTTCCGATAAGACATAAATCAAGATTAGCATCTAATTTGCATAACCATTTTTTCACCATTTTCAGGTCCACAGTGGTTAGCACCACAATAATTTGAATGGAAATCAACCTTTTGTAGATCATGCAACAAACCCAGTAAAGAGCAAAAGTTAAAAAATGCTATAAAGATCCAAACCTTTGGAAGAAGAGACTGACTGATGCGGAGTGGACACCTCCTCAGAAAGATCAGGAATCAGCTTCCAGGCCTCCAGCATCTGGTTCATAACCTCCCTAACTGCCTTCACCTAGAAATCCATATCGATTGATTCTACATTAAATTCATGATCCAAAAATTGGAAAATCGACACCAATAAGTAATTCGGAAATCCAGGTCCAAATCTACTGCCTACCTAATACATATACCGGCAAATTACCCCTAAAAAGGAAATCACTGTTAGACTACCACCTCATTATCATGGATCATGTCCTGGAGATCAAATTTCTTCGAAGCTGCAATATTGATTGGAGCCACCATCCAAACTCATACAGACAAAATTGCAAATTATGCAATGTACAAGATTAAAAAATCATACCTTGTCAAACCGCCGATTCTCAAAGACCTTCAAACACGCGGGCTTAAACTCCACCAACAAATCTCTCTCCACCACCGCCAACTTCAGTAGAACCTCCGCGGAGGCCTTCCTCGCAGCCCAATCCTCGCCACTGAGGAACCCAAGCACACAAGGCACCAAATTCTTCAACACTCCCTCACTCCTAGCCGCGCCGACACCAACTACGCTCTCAATCAGCGTCAGTGCCGCCGGTTTCGCCCTAAAAGCGTCGTTCTTCAACAGTCTCTCGAACCTCGGCAACAACCTACACAATTTTCCAGGCTCAGGATCCGGCGAAGCATTAACAGCAGACGCTAAACACAGAGCCGCGCTCGTCTGAGCGTTCACGTCTTGTTCGGTGAAGAGCGCGTCGGAGAACGCCTTCAGGAACGAATCGAACGAAGGTTTGCTCACGTTCGTGGCAAGGGCCGCGGCGGCGCTGACGCAGGCGGATCGGACGGCGGAGTCCGGATCCCGGAGGCGGCGCGTGACGGCGGAGATCATCTTCGGGAGGTGAGGCGAGAGAGTGTTGCCGTGAGTGGCCGACAGAGTCGCGAGGAGGTTCACGCATTGCTTGCGCACCGGAGACTTGTCGGACGCGTCGGTGGAGTTGATGCACGCGATGAAGGCCGCGAACGACGCCGGATCGAGCGACCGGGCTATGGAGTCCAGCTCCGCGGACGCCATGGAGTGAGTGTCGCGGTCGGCGAGCTTGGTGAGGCAGGTGAGGACCCTGTGCTTGAGGTTCTGCGGCGGTTGCGGAGGAGCGTAGGCCGGCATTGTGGCGGCGTCCGGCGGTTCGGTGGCTGCGGCGGCGGCGGCGGAAGCGGGCTGAGTCAGGGAGGAGGGAGAGCGGGAGGTGGCGCCGCCGGTATCTCCGGCGACATCGCCGGCGGCGTACGGTCGCCACTCGGCTAGAGAGAGAGAGAGAGAGAGAGAGTGTGTCTGCACTTTTTCGATGCTGTGCTGTGCTTCTGCTCCGTTGGCTTGGGTTCGACCTTTTAAAGGAGGAAGGAAGGTTGATCACGGGGGAGCGACGTGGCGGGAGCGAGACGACGTCGTCTTGGCGACGGGCGTTTCGATTTTAAAAGCGTTAATGCGTAAAGCTAGCCTTGAGCTTTAAGTCACGAGAAATACTTTCTTTTTTTTTACTCCAACGTGTAATTATTTATGGAAAAATCGCACGTTCAATTTCCGACAGAGGGGGAAGATCAAACCGATCCGATGGGTTATTTATTTTTTTTTCCTTCGCCTATTTCCTAGTCGTTCAAATTCTAAAAAGTAATATCCGTATATATCATGAATTATCGAGTTGTTCGAGCGTTTATATTTATTAGAAAATATATAGGAGGAAATATATCATGCAGATTTGGACAGGATTTTGGTACGTGGAGTGGGTTGGGGTTTCGACATTTCTTGCCTTTTTTAACTATAGTCGTGCCGACGTGCACAGGCCATTTACTTTCTCAGCGAGTTGGAACTGACTAGAGCCAGAAAATTCATAACAAAGGCTTCAATAAAAATCATTTGGTGAGTTTTTTTTTTATAATAATTATTATAATTATTGGGAGTGTTTCTATTCGGGTGTCGGCAAGTCCGCTGAAAGTCCACCTTAGCTCGCCATTTTTTCCAATATTTCATTAAATTTTTTTCGCGAATTAGATAAGACGCCAATTTAAAGATCGCTTTTTTTTTTTTTGCAAATTCCGAAGCTGCACACGTGGCGGCACCATTTCACCCCGCGCTCCTCGAGATTACGATAAAATGTCACTAGCCATCTGATTTTCTCTTTTTTTTTTTCTTGAATTTTCTCTCCTTTGTTTTTATAGCAGCGTTACGAGGTGATTGAAAAGATGGGAGAGATGTCGGATTACCAAGGACCTGAGAATGGGCCACGTGGGCTACTGTGGGTGTTTTTGTGACCCGCCAACTAATAGATTCCCCCCCCGTTCCAGCCTCCACCGAAGCTTGGACAAGAAAAAAGAAGTATTCTTTGAGTGTTGCATGTAATTAGCATTTGCAAAATTCGAGTCTCTTTTCTTTTCCACAAGAAGAAAAAAAAAACAATAATTTAGACTTAAGCAAGGCCTTAAAAAGCAACAACCCAATGCTCTGGGCTGTAAATTAGGAAGAAATTGAGGTTGCGAGGCATGTGGGCGCATCTGTGGAGCCCGCTCGACAGATTAAGTAGTTCACTGAAGAGTTAATTCCTTGGAACTATCTCACCTAATTTGCATGATTCGTGCGTATGTCGATTTTGTAGAGCAGAGAGCTCCTCTTCGTTTGACATGTAATGGGGTCTTTTTTCAGGAGTGGAAAGCTTCTAATCTTATAAATTGTCACTAAAAAACATAAGTTCCAAGCCCGGGAAATGAGAGGTGGCATAGCCGTCCTCATAAATCCCTTAGCTTGAGCAGTGCCGCACCTCGAGTATCATCTTGCGTTTGAATTACAAAAAGAAAAAGGATTTGCAAGTGTATTACACTACGCACTATATATTCTATAGTTTATATGCGAGCGAAGTGGAATTATAACACGTTATCGGAATTGAGATACGGTTTTTCAATCTAGAGACGTGGATGGATTACATATAAAACGAAGTAGCATTAATATTTACCATGGAGATATCAGAGATTGCTTGATGAACTTGCTGTTCAGAGTACTCTCGCACCTATCCCCATTATTCATGTCAATGTCTATATACACAGAGCAAAAGGTTGGAGTTTCGACCTCAATTATTGTCATTTCTAACCATGCCCCATTCGAAACATCAACTGTTCTGTCTCGCCTTTTATGTCCTGCTTCCTCCATGGATCTAGGGCACCACCGGTCGACCAGAAGAATAGCAAGCATGTCGCTTTTGAGCCTCCAGCGACGCCCCACCAACAAAAGCGTTTGCGGAAATTAAGGTGTGGCGATGTCGATGCAGGACCGCGCAACAATCAAAGTGATGGTCGCTGAGCAACAGTTGAAGGCATTAATAATAAATCGCATAGCAAGAGCAGCATGTGAAGAGCATCATGCCCCGCAATCAATGCGGGTAAAAATTTAACGTTTCGGCTCCAAAATTGAGACGGGAATTCATGCGCCTATGCCGACATTTATTGGTGTAAGCAATCAATGGAGTTGCTCGTATCATTACTCCTCCATGTTGCTGCTGCATATCAGCTTGTTCAATTGGCTGCTCGCATGCGTGCAATCGATGAGAATTTGATGATTGTAAAACCCTTCAGAACTCCCCTAAATCCAATTCCAAGTAAAAAGATCAAAGGAGAAACCATTCTAAAAAAGATCCGTGTCAAGAAGTCAAATCATCTCGAGCCTCACGGGATATGTCATAGCCGATATATTTGTAATCTATTTGATGTCAAAGTCCATTCAATCCGAGTCCCGAAACTCGAGCATGCTTGCACGCTTAAGCTATAGAAGGGCCCGTGATTAAACTAAGCGGGTGGTTAAATCTTAGTCTAAGCAATAATGTTCAGATAGAAACTAGGAGACAAGTTGTGATGGGTCATGTGTTCATTCGGTTGGGAGCACCAAACCAGGATATGGGTCTCACCTTCCCACACCCACCTGATAATTAGGTCCTTCGAGAGCATGACTGGGGCCTCATTTGAGGGGGAAATTAGGGTTTGGTTGGTGACCAGAATTCGTCCTTGACCTTGATTTCATATTAAATGGTCACGATGCAAAAGGGAACTGCCGGCCTCATCATGCATGGAATAATCTAATGTCTTTTTATCTCTCTTCTCGTTCCAAAGGGAATTCACCAGGGTCGAAATCATTACATTGTTCGGGAATTTTCCTAGGCTCTCTCAAAAGTCATATCTATACGTAGAGGCTAAGCCTTGCATTTTTTGGGACACTTTTTTTTTTCTTTTTGAAATCCACCTCAGAAAATTTGCTGCTGGAGAAGCACACTGACATGGCATTGACGTGGACGACCATGTCGGCATATAGTACATGCATGAATCTAAAACATCATATGTACTCCACCATCTCTTCTGTCTATCCAAGGGAACGTGTTACGATTTGTTACCTAAGCTAATCTATGGCCCAAAAATATCGAAGAAGATGAGCAAATCAATCGCACTGTTTGGCAAACGAGAGGTTGCCATTAGCCAACAAGGGGTCGTCGTCGGTGGGAAGAAAAGAGGAAACGAGAAGTCAATAAATAATTCCAGATATTATTCAAGGGGGAATAAAACCATGCTTTATTTTTATTTATTAATATATATATAATTTATCTGCAGATTAAACAATAAAAAGAGGGTTTATTTACAATTTGCACCTTTTTGTGCCTTGGAGTCGAATCTATCGCTACCCCACCACTTCCGCTTTTACGTTTCATATACTTAAGCGTGGTCAACGGGTAATCTATCATGACTAAGCCCCATGCTTAAGCAAAAGCAATCGGACTTCATTGGCCAGAAATTAGAAAAAAGAAAGTGTTTGCTAGTTGCTACCTGCACAAGTTACTTCGACCCGAGTCATTTCGGAGCCCTCGTCAACATCTTTATTTTATACATGGACGAAGCAGATCTATTTACTATCTTTTAAAGTGTAAATTCTATAAATAGGCATTCGCTAAATTATAATTTTCTGACATTATTGTCCACGTGACAATGTTTTGTGGGGTTTGCTAGATCTGAGTGGCCTTGGACCTGAGTAGGTCCTTAAAAGGCTCCATCTCCCAAAATCTCTTCCTTAGGTCTTAGGGGATGTAAAACATTGAAGGGAATACTCCCTCCTCTTAAGGACGAAAAAAATAGAGGAGGACGAGCGAGGGCTTTGGGTTGTCCGGCCGCTCAGAGGTTAAACAAGGCGCGTATGCCTCCAGTTAGCTCGTGTCATTTCGGAGTCTTTGTCAACATTTATTTTGTACATGGACGAAATAGATCTATCTACTATTTTTTGAAGTGTAAATTCTATAAATGGGCATTCGCTAAATTATAATTTGCCGACATTATTGTCCACGTGGCGACGGTTTTTTCTATATTGGTTTTGTGGGGGTTTTGCTAGATCTGAGCGACCCATCTAACGCGTGTGGCCTTTGCTTTTGGTACGCAGCGAGGGGACACATAACATGAGCGCAAGATGGGCTACATGCGATGCATGGGGACAACAACCATCGCCAAGCCCCCAAGACATTCCTTCGAGTTTCAGGCTGAATCATGTGATCTTTCCTCGGAGGCCTCGACCCAAACTTCAGTACCATCTCCATATGCCCCTACCCCCACAAAATTATCGCGGTGTATACAAGAAGAAGAATTGATTCTTGGGCAAGGGTGTTAATTAACTGTTTAGTCAATGTCTTTGCCACCCACAACTCATTTTCACTTACCTTTCGCCTTTCTTGTCTCTCGAAGGGATGATTTCTTGTGACTTAGAATTCAAGGAAAGGGCGAAAGAAGATACCGATACGGCCTCGGTGCAGCCGAAACGGGGACCATCGCCCCATGTGGCGGCGGACCCTCGTCATCGAGTGCACGGGAGCGATGAAATATCACATTTACCCGGTGCGTGTGAGCCAACTCCATCTCGGCGATCGTTCTGATCATGTGGAACCCATGTAAAGTCCTCGCCGGTCAATGGTCATAAGAATTTTTTGCAAGCATACTTTGCGGTTGCGAAACCGGGACCTTAATTTCTCGATCGAACTTAATTTTAATCATTTAGTCCTGCTTTTTCTCTTTTTTATATTCTCGTACTTTGTCACGACTCTATGGTCTTATCATGTTGAGTATCGTGGTAGGTGTGTCACATGCTAATTAGTTTTTTTATCATCCTCCACAATTTCACATGCAAGCCTTAAAGAGGCCAAATGCAAATTTTGTCCCGTCGGTGCCGCGCCATCTCCCTCCATTAGTATTTCGTCGTTTTCGTAATTTTCAATCCTTCGTACATCTAAGTCGTTCGGAATTTATACTAAGCATTTCCATGGATTTTACTGAATTCAACCTCCCATCATTCTCCAAGTTTTATTTACCAACCTCTTCCTCGTTTGGCCTTTAGGCCTCGTTGAAGTGATTGCTACGTTAATTCCACCATGTTCAAGGTCAACACATAGGTTAGAGAATTAAGGTCTAATGATGAGGTAAGTGATTGGCCATGGTGAAGGTGCTACTCTTCTGTTTTTCGACATAATTTGAGCAAACAAAAAAAATTATATGACGTGGTTGTTCCAGCTTTTCCTAATAAGTCATCCTTCAATCGTTTTTTTCCCCTTAAAATCACACTCATATATGTAGTCTGTCTTAGTTAGCTAGGGGGATGCATAATTGATCCAGTTTTATGGAATTTCCGGCTAGCACTAGTGATGCGTTTCGAGTTTACGCACAAATTTAGAATAATATGACCCGAAATTCAACCAAGCGTGTCGACGTTGTATTATCATTGTCCTACACTTATCTAGGTTATTTGAGTCGTTATAGTATTTATGTGTTCGACATTTCTGAAGCATAAAGCTTTTGGGTCTCGAGTTCTCATTTACTTAATTGGGTTCGGTAGGTAGAAGACTCAATTTAGATATCCGTTTCGGGCTCCCGATGCATTCAGGATTTGGCGCGAACGAACTCGACTCTGGACTTGTGGTGTTTGGCCTCAAATCCGTCCTGCAATCATCCTCTTCCTCACCTATCGGTGGATGAGCTCCTTGATTTCTCACTTCGGATACCAAAGGAAACAAAGCTAAAAGAAACTTCCCATGGGCAAAGTAAAAGGACACCACGGGAACAAGATTCAAATTTCAAGCATGAAACTTGCAATAGGCCAAGAAAAAATGGAATATCACCAGAGCAGATGAGAAGTTGGCGCGCGCAGCAGATCTGGTGGGGGTGGTTGTCTGCTGCTGAGCGCCACGGCATTGCAGTTGCTGAGACTTTTTGAAGTTTCAAAACTGGGAAAGTGACGTTTCAAGGTGCATTTCCTTCTTTGTTTTTTTGCATTTATGGCCCTTAGATTTATTCCCAAACCGCATTTTCTAACGTTGGCGCGTTTCGCATGAGCTATTATACCATGTCAATCTCGCGTGAATCCCACCTGATCTAACGATTCATGTGAAGTGAGTTAACAAAGGCTGTTATTATCTAATAATTTTCTCATTTCGAGATGTATCAATCGTGTTTGCCAAAGCTAATGGGTATAGCACATTCCAAATTCGCCTGTTTTCATTGAGAAAAACGGGAGCATCATTCATTGACGAAACACGTGGTGGGGAAGACATCCACTCCCATGTATATCGTTGGTGGGAGCGGCTCTTCCTTCTCGCCTTCTCTTTTCTAAAGCGAGCATCGCCGATCTCACGAAACGCGTATCTTGCGACCGACGTGCTTGTGCGGAAGACGGCACGCGACGTGGTGGATCTAATACGAATCCATAAAGGATGGTAGGTGAATGCAACTTGGTGAATCTTTGAGTGCTCTAGGGAAGTATGAGAGGAATGACCTTTCGATCGGGCATGGACGGGCTGAGCTCTTATTGCACCCAGCACGATCTTCCACCACAAAACATTCATCGATGGCCCAAAAGATGGAACTAGGCCTGTTCAAGCGCGGCCCAGATTCAACAATCTTGCGTGGCCTGTTCATGAGTGGGACTGTTCTGTTATATAACTTGATCTTGATGAGCCAAGAAATTTAAAGAGCAAGAAACGTTGTTTTCTGTAAGTTGACGAATTTCACGCGCAGCCAAGCTAGCTTTATGGTAGAAAATGAGTGTTTACAATGACAGATTCAACGTCGAAAGTCCAAAATAAAGAGGGAAAAAAATCTGCTGAAGTACTCATCCGTGAAGTCATGGAAACGATCCTGAGAAAGAAACTTCGACGGCTTCTTCAAACCCATCTCGCATAGTCGTGATCTCCATGAGGATTGGTCGCGAACGAACGAAAGATTTCCAAGATCATTGGGTCGTCACGAAACAGCTGCTTCGTCTGTGGCAAGCCAAGCATGCAGAATTTGAATGAATTAACACAGATCGATACGGTGGGACGACTAGAGTCAACTGGGTTTTATTGTAAAAATTACCTCGTCGCCGAACTCTTCGAAGGTTATCGATCCATTCTGATAGCGGCAGAATATGCGGAGAAAGCGATCTCGAGCCTCGTCCTTGCATCGTCTCTGATGCCCACAAAAATGCAGCAACGAGGGGATTAAGTTTCAATCAAGGTCGACTAATAAGAAACCGAAGCACGGATATTGAAAGAATAATTTCTCAGTGAGACTCGGATTATAAGCTACGACATGGAGATTAAATTAGTTACCTTAACGATGTCGGCGAATTTAACAGCCCAAAGCTCGCGATTTCCTTTTAGAATCCCCTTCGCTTCTCCATGTCGCGTTACGGTCCGGAGCTTGGGTCCGATATCGTCGTTCCATCGCTCGAGAAGTCGAGGTTTCTCCTCGAGTGAATCCGCGACCTTGGAAAATCTCTCTTCGATATAATTACTGCACATGATTCAGAATCCGGTTAAACTTAGAGGAAGAGATATATACTTTTCTTGCCGAAAAAGGAATCAATATATTGCTCATCGTATAAGTTTACATATATCATTCCCTTAAACCCTAGAGCATTATGAACATGTTAATTGGTGCACTCGAGCCTAAACCCTAGAGACACGCCAAGAAAGAAAGTAACAAACACGAGAAGTTCAAGAACACACGGTGCACTCTCTTCGCAGACGCGATTCGTCTCCAAGAACGCGGAGAAGAACCTCAGGTACTTGTCCGGCTCGTCCTTGAACGCAACACACGCTTCGTCGTCGACGAATCTGATGACGTCCTCTCGCATCGAGTCTGGACCCCCGTTGCCGTGTTCGCCGGACCTAACAGATACATGGCGACAGACTCGAGCCGTCAATCCCGAGTGCACATCGCGGGCAAACCTGGGCCGAGAGAGTAATCGATTACTGACCTCGGGTCGCGGGGATCTGGATCGGGGCTGTGCATGATGGGGTGTTCTTTCTCCGTGCGACGAGCGACGGTGCTGTGCTCGAGTCTCGGAAATCAGTTGAGGAGGTTCTTGAAATGGAGAGAGAAAGCGCAGTGATCAAGAAAGTTTCGTGAGGAAGAAGAAGAAGAAGAAGTAGATAACGCATATATGTATACACGTTGTGACGGAGCGCTCTTCTCCACCTACGGTTTTTCCCTCGAAACCGGTTGACCGGTGCATCCGGTTCTGAAGGGAAAATATACTTTGAATTTGACGCTATAGTGTCGTTGTTGAGCTATTGAAATTAGTAATTAGATGGTGCATATCCCTAACTTTTCAAAGGATCTCAAAAGGGAAAGAAGGCTCGCCATTAAGATTTTTCATGCATGCGAGAGCCGGTACGAAACCGTGACTAACGGCATCGACGCATACATAAGGTACGTCCGCAACACAAAACGATGTTGATTTTTTCAAGAAAAAAACTCGTATGTTTCGACAAGAAAGAGCAAAAAAAAAATGAGTAGCCGCAGATTGAAAAAGCTGGGGTTAGTGAACCGAGTTCCTTTTTGCCCCAAAACAAAGTTAGTGTTCCAAATCGATGATTTCATGCGTACCTCTAAAGTAAAGTTCGTGCATCTTGGAATTGCTTAAGGAGTGAAGATATTTTTATCTTGCGTGTATATATACACTTGAAGATATATTGGGTTGTAGGTAATGGAAACTTTGTTGCCTTTTAGGTAAAAATATGTGTGGCTGCTAATGTGGCTATCATTGTATCTATAATATGCAAAAAAAAAAGCTTTATAACAGTCTTTAGTCTGCTGTTAAAATAACAGCAACTCTATGAATTCCCGTAAATAATTAAAGAATCACTTTAAATTTCTCTTTACTTGCAATACATCTTTCTAATGATTTTTTTGATAATCATATGAATTTTAGCCTGCTGCGTGACAAAAAGGGTATGGAAATAAGAGGATTTGAAGTATTAGACGAAATTTCGAGAATGATTTTTTATGATTATCATATGAAACTTTTTAGTCTAAGTTCAAATAAAAAGGATTTCCACGACACGTTTTTATTATGTATATTTTTTCTTATGGAGATCCCCTCAATTCAAACAATTAATTTATTTATAGTGTCGAATTACTCCTATAAATTATGCCTAGTGCAATGCGCGAGAACATTACGTGTCTCAATATTTGAACGATGCACTTAAATCATAAAACTCTCTAAAATATTTCTTACTCTCCCGTGAGAAACCTTTTGTCTCGTAGAATATTTGACAAAGTTTGTTGTACAAACTTGATATAAACTATTCAGATTCTAGTTAAACAGTATGTGAATAAAGTAACATACTAAATATATTTAGAAAAATGCTTTTTGGACCAAAAAATATATATTTAGAAAAATAAGATTTAAATGGTTTAGAAAGTGTTAGAGATTTAAGAAATTGTGTCTTGAAGCATTAGGGATTCATACTTTCCAACCGTGTCTCTGTCATTCGTTTGATATCGTACCATTTGTTTCATGGGCCTTTTCTGTGGGCTTAATTAGCCCAAACTGCTCGTGATGATTCCTCCTCCCCCAATCTTCTTGGGCCTGTCAGACCAAAAAAAGAATCTACTTGGGCCCGGGAGTGGGATCCATGAGAAAAGCCCAATCTACTTTCACTTTTCAAACTCCCTTTCTCTCTCCCCCTCCCTCCAATTAGTTTTCCTAATATTTTATTTCAAAATTTTCAATTTTTTTTAATGTAAATTTTCGTACTTTGCAAAAAAATTAATAAGTTTCTGTAATTCTCGTATCACTTAAGTTAATTTTGGTGCGCCATTACTTCCTGACAGCTACCTAGATCTGTTTCCACGGGAAAACTAGGATTTTCATTAATTTAAACTTAAATTATGTGTTTTTTTTTCCATTTTGTTACATCCTCGGACCTCGACGGTAGATAATAAATTAGGACGAGGCCCCTAGAAATGGGGGGAAAGAGCAGTGGTTAGATATAAGGTGTCGATTTGGATACTTGATCTTATGAGGCCACCGAACAACCTAGTTTTTCCCCAAGCAAGCCTTACGCCTAGAGGTGGCCACGGTTCGAACCGGCGGTTCACCCGGTTGCGCGTGGAACCGGAACCGCACGGTTGAGTCCGAGTTCCGGTTCGGAACCGGTTCGGCCGAGCCTATTTTTTTTTTTTTTTTTCTTTTCCTTTTCTTTTTTTTTTTCTTCCTCCGCGGCCGGCCATAGCCGGGCGCTGGCGCGGAGGTCGCCGGCCTCTAGGCGAGGCGGCCCTCGCGGCGTCCGGGCGAGGCCGGCCCTCGCTGGGGCCGGGCGAGGCCCGGCCGCGCCCGACGCCGCCGAGGTCGAGCCTCGCCCGGTTGCGGGCGAGGCAGAGCCTTGCGGCGTCGGGCAAGGCGGCCTCGCCCGGCCCGGCCGAGGGCCGGCCTCGCCCGGCCGGTCGAGCTCGCTCGCCGGGTTGCAGCGAGGCGAGCCTCGCCTCGCCGCGTCGGCGGCCGGCCTCGCCCGGCCTGGCGAGGGCCGCCCTCGCCGCGCCGGCAAGGGCCCTCCCCTCGCCGGCGACCTCCGCGCCGGCCCGGCCATGGCCGACCGGCCGCGGAGGAAGAAAAAAAATTAAAATATAAATTATAATTTTAAAAAACGAAACAAGGAAAAAGACAAAAGAGAAAAAGGAAAAACAGAAAAGGAAAAGGAAAAGAAAAAAAGAAAAACAGAAAAGGAAAAACGAGAAATGAAAATAAAAAAATTAAAAAATACTATTCTTGTGATAGAACATTATTCAATATAAATTGTGATTAAAATGTAAATTGTACTCAAATTTGGGGACAAAAAGACAAGAGAGAAAGAGAGGGCTTCAACTTAATAAATTATCATTAAGCACATTACAATTCGTTACAACGATCTTAAAAAAGGAGTACAATATATATACCCTAAAATTATCCCAAAACCTAAGCATTCCGTGCGCGGGGACCCGAGGTCACATATCGTCGGATTATATTTCGGTTCCCTAAGCTCACGTGGGCGTCCGGTATGAGAAACAAGAGTTCCGAAATATTTGCCAACTCCAATAGTTCTTTTACCCTCAATCGTCACTACCCGTTCCAATCTACGATAGTGGTAGCGGTAGTATCTCCGTCGTTAAAGAATTCGGATTCATTATTCCGATCTATCTCTTGTTGCGGTATTGAGCCTTCGTCCAATCAAGCAACACAAGCTTGCATCTCCATCGATTCTGGATATAATCTTGAACGATGTTCGTTCAAAATATTACCTCCTAAGATTGAATGCTTGTTCGACCGCAATGCCGTAGAACAAAGGGTTGAAAAAATCTGTTTTGCAATAAGAGAAAGGATTGGGTATTGGCTTGCGTGCCTCTTCCACCAATCCAAAATAAAAATCTGCACCACCTTCCGACGATAAACTCAAATAAAATGGTTAGATAACTCTCTAATTCAGAAATATTTCCTATTACTCCCTTTTTTTTTTGTCTATGTAATAAAAGTTGAGTACCTCTACTAATTTTACTGTCGTTTGTCATTTTGTATCTCCGTAGATTGAGAAGATCTAATATCACCTAAATTATATTTAGTATAAAATTCATTATATAATTCTATTACTACGTTTTTAACCTCACGTACTATGGTTGTAACATTTGTCACATCATAATGTAAACATTGATAATACGCACGCAAAAAATCATTTAAGCCATCCAATTTGCAACGTGGATCAAAAACACAAGCAACTAAATAAATCATGGGAATTTCACTATAATAATGAAGCCATTTCATTTTCATTGCAACTACGAGTAGGTTGTAATTCAACATCATTTTCATATTCATCAAAAGTTAGATAATATTAGTACACTCTACTAAAAATAAATGTGTAGTAGGATAATAAACACCAGACAAAGTATAAGTTGCATCATTAAAAACCTTTAAAAGATCTAAAATTTTTTGGCAAATATGCCACTCTTGTGGGTATAAATTAATCTCAGGTATATTATTAGAAATGAATGCACATAATAAATCTTTATATGCTAAAGATTCACTAAGCAAGTGGAAAGTAGAATTCCAACGAGTTGGAACATCTCTTGGAAATCTTTTTGGCTTTTGCCATTATCTCTACAAAATCTACCCCATTCTTTCATTTTTTTGGGATGTTTCCATAAAAATTGAATCGCCGTTTTTATTGGTTGAAGAAAAATATCAAGAGTTTTCAAACCATCTTGTACACATAAATTTAAAACATGACAAGCACATCTAATGTGAAAAAATTTTCCACCAAAAGCGGGTTTACAAATATTTTCTAACTCGGCAATTGAAGCGGTATTTCTTTGCGGCATTATCAAAACCAATTGAAAAAATTTTGTTAAGCAAATAATATTCTTCTAAAACTTGCCTAATTAGTCTATAAATATTATTTGCCGTATGATGATCATCGAAAACTCTAAATGCAATAACTCTTTTTTGAATAGTCATTCGTCATCTATCCAATGACATGTTATGCCCATGTAAGAATGATTTTGCCAATGATCACTCCAAATATCACTACCTATATGCACGCATCCATTAAATTGCATAAAAAGTTTTGTAAATCATTTTTTCCATTTTTGTAAAGATCTTTAATTACTCGTTTAGTTGTATTTCTAGAAACACGTTTTGCTTGTGGAGCACATGCTTTTGTACAAATTCATTAAAACCAAATCTTTCTCCAAAATTAAATGCTAAATGCTCAACGGAAATAAATTTGCCTAATTCTTCCTTATAAGTTTTTTCATTAAAACGAAATAAAGGGGAAGTGTTAGGATTGACGTACCAGAAATTTGTTGTTGCCCGATATCGATTCCGTTTAGTTGGATGTTTGCTCATAAGATGTCGTTTAAATGTTCCATATCCTCATCCACTGTATATTTATATATTTTTCCACAATATTTACAAATTATATCATACCTTTTTTGACCGATATCAAACCTTTCCATTTTCGTGAAGTGATTCCAAATGTCGGATGTAAATTCTTCCGCTTCCTTTGTTGTAGATATTTCAGCAGGAGGATGAAAACTTTCTTGCGTCGGGACGCGCTCCACATCGTGAAAAATGTTGATTTCATCATCTTGAAAATCTGCATATTCACGAGGATCAAAAGAATGATGGGATTCCGTCGCGATATTCTTACCTTTGTTGGCACTCGACTTCCACTTGCCATTTTTCGAATGGATTAGAGAATTGAGCGGATTAATTGGGAGAATTAAGAAAGAATTGCGTGGATTGAGAAAATTGAGAGAATTTCGGAGAATTTGAGAGAATTTGAGTATTGAGAAAATTTGAGACTTGAGAGAAGAGAATTGGAAGAATTTGAGAGAATTGTGTGTGTATTGTGAGAATTTGAGAGAATTTATAGGAAAAAAATAGAAGAAAATTTAGAATTAAAAAAATAAAACATAACCGTTGCAAAATTGCAACGGTTATGTGTTTTTTTTTTTTTTTTTTTTATTATCAAAATGCCCGTTGGGGCGTAGCCGTTGCCCCAACGGGCCGCAAGCTAGCGGCGCGGCAGGGCTGCACGTCTGCGAGAGCCTGCTTTCGCAAATAAATCTTTTTTTTTTTTTTGTTGGGCCGTCCGTTGGCCGTTCTCCTGCGGTGCAGGGGCATAGCTGCACGTGGCGCCCGTGGCCACCTCTACTGAGTTACGCCTAAGTTGAACCTTCTCTTTCTGCTACTTGCCACTCTGAAGAAAAGGAAGAATTACTCATTTAGGGCGCTTCACTCTCGAGAAGTGCTTGAATTAAAAGACAGGTTTTTGGTGACAACACTCGGAGATATCAAAAGTGATAGTAGCAATCCATAGAGACAATAAGGTCTAGGTGAGACCAATGCAGGTGAAGAAGGGTTTGCGAAAGGGCGTTGAATGGAAAAAGGAGAAGCTGCTTGACCAAGAGGCAGAGGAGCCGCATGAAGATTACAACCCTTCACGAGAAGTAGGCCTCATGGCGAAGCACCTACATTGCAATCTTTATTGCTTAGCACTTCACTTTTTTTTTGGTTTGTTTTACTTTAACTCTCAACTTACTTTCAAACTTTTGCCCTACCTCTTGCAGGTATGGGAATCGAAACCTACATCTAAAAACTACCCGTCCCCAACCCTAGCCCCCTAAGAAAGTGGGGATTTGAACTCCCCATCTCTCCCTTTTCAAGTAAGAAGGGTGGCCACCGTGGCAAATCCCAGTGGTTTCTTTGCCCTTCACTTAGTTGCTTTGGCTCGTAACTCATTTCATTATTATTTAATACGATAGCTCTAAGCATGCATTGCCATTCAATGCCCTTGCCCTTAATTTCGTAACAATCGCTCTAATAGAATCCTGTATTTAATAAGGTGTTGTTGGATTAAGATGAAGATTTAAAAAAAAAAAAATCACACGGCTTAAATGCGAGCCAGTAAATGCGCTAAGTAAAACGTGATTGCACGGGTTTCAACATTTATGTAGCTCGAAAACGCTTACCCTAAATAATCCGATCGAGTTAATGTAATTATTAACTAATTCTGCATTTTTGTATCTATTCTGCTAAATTCCAAAGGAACATCCGTGTGAAGATTTCAATGGAACCTAACAATTTCGGAAAGAAAAAGAATAAAATGAAATCTGCACTTTCTTTTTTTTTTATTATTTCGGATCGGTAAATGTAGCCTACGCTCACGGAGATAAAGAACAATATTCACTTATATAAACACCAGAATTGCCAATTGACAGAAACAAATACAAATTGCTTCCGATTTATTTATTTATTTTTTAGTTTTTATAGCGCCGGGTTTTTTAAGCTAATAAACACACTGAAGAAATTCCAAAAGGCACATAAATATTACAATTTAGAATTTACGAAAAGTCAAACCAAAGAAGCATTTCATTTTCCGCTTTTATTTCGCAGAACCCAAAATCCAGCGCCCCCCCTTCAGATCTTTGTTCGACGCTGTCCGAAAACGCAGCGTTATTGGACTCGCACCAGCGGGGCGCTAGTGCGATGTATGTTGCTAGGGAGGCCGCGTCAGCAGGCGGGAGCCCACCCATCACCATCGCGAAAACTATTTTTATTGCCCAAAAAAATGAAAAAATACAAAAAGGAAAAGGAAAAGTCAGAAACTCGCGTTACAGGGGCCGAACCGTAAATAATCAGAGGGGGGGCGAGGTCATTTTGGTAAAAACCGGGCGGGGGCCCTACATATGTCTCCCCCTCGTGCGATCGCTGCGAGGGGTCTGAAAAAACCGAGCGAGCGAAGCAGAGGTGTTTCCGTTATCCTATCTCTCTCTCTAACCCCCAATCTCTCTCTACAAATTTTCCTCTCTCTCTCTCTCTCTCCTTCTCCGTCCGTGCGCGAAGCGAACTAGGGTTTCCTGCCGAGGATCGATTCCAGCCGAGAGGAGCGGCCATGGTTTCCGATTCGATCACCAATGCCTCCGCCAATTCGGCGCCGAACGCCAGGGATTTCGCCAAGAAGAAGAGGGTACGTCTCCCGGTTTCCGCCTCGAAACGTTCTTGCCCCGTTCGTCTTTCCCGGCAATGTGTGGTGGGGAAGGCGTGGGATGGCTCGATTTGGGTTTCCTGCTTGGTTTTTTCTATATTTTTTTTTCCTTTGGTGAGAATCTTCGATTGCATGTGCGCAGGCCAACAGGTCGGCGAAGCTGAAGCAGTGCAAGCTCGACGCCCGTCGCGAGCAGTGGCTTTCTCAGGGTACGCGTTCGATTCTTCCCTTGCGCTGATAATCGGGGTCCCTTCCTTTTCGTTGCTGATGATTGCGCGTGTCGATGTTGTTGTTGTTTTCGGTGCGTTTTGTCTGGAATTTTTGTGGATGATCTGCTTTCCTTTTGTTGATTTTGGTGCTGCTGTGGTGAATAATCCAGTCAAGAATAAGGAGAGCAGGGAGGATTGGAAAGGCGAGAATGGGCAGCGGAGCGGGAGCGGCCAGTCGCTGGAGAATCTAGGGATGAGGAGGCGGAGAGATGACGAGAACGGATCTGTCCACCAGGACAGCGATTCCGAGTCTCCGTCGATCAGTCCGATCGGCCTCACCGGTGTGTTGAGCGGCAATAATTCGAGCGGCAATTGTACCGGTAGCAGCAGCAGCTGTAGCAGCGGTAGCAGCATCGGGTGCTTCTCCGGGAGTACTACTGAAGAAGAGGAGGGAGGGGATGATGGGTGCTTGGACGATTGGGAAGCCGTGGCTGATGCCTTAGCTGCCGATGAAAAGCCCCAGAATCCGCCTTTTGATCCTCCTCCGGAGGGCGAAACGGTTGGCGGATTGCAGTCTCGAGGAGTGCGCGAGAAGGAGTCGGCGGCTCCAGATAATTCTCCAGATAATTCGCGGCCTGAGTGCGTTAGAAGGCCTCCGAGAACTGCCACTGCGAACAACCGAGCGTGGAGGCCTGACGATGCTTTTCGCCCCCAGAGTCTGCCCAATTTGTCTAAGCAGTACAGTTTCCCCGACACAAACCGGCATTACGGAAGTGGAGCCATCCCTTGGGGGTGTAACAAGGCTATATCCGTGCCCTCGTCATGCCCCATATGCTTTGAGGATTTGGACAAGACAGACTCTAGCTTCTTGCCGTGCCTGTGTGGGTTCAGGCTCTGCCTTTTCTGCCACAAGAGGATCCTCGAGGAAGACGGACGCTGCCCTGGTTGCAGAAAACCATATGAACATGAGTGCATCAAGGCAGAGCCAAGTTTGCTTGAAGGGAGTCAGGCGTTCCGGCTGACTCGCTCTTACAGCATGATAACCAGGACATAGGTTGTCTACGTTGCAAAGAGTTCTGTATGTCTGGTCTCTCTCTTTTTGACGTGTGTGGAGGGTCTTACTCGTTTTGATGGAGTTATATGTGATCATAGGACAATGTTTTACAGCACCTGATTTGAACTGTTTCTCTGATGAATCTGGTTCTGAACAGTGTGGAATCTTAGCCAATGTAGAGAACTCCTGTTGCTATGTGAATAGATAAATGGTATAGAAATTTACTATTGAGAAAGAATAAGATCACGAGTTATCCTTGTTAATTTTCTCGTGCCCTCTTAGACCAGCTTAATAACAGAAATTGTGTAGCTCGGTCTTGGCTTTCATCTTGTCTTTTCTATGCTGCATAAAACTCAAATACATTCATCCAATGAGTGGACTGCCCTGCTGTAATATGTCCTTATAAGTTGTTCTGAAATTGGATATATGAGTTATATCTCCAAGGTTTATCTGGTTAATTTTTTTACTTGTATATGTGATGAGTTTCCTGGCTAACAAAGTAATCAAATGGCAAATGACCCTTCTCAAGCGAGAATTTTAAGTATTGAAGAACATCTTCCTGCTAACCAGTCACAAATGCTTTGACACAATTTGGGGGTTGAGGGCAGTATCTGGACTTGCTTTTTGAGGCTTACACAGAAGTTGGTCTGGAGGGAAATATTCCGGAAAACAAGCAGAGAAGTTATCATCAAGTATTCTGTATGTATCAATGTGTATGATTGTGGACATGATCTCAGATTTTTTCCTTCTTCTAACTTTTACTTAATTTGGACTCGATTACCCCAAGATATTCTGGAACTTGGTTTTGTTTGATCTTTATGCCTATACTGCACCAAGGAATACATATAGTTCTAGACTTGCTCTTAGGGAGATCTGTTCATCTGTTGTTGTGAAGTTGGATGAATATGATAAAGGAGGGCAAGGCTCCTCGCTGCCATCATACTTGATGACATCGCTGCTTGCTTTCTGTGCTGGCGCTATTTGTTGACAAATGATTCTTCGTGAGGTGGGGTATTATACAGATCCTAAGCTTTGAAATAAAATTCTTTGTGGTGAATCTGATCATGTTTGAACTTCCTGATGGTATTAAAACCAGGCAAGGTATCCAAAGTGAACTGGATTTCTTTCTTTGAGATAATTTGTCAGCTAATCGACCTTTTCTTTTTGATGTGCCTGACTAGAGAAATTCGTGATCTCTAAGTTTGAAAGTCTAGACTTTCTTGCCATTTTAAGAGAATTTTGTAAGCCCAAATAAGAAAGTAATATATTCACCTACATAGATTATGTTTCAAGTTCAAAGGTTAATTTTTATGAGAAAATATAAAATGCTTTCTGTTGATCAATTTAGCTTCAGTTTGTAAAAATGCAGAAGCCAAACCCAAATCGGATTGATCGGTTTTGTCTTTTCTTCAATTAACCCATAAACTGAAATCTGAGTTTTGAGGATTGGGTCTTTTTTGGCTCGGTTTAAATTTATTTTTCATGCACCTGCCTTATTGATTTAACTTCAGCTTGGAAATATGCAAAACAAAAACATATTAGATTAACTCGTTCAATTTTTTCTTAGATTAAGTCAAATGAGTAAGAAAAAACCCTGAGTGTGGGATATCATGTTTGGGTTTTTGTTTTCGTTTTTGTTTTTTTATTCAAGCACCTAGTTTATGTTGTTCTGCTATAACATTGGAAATGAATTTTAGCCTAGCAAGTTGTGCCTAGGAGTGTTGAACCTCTTCTAGAGTATGTTGTTAAGAAGCATATTCATCGTTAATTGTTGCTGATGACATCAGTGGTTGCTTTATTTTGATGGTGCCATTAATTGGCGAAAGCGGCTCAACATGATGAGGTATTATGGACCCTTTGCTTCAAATAAACATGTTATGGCATGGTTGTCTTGAAACAATCCTGGCGGTTGATTTCAAACTTCGCTTGTACCTTCTTGTATCCTTTTCTTTTCTGTTTGGTGTTCGATTTTTGTGGGAGAGAGAGACCCTTCTTCACCTGTACAACTGCTAGGAAATGATCTATATGTTGTTCCCTTTGTTTAAGTTGATTTATCAAGCTACAATCAGGTGGATCTGGGAGAATTCTGGGGCTATTAATTTCTTGAGTTTGTTACATCCACCAGTGTGCATTTTTCTTAGTACTTCAATAAATTGAAGTGACTTCTCGTGGCATTATGCATCTCATAGTCATAGGTATCCTGGTGAAAGAACTTCAACTTTGTTATCAGCTTCTTTCAGTGGTAATTGCGTGTGCATGTGATTAGTGATGACTTTGTTGCTCTCAGGTCAAGAATCTATTCTATTCTACCATATAGATTAATGTATGTATTAAATTTATGACGCTATCATTGAATGCTCTTCAAGTATCTGTTGGTTGATTGTCTTTAACATAGGATGTCTAGGTGGAGTAGGTTTAGCTTAACTGGATTCTTTGGGTGAACAGTGTATACCTTCTACAATGTGCCTTTCAAGTAGGTTGCATTAGATTAGGAATGCTGATTTTCAGATGGAATTCCGTAGTGGTTTGTGATGGTAGCATGTAACTCTTTTCTGTCTTGATTATGATTAGTTGCATCGCCTTTTCAAGACGAGACGCCCAGTCAGAGTCTTTTGCTGTTTTATTGTTGATATCACGTTCCGAGTGCTAGCGATTATGTAATATGCTGGTTGGGCAGAGGTGCATGTAATTAACTTCCACTTTTTTTACATTAATTTTCAGAAAACAGAGTGTCATGGCATAAATAGGTGAGACAAGGCTTGGGTGGTGTTGTTGCTGCTGCTGTTGTATTTTGAGGTTCTGGCCGGTCATGAATATACAGGATATTTAAAACTAGATTGCCCTCCCCACTTACCATAAATTTGTACACACACACACACACACTCAGAGTTGAACTTACAACTACCTCTGGTGATCCATCCCCTCTGCGACCGGGCAGAAGGCCTGGTGGTCAAGACTGAAGTTTGTGTAGTTTACTAGAAGGTAAGTCGTATCTTATCAGAAGTTCTACGATGAAGTGGCAGAGTTCTGATTTGACAGCTAGAGACTGTTTTTATTTTAGTCTCTTCTCTAATTTGCAATCTTTGTCAGTTACTAGTATACTTATGGATAAGCTAGATGTATCATGGCCCAACGTGTATCTATTCATTTGGTTTGAACAGTATTGTCTGGAGCTATCTGTATTATGTAAATCGTGAAAATTACATCAGACTTGTGTTCTATAAGATCGACCCTTAAGATCTTTGTAAAGAGCATGCGCATTCTCAAGTGTGAACAGATTTTTCCTGGAGGCAAAATCACATCTGATGAAAGGTTCGAAATGTCATGAAATAATTGTAGGAGGCAGTTCATGTTTCTCCTTATAGGACCAGTGTTTCAGCTGGAAGTATGTAAATCAGCCTATGCAAGTGAAAAATTCTACACCGCTCTTGTTACCATGTTGAGATACAATTATGGCGGTTGGCCCAGTGGTCAGGGATGGGTGGGGGTTTTGGACATGTAGCTTAGGGTTGAGGGGTTGACCCTTGAGAAAGACGAAAAAAAAATTATTGAAATCCATTTGTGAACTTTGTTTGTATGGACTTTTTATGCATTTCTAATTGTAATTACTTGTTTGGGTGGAGTTTCGCCATAATTCAATCACTGTATTGTAAATAATAAGCTTTGGGTATCTAGCTGGTGCTTTGAAGCTATTGATTTGGCTCCTTGTTCAACAATGTAGTCGATTTGGCTTAAATGTTGCAGTTACTTAAGAGGTTGATAGAGGATGCAGGAATTGGTGGCCAGATTGCCTTTACTTTAGGAATTACTCTAGCTCTGAAGAACATGACTATTTACATTTTTTGTAGTAATTGAAGTTCAGGTAAGCAAATGGGAACTGTACTTTCATTCAATAAGGTTGGAAATATCTAATGTCATACAAAGAGGTGGTTTTTCTGTTTTCCTTTTTCGGTTTCTTTCCGGAGTGAACAATCTTAAGCACTGATTTTTAAGCTGGAAGTTCAGGTAGTATGTCTTTTGTAACCGATTCTCGAGTCTGCCTTTATTTCATCATCCTCACTTCCTTGCATGTGCTTATGCATTTGGACATGTGGAGATGTGGCGTTTTCTTGTTCTTTCAATGGGCAAACTTTTTTCCTTGAGCTTAGGATTCGCTCTAAAGATTTTGCTGTGCCTTTTTTCTCCTCTCTTCCCTTGTACATCAATGTTTTGCCTGTTCTTTCCTGTCTCTTGTCAATTAAAAAATGGTTTTTTCTCCATTTCATGGTGTGGACTTAGCTGACACAGTTAATACAGAGGAAGTTTTTCATTCGGGTAGTCTTTCACAACCAATTAGAGAAGACGTGCTATCTGATTTTACAGCGATGCTATTGGTTAGTTGAGCAATCAGTTTGTCTTTTTCTCTATATTGCGTAGTCTAATAATCCAAGGAGTTCCACATGGCTTATCTTCACTGGAGCAATTTTATCGATTCTTTCATCTTTTTTCCTTTTGCGTGTTTGGGATCTTCAGGGACATGAAGAAGACTTCAGGGGTTCTCTCCTGTTTTTTGAAGGGTAATTTATTTCATTGAAGACATATATTGTACAGAGAAAATCAACTCAAAACGGGAAGGACTCCTCTTTAGATGATGCCAGCCAGTTGCTGGGTCTGGCTTTTCAAGCAAATTTGCAGCAGTAAGGAATTTTCAGCTTCGAATGAGTTCTTTGATGCAGGAATTTGCCTTATGGTTGTCAGGGAGAGTATGCCACCACTTAACGAGTGTGCTCTTTTCTAAGAATACATCCTTCTCCACCTCCTTTTTATCATCCCATTTTCTCAGGTTCTTCTCCAAAGTCAAAACCCTGTACTCTATTTCTTTCCATGGTTTCTTGTTAGTAATTGCATTGAGCTCCTCCACCTCAGCCCAAAAGCAGGATTCACCACTCGAATCTTTCTCCAATTGCTCAGCATGTTCTCGCCATCTTTGTGGATACTGATACCGTCTTGGCCTTCCTTTGGTCATGTAAGGACCTGCATCTTCATTCTTTAAGTGTCGATAGTAGTTGGCTATATCTATTGGCTCCACAAGTCGGCGAAATTGCGTGCCGAGCTCCACCCATTCTTCATCTACCTCAAATTTATCTGGGAGCTGCTCTTGTCTTATCATTTCGATAATCTCGTCCCACAGAGCTGCCAGTTCAAGTCTCTTCACGTTGACCTTGAAGTCTTCCTCCTCCTTTTGCATCTTGAAAGCATCGTAATATCCCATGCCCATGCCATCATTCTCGCTTGTGGTCCGATAGTCGCTTAATGCTTTCAGAGCTGTCTTTATGGTCTCCTTCTTGGGTACAATTGTATTCTGGTTATTCACTTTCTGCTTCTCCAACACTCCAGCGGCGCGAAGGCACAGCCTTGCCGGTATGCACTATAATCAAGAAATTATATATTGTAAATATTTGATTTTTTTTCTTAACAAATTAATGATTATCAGCAAAATAAAATTTATTTTCCATAGAAAATCTTTGGACTAGATAAAATATCGACTATACCAGGCTAAGGTCACTTAGTGTAGCACCAATATTTGTAGTATTGTCTGAGCTGAGAGGTAATTCCGGGAGGTTCTCCAAACAAACTACGGTGTGCATGGCCAATCTTTTTTCTAATGTATCTTTATATGTCCAATGCGCCTTCAAGCTTGCCACTGCTGTGTCCTGAAGTACTGTTTCAGACTCGATCTGTAAAGAGTAAAACAACAATTGAAGAACCGCATCTGGGTTCTTCACGACCACCAACCTGCCTGTCTCAGTGCAAAAGACATACATACCGCATGGTCTGTAAGGGCTTAGCTTGATAAATCTAGACATGGTGTCAAATAAGGTATGTTTGCTTTCCGTCAGTGCGCAAGCTGCCTGGCTTGCAACACATGATGCAGTCTTCATCACATTCCCAAATAACAAAGCCACTTTTGCTTCGTCGGCTTTGTGATGCGGGTTGAAGAAAGGGGGAATTTCTTGCAGCAACTCTGTCGTGGAAGAGCGAGGAGCGAGCAGAATCCTGGGAACGATGTCGTGTTTCGTAACGAAGTGGACAAAGCAATCGGACCAACCCTCACGCTGGACAGCATGGCAAAAGGTGCAGTCAGCGGTAAGTGGGGATCCGAATGTTAAACAGAGAGGACGGGAAGTCTGCGTCTCGTTTGATCTTCCGTACTCCTCAAGAAACCACACAGTCGCGTATATTGCGATCGGACCGCCCGATGAATGGCCTGCAAATACTATTTGATTTTTCTTCTTCACCGCCTTTGTCACCTGACAATCAAACACAAATCCAGGTTTATTTCCGACTCTTCATTTTTTGCTGCGATACTCGATCAATGATGAACATCCCTTTTATTGCAAAGGGTAGGTCGACAGAGAGATTTAAACTGAACCATCATCTATGCTATTGTTGTTATCTAATAACGAACCCTTGGAGAGAGGGTTCTTTAAATTCCAACCAATTGGAGACTATACGTATAAAAAAGGGATAAGACAAACCCCATAGAGTCATATATACTCGACTAGCTAATCCCCCAAATGGTAAATTGCAAACTGAAGCAAATCAGATCGGGCATTTTACGTGATCTATATACATAAATCTTTGTCCCATACTATGACTTGAGGGAAGAGTTTCAATTATAGAGGGTGTGTGGCTGTGAGCAAATTACTTTTGCAAGCTCTTGTTTCTGATCTATGGTGTTCCAGTGAGAGTTTCCATGAACTGAACGGGACAAGGTACGGCAACGCCTTGAACCCGAAAGTAGGAACTGCTCGAGTTTTCTGCTCTTCAAATGAAACTTGGAAAACTCAAGAAATGGCCTTAAAAAATGCTGTCTTAGAAATACTACGGACTCTTCGACGTATTGAAACAACGGCGGGAACAGAGCATCATTCGGGATTCAAGAATTACCTCCGCGCGGAACGTTCCACTTCCATCATCCAGAATACGCAGGAATCTCGCCATGAATGCCTCGTTGACCACGGCGTCCACATCCTTGCTGATGCTCTTGAGAGATCGGAACTTTTTAGTGTCGATCTTGGTCTCTCCGAAAGGCTTGGCTTCGCTGTCTCCGGCGAACCAGTCAGTCAGAGACCATGATCCAGGGAAGGCCACGACGACCTGCGAAGGGCTATTGGGAATCTTCCCTTCGACGAGGCACGGCTTCCCTGGGCTCTTATGAGCTTCGATGGATACAGATAATGCTTTCTTGATCACTTCCGCTTTGATGCCAAGCTCTCTCTCCATGGTCTTCATGTAAATGTCTATGCACTTCTATGTGAGCTTTCTCTCTGCAAAATTTGCTTGTTGAGATGCCGGCGATTGGTAGTTGTGGGCAATGGAGCGCTCTTTATTGACTCGAATTATCATTGACTTGTCTCAGATGAGGGTTGGGTCAATGATAGGAAAGACAAGCACCTACTTCTCTTTGTAATTAGTAAATACAAGTTGGATAGAGAAATTATTGTAATAGGACTATTCGTTTTCTGGTTGGAGACATCAGGGCGAGTCGTGTGGGAGTGGCAATCAACTTTTGTCAAAAGTTGGGGATTGCCTTTCTTTTCCAAGCTAAAAAAATACCAAAATAAATGAAATACGTATATATGATTTCATATGACTTTAGGTGTTCAGCTTTTGACAAAAGTCATGCTTCAAATCCAAAAATAAAAAGAAAGAAAAATGAAAGTAATAATCAAGACATAAGAAGGTGTTTAACGTGACGAATACATCGTGAGACAATGATAAATTGTGCAACCGACCAATCAAAAGTAAGATGCATACATACACGGAGCTAAATATTATGAGATTCGTAATACGCGAGCAATTATGATCAGTCGGCTACACAACATCGTCACTGCCACATGAAGGAGGTCGTCACATAAGATATCTTCTCCTGACGCGGGATAATTGTGGTTCTGCTTGGAAACATCAGGTGAGGTCAAGCGGGAATAGGTGATCACCTGTTGTTAACCAGTATCTGTTGGCTTTGTACTTTAACTTAAGAAAGAAAACGTTGGGGATTGCCTTCTTGAATAACTTAAAATACCGATTTTTACTTTGAAATGATTTGGTATAGCAAATATTTGTATGCTTTCAAAAAACTTAGGTGTTCCCCCTTTGATAAAAGTCATGTTCCAACTCTCCATTGAAAAAAGGAAAGAAAATAAAAGGTAAAATTTAAAGTCATGTTTTCAAATTAATTAGTATCGCCTCAAGCATCAACATAGTCTGGTCCAAACATGTGTATTCTTCGACACAAATAGATAGTAAGTCTTCCACGAGGGGATGACCAATAGAATTCGTCAGGTCAACGGGAAATTGCCAGGAAACATCTCGGGTTAGACAAGTTGTCTTGCACTAACTTTCTCTTTTGATGAACGTGCGAAGCAATCTTAGAACCTACAAAGCAATGGGATTCATTATCGCATGACAATTAGTTGAATGGACGACGGCATCAACAACGTCACTCCTATGATGACAAGTTTGTACTCCAATTTCATGGCTATGGGCCTATGCGATCCAATTGGGGCTAATCTTGATTGGTGCAAGCACCTAGCTTATGATGCTCTGGTGGTATATAAGCTTAGCGAGTTGTCCCGGATATGTTCAACCTCTTCTAGAGCACGTTGTTACGAAGCATATTCTTTGTCAATTGCTGCGGATGACATCAGTGGTTGCTTTCCTTATGATGGTGCACTTAATTGGCGAAAGAGGCTCAACAGGATGAGGTGGTATCATGGACCCTTTGCTTCAAATATACATGTTATGTCGCGGTTGTCTTGAAACAATCCTGGCGGTTGACTTAAAACTTCGCATGTGTTTTCTTGTGTCCTTTTCTTTTTGGTGTTCGATTTTTTGTGGGAGAGAGAGAACCTTCTTCACCTGTACAACTGCTAGGAAATGATCTCCACGTTGTTCCCTTGTTTTAAACTTGATTTATTAGTCTCCAATGAGGTGGTCTGGGAGAATTCTGGGGCTATTACTTTCTCGACTTTGTTTCGTGCATCGGTGTGCATAAGTCTTAGTACTCCAACTTCCGCCATTTTATTGCTGATGTCACATTCTGAGTGCTAGCAATCTGGTTGGTCAGAGTTGCGTGTAATTAACTGCCACTTTTTCAAATTAATTGACAAAAAATAGAGTGTCGTGGCTTAAAAAGGCGAGACAAGGCTTGGGTATTGTCGCTGCTGCTGCTGCGGCTGATGTACATTAAGGGTGCGAATGGTAACCATTTTGCTCCGAAATCAAATCTTACTAGAAATCAATTTCGAAATTTTTTGCTGAAATTGATTTGGAAAAAATCTGTTTGGTAAAACATGACTAATTCTACCTCAGAAATTGATTTCGGGCAATCTGTTTTGATTTGTTGATTTTTTTGCACCTAAAAAAATTTAAATTTTACTCAAAGTGGGTGGCCACATGTATTATAAGCCATTACAGTAAAGTTTTGAAATTTTTGATTTTTTAAATTTTTTTGGGCATCTAAAAAAATTTAAATTTCACTCAAAGTGAGTGGCCACAGATATTCTAAGCCATTTTGTGAAGTTTTGAATTATTTTATTATTTTATTTTTTTTGGGCACCTAAAAAAATTTAAATTTTACTCAAAGTGGGTGGTTACGGATATTCTAAGCGTCATTCGTGAAGTTTTGAAATTTTTTTATTTTTATTTTATTTTTTGGGCACCTCAAAAAATTTAAATTTCACTCAAAGTGGGTGGCCACAGGTATTTTAAGCCATTTTGTGAAGTTTTGAAATTTTTTATTTTTTTATTATTTTTCTTTTTTTTTTTTGCACCTCAAAAAATTTAAATTTCATTCAAAGTAGGTGTACGGGTATTTTAAGCCATTTTGTGAAGTTTTGAAATTTTTGATTTTTTTTGGGCACCTCAAAAAATTTAAATTTCACTTAAAGTGGGTGGCTACATTGTTTTAAACTATTCTGTGAAGTTTTGAAATTTTTGATTTTTTTTATTTTTTAAAAAAAAATTCACCAAATTTCATATTTTCCCGAAATCTGACTTTTTTTTATTTTCTGGAAATTTTTATGAATTTTTCAAAATTTTTATTCCGGAATGCATTCCATGCGCACCCTAAGGGTCTGGCCAATCATGAATGTACAAAATATCTAAAACAAGATAGCCTTCCCCATAAGTGATATGTAAATATACACACATTTGGAGTTGAACCTAGCACCTACCTCTTAAGTGATCCATCCCACCTGCCCCCGGACTGGAGGCCTGGCGGTCAAGACTCGGGAATGTGTAGTTTACTAAAAGGTAAGTCATATCTTTTCGGAAGTCATCCACAATGAAGATGCATAGTTGCGACTTGATTGTTAGAGGCTGTCTTTTGTTTAGTTTCTTCTGTAATTTGCACTCTTTGTTGGTTTCTTACGTACTTTGGATAGGCCAATGTAGCATGGCTAACGTGCATCCATTCATTTGTTTTCAACAGCATTGTCTGAAGCCATCTGTTTTATGTAAATTGTGAAAATGTCGTCAGACTTATGTTCCGTAAGATCAACCCTGAAGATCTTTTTAAAGAGCATGCACATTCTGAAGTGTGAAATGATTTTTTCTAGTGGCAAAATCACATCTGATGAAGGTTCGACATGTCACGGAACAATTATAGGAGGAGGCTCATGTTTCTTGTCATAGGACCAGTATTTCAGCTGGAAGTATGTAAAAGAAGTGCTTCAAGTGAAAAATTCTACACTTCTCTTATTAACATGTTGGGACATGCAGTTTAGGGTTGAGGGTTTGAACCCAGGAGAAGGATGAAAGAAAAATGATTGAAATCCATCTGTGAACTTTTGTTTGTATGGACTTTATGCATTTCTAATCGTATATACTTGTTTGGATGGAGTTTCCCCATAATTCAATCTCTGTATGGTAAATAATAAGCTTTAAGTATCTAGCTGTGCTCTAAAGCTATTGGTTTGGTTCCGTGCTCAGCAATGTATCGATCTGGCTTGTAGTTGCAGTTACTTAAGAGGTTGATAGAGTGATACTGGAATTGGTGGCCAAATTTGCCTGTACTTCAGGAATTACTCTAGCTTGGAAGCACATCTATGCACATGTTTGGTAGAATTGATCTTCAGGCAAGCATATGGGAAATTTACTTTTATTCAGTAAAGCTGGATGTATCACACCTGACTCCAGCAAGAATAGAGGGATGATACAGCCTCAAATACAAACCAACTTATTTACTAGAAGGTAAGTCTTACATTTTCAGTAGTCCTCTGCAATGAAGTTGTGTGGTTGTGATTTGACAGTCAAGAGGCTGTCATTTATTTAGTTTCTTCTCTAATTTGCGTTCTTTGTTTGTTACTAATATAATTTGGATAGGCCAGATGTGGCATGGCTAACGTGTATCCATTCATTTAGTATGAACAACATTGTCTGAAGCTATACATATTATGTGAATCGCAAAAGTAAGATCAGACTTATGTTCCTTAAGATCAACCCTTAAGATCTTCCTAAAGAGAGCATGCGCTTTCTCAAGTGTGAACAGATTATTTCTAGAGGCATAATCACATCAAGGTGAAAGATTCAAAATGTCACAGGACAATTGTAGGAGGCGATTCATAATTTTCCTCATAGGACCTGTATTTCATCTGGAAGTATGTAAGACGGGTTCTTCAAGTGAAAAATTCTATACCGCTCTCATTACTATGTGGAGATACAATTATGGCAGTTGGCCTAGTGGTCGCGGGGAGTTGGGGGTTGGGACTTGTAGCTTAGGGTTGAGGGGTCGACCCCTCGAGAAAGACGAAAGAAAAATTATCGAAATCCATTTGTGAATCTTTGTTTGTATGGACTTTATGCACTTCTAATCGTATATACTTGTTTGGATGGAGTTTCCTCATAATTCAATCTCTGTATTGTAAATGATAAGATTTGGTTATCTGGCTGGTGCTCTGAAGCTATTGGTTTGGTCCCTTGTTCAACAATGTAGTCGATCTGGCTTAAATGTATGCAGTCACTTAAGAGGTTGATGGAGTGATGCGAGAATTGGTGGCCAGATTTGCCTCTATTTTAGGAATGACTCTGGCTTTGAAGCACATGACTATGCACATGTTTGGTAGTAATTGAAGTTCAGGTAAGCATATGGGAAATGTACTTTCATTCAGTAAGGCCGGATGTATCTAATGCCATACAAAGAGGTGTTTTCTGTTTTTTTTATATTTCTTTTTTTGGTTACTTTCCGGAGTGAACAATCTTATGCACCGTTCTTTAAGCTGGAAGTTCAGGGGGTGCATCTTTTGTGATTGAGTCTCGATTCTCTGCCTCTCTTTCATCATTATCACTTCCTTGCACGTGCTTATGCATTTGGACATGTGCAGATGTGGCGTTTTCTTGTTCTTACAATAGGCAAACCGTATTTCTTGCGCTTAGGATTCCCTCAGGTCTTTGCCATGCCTTTGTCCTCCTTTCTTATCTTGTACAGCAATGTTTTGCCTATTCCTTTCGTCTCTCCTTGGCAATTCAAAAATGTTTTTGGCTCCATTTTGTGCGGTGGACTTAGCTTATAGACACTAATACATAGGAAGCTGATGTCTTTTAGATGCAAAACTCTGGCTAGTTTGCATTGAGGTACTGTTGACAACCAAATAGAGAAGGCATACTAATTGATTTTACAGCAATGCTATTGGTTGGTTCTGCAATCAGTTTTAGTCTTTTCTCTATATTGCAGAGTCTAATAAGAAACAAGGAGTTCTACATGGTTTGATAATGTATGTATCATTCGAATCAGCTCTTCACTGGAGCAATTCTATCGTTTCTTCCATCTTTTATCCTTTTGTGTGTTTAGGATCTTCAGGGACGTGAAGAAGACTTCAGAGGTTCTCTCTTGTTTTTTGAAGGGTGATTTATTTCATTGGCGACATTTCTTTTACAGAGACAATCAACTGAAAAGGAGTACGACCCTCTTTGCATGATGCCAGCCAGTTGCTGGGTCTGGCTTTTCAAACTACTTTTCAGCAGCAAGCGGAATTTTCAGCTTGGCATGTATTTTTGATGCAGGACTTTAGCTTACGGTCTGTTAAAATATGATCCATTTTACTAGAGTTATCAAGAATAATCTTTACAAATATTTTGTTCATAGAAGTAGTTGGAGATAGAGATAGAAAGGAGCCCACGTCATTGTGTGCAGAAGAATCCAAGAAATAATCTCTATCAAGTGACTTTGGATAATAGTCGAAGAGTGTGGATTAAATGGAGAACGCAGTCTATGCATCTACCACTTTCATAAGAGTATGTCGGTGAAGAAAGCTTATAAATATGCATATCCCCAAACACAAACGTTTTACAAACATTAAGGGTATTTTGCTACATTGAGAAATAGCAATACAAGTCTCACTCAACAGGTGGTATCGGAAGTATGCCGTGCAACTCAGCATGGTCTTTGCAGAGAGCTTGCCACCACTCAACGAGTGTGCTCTTTTTTAAGAACACATCACTCTCCACCTCCTTATTTTCGTACCACTTTTTAAGACGGGCCCCCAAATCCAAGACGTCCTTACTCATTTTTTCCCATGGTTTATTTTTCAGCTCCTCCACCTTGGCCCAAAAGAAGGATTCACCCGATGAATCTGCTTGTAAATGCTCTGCGTGTTCTCGCCATTTTTGTGTAAATCTGTACCGACTTGGCCTACTTCCTTCCTTCATGTAAGGACCTGCCACATCATCCCTGGAGTGTCGATAGTAGTTGGCTATGTCTATTGGCTCCACAAGTCGGCGAAACCGCGTGCCAAGAACCACCCATTTTTCATCTGCCTCAAATCCATCCCGGAGCTGCTCCTGTCTCAGCAATTCGACGATCTCGTCCCAAATAGCTGCCAGTTCAAGTCTCTTTACGTTAGCCTTGAAGTCTTCCTCCTTCTTTTGCAATTTGAAAGCATCGTAATATCCCACGCCGTCCTGCTCGCTCGCGGTCCGGTACTTTTCTAATGCGACGAGGGCTTTCTCTATGTCGCCCATCTTGCCTTCCATCCTTCTCTGGTTATCCAGTTTCTTCTTCTCCAACTCTCCAGCGGCACGAAGGCACAGCTTCGCCGGTGCGAACTATAATCACAAAATCATATGTTGTGAAATATTCAATTATCTTTTTTTAATAATGCAAAAGATTATTAAGGAACTATACAGTTCATTTTTCATATAAAATCCTTGGAGCAGATAAAAATATCGACTATACCAGGTTAAGGTCATTTAGTGCGGCATCATCTGAGCTGAGAGGCAATTCTCGGAGGTTCTCCAAACAAACAACACTGTGCGGGGCCAAGCTTTTGTTTAATGCATCTTCATATGCCCAATGTGCCCTTAAGCTTCCCTCTGCCGTCTTCTGAAGCTCTGTTACGGAGTCAATCTGTAAAGAGTAAAACAACATTTGAAGAACCGCATCCGGGTTCTTCACGACTACCAACCTGCCAGTCTCGGTGCAAAAGACATACTTCCCGCATGGTCGGTAAGGGCTTAGCTTGACGAATCTAGACATGGTGTCAAATAAGGTATGTTTACTTCCCGTTAGTTCACAAGCTGCATGGCTTGTGACACATGATGCATTCTTCATCACATTCGAAAAAAGGGAAGCCAAGTTGTCAATTGAAACGGGCTCGTGATGCGGTTCAGAGGAAGAGACAATTTCTTTTAGCAACTCTGTTGCGGAAGAGCGAGGAGACAGTAAAATCCTGGGAACGATGTCGAGTTTCGTAACAAAGTGGACAAAGCAATCGGACCAACCCTCACGCTGGACGGCATGGCAAAAGGTGCGGTCGGTGGTCAGTGGGGATCCGAATGTCAAACAGAGAGGACGGGGAGGAGTCTGCTTCTTATTTGATCTTACGTACTCCTCAAGGAACCAAACGGTCGCGCATATTGCGATTGGACCGCCCGATGAATGGCCTGCAAATATTATTTGCTTATTCTTGTCCACCGCCTTTGTCACCTGAAAATCAAAGACAAATCCAGGTTTGTTTCCGACTCTTCATTTTTTGCTTTGATACTCGGTCAATGATGAACATCCCTTCTATTGCTAAGGGTAGGTCAAGAGAGATTTAATCTGAACCATCTATGCTATTGTTGTTATCTAATCGCGAACACTTGGAGAGAGGGTTCTCTAAATTCCAATTAACGGAGCCTATGTGCATGGAAAAGTCTAGACAAACCCCATAGTCATATATACTCGACTAGCTAATGACCCCCCAAACGGTAAATTGCAAACTGAAGCAAACCAGATCGTCCATGTTACGTGATCTATATACCTAAATCTTCTGTCAGATACTATGACTTGAGGAAGAGTATAGAACTGGATGAGAGTTTCAATGGTAGAGGGTGTGCGGCTGTGAGCAAATACTTGCGCAAGCTCTAGTTTCGGATCTATGGTGTTCCGGTGAGAGTTTCTATGGACTGAACTCGACACGGTAAGGAACGCCTAGAAGCCAAAAGTGGGCACCACTCAAGTTTTCTGCTCTTCAAATGAAACTTGGAAAACTCTAAAAATGGCCTTAAAAAATGCTGTCTGAGAAATACTACGGACTCTTCGACCAATTGAAACAACGCCAGAAACAGAGCATCATTCGGGATTCAAGAATACCTCCGCGCGGAACTTTCCACTTTCATCGTTCAGAATACGTAGGAATCTTGCCATGAATGCGCCGTTGACCGTGGCGACCACATCCTTGCCGATGCTCTTGAGAGATGGGAACATTTTAGTGTCGACCTTGGTCTCTCCGAAAGGCTTGGCTGTGCTGTCTCCGGCGAGCCAGTCATCCAGAGACCGTGATATTGGGAAGGCCACGATGACCTGCGAGGGGCTATTGGGAATCTTCCAATTGACGAGACACAGCTTCTCAGGGCTCTTATGAGCTGTGATGGATACTGATAAGGCTTTGTTGATCACTTCCGCTTTGATGCCAAGATCTCTCTCCATGGTCTGCGTGTAAATGTCTATGTTCTTCTACGTGAGCTTTCTCTCTGCAAAAATTTGCTAGTTGACTTTGGTTAGCTGGGGGACGAAAGACGTATAGGCCAGATGGAATAGGGAGAGATGCAGGTGATGGGCGTTCTGGGCAATGGAGCGCTGTTAATTGACTCGAACCATCGTCGACTTGTCTTGGATGAGGACTTGGTCAATAGAGGAAAGACAAGCATATTCTTTTCTTTCTAATTAGTAAGTACAAGTAACTTCTGTAATGGGAGTTAAGTTATCTCTTGGGTAGGCTTGAGACAATTCGTTTTTTGGGTTAGAGACATTAAGGCGGGGTCACCGAGTGGGAATCACCTTTTTTTTTTTAAATTTTTTGGAGATTGGCTCTCTTTCCCAACCTAAAAATACCAAGAAAAGTGAAAAATGCATAGATGATTTCTTATATGGTTTTAGGTGTACGTCTTTTGATAAAAGTCGTATTTCAAATTCAAAACTGAAAAGAAAGGAAATAGGAAACATGCTTTCAAAATAGGCAATTGCACATGGAGCTAAGTATTATGAGATACACGCGAACAGTGGTGATCCATTGGTTACACAACGTCGTCACTACCAATGATATTTTTTCCTGACGTGGGATATATTGGGTTATGGTTGGAGATATTAGACGGGGTCAAGCGGGACCCTGTAGGTTTCCAGTTAGTTAGGGTATTATAAAAATCCGACCCGACCCATTGACACTCGTAAGCGGGAGGAGAAAATCACCGACTAGTGTTTGTTGGTTTTACTCTTTTAACTTAAAAACCAACTTGTTGGGGATTGCCTTATTTTAATAACTCAAAATACCGGTTTTTTTTTTTTAAAAAATGATTTCATACAGCGAATATGCTTTAAAAAAATTTAGGTGTTCGACCTTTCAAAGTCGTCGTAAAGAAAATTAAAAGTAAAATGCCAAGTCGATTTTTGGAATTCATAAGTATCCCATCAACACAATCTGGCCCCCACGTGTATTCTTCAATACAGAAGTCTTCCACCAGGGGACGACCAATAGAATTTGACAGGTCAATGAGATATTGCCAGGAAACTTCTCGGGTTGGACAAATTGTCCTGCACTAACTTTTTCTCTTTTGATGAACGTGCGAAGCAATGTTAGAACGTGCGAAGCAAAGGGATACATTATCGCATGACAATTAGTTGAATGGACGACAGCATCAAGAACGTCACTCCCATGATGACAAGTTTGTACTCCAATTTCATGGCCATGGGCCTATGCGATCCAATTGGGGCTAATCATGATTGGTGTAAGCACCTAGCTTATGATGCTGATGTCCAACCTCTTCGAGAGCATGTTGTTACCAAAGCAAATTCTTTGCCAATTGCAGCTGATGAGATCAGCGGTGGTTTTCCTTTTGATGGTGCACTTAACTGGCAAAAGAGGCTTAACATGATGAGTTATTATAGACCTTTTGCTTCAAATACACATGTTATGTCAAGGTTGTCTTGAATCAATCCTGGCGGTTGGTTTCAAACTGCGCATGTGTTTTCTTGTGTCCTTTGCTTTTTTTTGTCTGGCGTTCGTATTTTGTAACTAAATCTCGAGTCTCTGCCTCACTTTCGTCATCCTCACTTCCTTGCACGTGCTTATGCCATCTGGAGCTTCGGCAAACTGTATTTCTTGAGTTATGCCTTTTTTCTCCTCTCTTCCTCTTGCATATCGATGTTGGAATAAGTGCACTAAAATTTTTAAAATTTGTCATAAAAGTGCAATTAAGTCATATAACTTTTAAATAGTGCAATCAAGTCCTAAAACTTGTCACGAAAGTGCAATCGAGTCTTAAAACTTTCAAAAAGTGCAATCAACGGAAGAACTTGATTAGATCGATTTGATAAGTTTTAGAACTCGATTGTACTTTTTGAAAGTTTTAGAACTCAATTGTAATTTCGTGACAAGTTTTAGGACTCAATTGAACCTTTTAAAAGTTTTAGGACGCACTTTCACGACTAGTTTTAGGACTTCTAAAACACTCACCCCATCAATGTTTTGCCCGTTCTTTTCTGTCTCTGCTTGGCAATTCAAAAATGTTTTTGTGTCCATTTCGTGGGGTGGACTTAGCTGACACATCTATAAATAGAAAGTTGAAGTCTTTAATGCAAAACTCTGGCTAGTTTACATTCAGGTACTCTTTGACAACCAATTATTATGTTATCTGATTTTACAGCGATGCTATTGCTTAGTTATGCAATCAGTTTTGGTCTTTGTGTCTATATTGCAGAGACTAACAAGAATACGAAGGAGTTCTGCATGGCCCATCTTCTCTGGAGCAATTTAATCGATTCTTTCATCTTTTTTCCTTTTTTGTGTTTATGATCCTCGGGGACATGAAGAGGACTTCAGAGTTTCTCTCCTGTCTTTTGAAGGGCAGTTTATGTTGCACAAAATGTGCTCTCTGTTGTTAGAGAGAATGTGCTCTCAAATGTAGAAGAACAAGATAAGATTGATCTGGAAATGCACTTGTCACATTCTCAAAAACGAGAAGAGTACATAGCTCTTTTTAAACAACGAAAACTGAATTGCACTAACTTAGTAACTGACAAAAACCACTACACCACTAACTAGCAACAAAATAGGAACTGAAAACAACAAACTCCTACTATCTTTTTGACTAAGTAAAACAAAAACAACCAGCTAACAGACCAGAACAAAAATGACCGAAAATGGTCCTTAAGACATAACCAACATACTCCTCTTTGGCTTAAGGAGCAGAACACATTCCAGCCTTCTTCTTCAGTAACTCAAGTCTGCTTGCTTGCAGTGGCTTAGTAAACACATCGGCCACCTGATCTTCTGTCTTGCAATAGAGTAGCTTCACTTCACCTTCTTGTTGCACTTCCCTCAGATAGTAGAACTTGATCTTGAAATGCTTGGTTCTCCCGTGAAAGACAGGGTTTTGAGATATGGCTAGTGCAGCTTGGTTGTCCACAAGTATCTCGGTTGGTCCTTCAACTTCCATTTCCGGATCCCGCATCGCTTTCTCACCATATTGCATGATTGGTCGCGCGAAGAGCCGCTAGAAACTCGCCTGCGTGGGTCGAACAACCACTTCTTGTTTCTTTGAGCTCCAGGTGAAACATGCAGATCCCAAAGTAAAACAAAAACCACTTGTACTCCTCATATCCTCGACTGAACCAGCCCAATCACTATCAGCAAAGCCTTGCAACCTGCAATTGTCCACTTCAGTAAACTTGACACCAAATGACTGAGTGCCTTTCAAGTATCTAATCACTCTTTTTGCAGCTACCAAGTGTTCTTCACCAGCACAACTTAGGAATCTTGAAAGCACACCTACTGCATACAGGATATTTGGTCTTGTTGCAGTTAGATACATCAAGCAACCGACTAAACTTCTGTAAAAACCTTCATCAGCAGGCTCAGCTCCTTCAGTCTTCTGCAGCTTCTCCTTTAGATTCATAGGAGTGTTCACACTTCTACATTCCATCTCAAACCTCTTTAAGATCTCTCTTAGATATCTTCTTTGATAGATGAATACCTCGCCTTTCCTCTGCTGCACCTCCATTCCCAAAAAGAAGGACATTAGTCCAAGATCAGTCATTTCAAACTGCTTCATCAGCCCTCTCTTTAGTTCTGCAATCTGCTCTTCACAATCACCAGTAACCAAAAGATCATCAACATAAAGAGAGACAATAGTTACACCTTCCACACCCTTCTTCACATATAGAGTCACTTCACTCAAACTTTTTTTAAACCCAAGTTCTTGCAGATGCTTATCAATTTTACTATACCAGGCTCTTGGAGCCTGCTTCAAGCCATACAAGGCTTTCCTCAACTTGTACACGTAATCTTCCTTGCCTCTAACTACAAAGCCATCAGGCTGCTCAACATATATCTCCTCCACTAGCTCTCCATTCAAGAAGGCTGACTTCACATCCAGCTGAAATACTTGCCAGCCCTTTTGTGCAGCAACTGCTAGCAGCATTCTTATGGTATCCAACCTTGCCACTGGAGCAAAGGTTTCAGAGTAGTCTACCCCCCATACTTGCGCATAGCCTTTGACAACAAGTCTTGCTTTGTACTTATGTATTGAGCCATCAGGATTCAACTTTGTCCTGAATACCCACTTCATTCCAATCACCTTTCTGCTTCTGGGCCTCTCAACTAGATCCCATGTCTGGTTTTTTTCAATCATTCTGATTTCTTCTTCCATTGCAAAGACACCATTTCACATCTTTACTTGCTTCCTTATAGCTAGCTGGTTCAAGCATAGCCGTATTGCATCTCTCATAGATTTCAAGAAGAGATCTAGTGCCTCTCGCAGAACATGATCAATTAGATCCTCGACTTCCACTTCATTTGGTTCAACCCGCAATGGCACTACCTCCTCATTTGCCACCTTCCACTGCACGGCCCCACTTCTTATCTTCCATAAAACTCACATCTCTACACACCACAACCTGGTTGCTAGCAGGATGATAAACTCTATAAGCCTTAGATTGCAAACTATACCCCACAAAGATACATGCTTTTCCTCTTGGATCAAGCTTATCTCTCTTAACAGAAGGAACCAGTGAATAGCAAATGCAGCCAAACACTTTCAGGTTACTCACCTTAGGCTTATATCCATGCCATGCTTCAAATGGTGTCTGTTTGTTGAGAGCTTTAGTGGGCAGTCTGTTCAGAAGGAAGACTGCAGTGTTGGCAGCCTCAGCCCAGAACTTCTTAGGGAGTTCTTTCTCGTGTAGCATGCATCTGGCCATCTCCATGATACTTCTGTTCTTCCTTTCACTCACTCCATTTTGCTGTGGAGTGTATGGCACAGTGAGCTGGTGCTTGATCCCTGCATCATCACATATAGTCCTGAAACTGCCTGAGGTGTATTCTCCTCCATTGTCTGACCTAATTGTCTTGATATTACAGCCACTCTCCTTCTCTACTTCTCTTTTGAACCTCAAAAAAATCTCATTAACTTCAGCCTTATTCTTCATGAAGTACACCCAACACATTCTAGTGCAGTCATCTATGAAAGTGATGAGGTATTTGCTGCCGTTCAGTGATTCTTCTGGCATTGGACCACACACATCTGTGTGGATTAGTTGCAGCTTTTCACTGGCCCTCCAATTTGACCTCTTGAAAGGAATCCTCACTTGCTTGCCTTGTAAACATGCTCTACAGCCAGTTACTTCCTTCTGCAACATAGGTAGCCCCACTGCCATTTCATTTTGCTGCAAGTATTGCAGCCCCTTGCTATGGAAATGACCCAGTCTTCTATGCCATAACTCCTCCTCATCTTGTATACTTTTCATGGCTTCAAAATTCTCATCAACTGGATCAAATGTAAAACACTTGTTCCTCATAGGAATCCTGAAAAGGATGTGACCATTCTCATCTCCTATGGCACACTCACTCTTCTCAAACACGACCTTCAACCCCTTCTCTACTAACTGACCCACACTCAGCAGGTTTTGATCTATCTTTGGCACAAACATAACCTCTGTGATAAGCTTAACACCACCAGGACCTTCAAGCACTACATCACCTTTGCCTTCTACTTCTATGCGTTCTCCATTGCCAATCCTGACTTTAGACTTCACAGATTTGTCTAAATTGCTAAATAATCCTTCATTACCTGTCATATGGTTGGTGCATCCACTGTCCACGAGCCATCCATCTCTAGATGCATTTGAGATGAAGCAGGAGGCAACAAACAGGTGCTCCACTTCACTGGCTACTGCAGTTTGACCTTCAGCTTGCTGTTGCTGATGCTTCTCCCTGCAAATGGCCTCAACATGGCCCATCTTGTGACACCTCCTGCACTTCACATCTGGTCTCTTCCAACACTTGAAATGAGGATGATTTTTCTTCCCGCAATGCTTGCATGGAACTGCATTCCACTTCCTGTCATATCCACCACTGCTTGAACCTCCCTGACTATGACTATGATTGGCCTCAACATGTCTTCTATTTTGGTTCCATCCTCTTCCCTTTTCTGCACTATGCAGCTTCAGCTTGGCTTGCAGAGCACTTTCGATAGGCTCATTTTTCCTCATAAGCCTTCTTTGCTCCTGAGCCTGTAGAGCACTTAGGACTTCAGCAAGTTTGATGTCTGAAATGTCCTTAGTGTTCTCAAGGGAAGCAATGGTTGCTTCAAACCTTTCAGGCACTGCAACCAAAACCTTCTGAACCAGCCTTTTATCATCTACATCCGTCCCTAGCACCCTTATCTTATTGGCTATATCAACTAGCCTATCAACAAACTCTTTCACAGACTCATTCTCCTTCATCTGCTGCCTTTCAAACTCCCTTAACAAGTTCAGCACCTTCATTCCTTTCACTCTCTCATCCCCTTCATATTCTTCCTTTAAATAATTCCATATATCATGTGCTGAATCTTTTTTCAGGATTCTAGTAAATATGGTCGAGGAGACAGCAGAAAACAAGCAAGATTTTGCCTTTGCTTTTCGGGTTACCCTCTCTTTATGGTACCTGATTTGATTGATAGTTGGGTTGTTGGGTAGATCAGCAACCTCGTAGTCCTCTTCCACAGCTTCCCATAGGTCTGCACCCTCCATGAAAGCTTGCATCTTCACTGCCCATGCCTGGTAGTTGTCTCCATCGAAGATTGGAGCTGTGATGGTTGAGAATGAGGCAGCAGGTACACCAGTTTGTTCCATCTTTCTTGCTCTACTTCGAATTTAGCACTCTCTCACAAGTCCCTTAAGATCAATAAAGCTCTGATACCAATTTTGTTGCACAGAATGTGCTCTCTGTTGTTACAGAGAATGTGCTCTCAAATGTAGAAGAACAAGAGAAGATTGATCTGGAAATGCACTTGTCACATTCTCAAAAACGAGAAGAGTACATAGCTCTTTTTAAACAACGAAAACTGAATTGCACTAACTTAGTAACTGACAAAAACCACTACACCACTAACTAGCAACAAAATAGGAATTGAAAACAACAAACTCCTACTATCTTGTTGACTAAGTAAAACAAAAACAACCAGCTAATAGACCAGAACAAAAATGACCGAAAATGGTCCTTAAGACATAACCAACAGTTTATTCCATTGACGACATTAATTTTACAGAGAAAATCAACTGAAAAGGGGAATGACAACTCTTAGAATGATGCCAGCCAGTCACTGGGTCTGGCTTCTCAAGCAAATTTGCAGCAGTAAGGAATTTTCAGCTTGGCATGAGTCCTTTGATGCAGGAATTTTCCCGATGGTTGTCCGGGAGAGAGCGCCACCACTTGACGAGTGTGCCCTTCACTAAGAACACGTCTTTCTTCACCTCCTCGTCATCGTACCATTTTTTCAGTTTCTTCTCCAAATCCGAAACCCTGTCCTTTATTTCGGTCCATGGTTTCTTGTTGGTAACTGCGATGTTGAGCTCCTCCACGTCGGCCCAAAAGCAGGATTCACCACTTGAATCTGCATCCAACTGCTTAGCATGTTCTCGCCATCTTTGCGGATAGTGGTACCTACTCGGCCTTCCTTTCGTCATGTAAGGACCTGCGTCTTCATTCCTCATGTGTCGATAGTAGTTGGCTATGTCTATTGGCTCCACAAGTCGGCGCAAGCACGTGCCGAGCTCCACCCATTCTTTATCTGCCTCAAATTCATCGGGGAGCTGCTCCTGTTTTAGCATTTCGATAATCTCGTCCCAAATAGCTGCCAGTTCAAGTCTCTTTACGTTAGCCTTGAAGTCTTCTTCCTTCTTTTGCGTCTTGAAAGCATCATAATATCCCACGCCGTCATTCTCGCTCGTGGTCCGATACTCTTCTAATGCTTTGAGGGCTTTGTTTATGGCGTCCTTCTTACGTTCGATCGTTTTCTTGTTGTCCTCTTTCTGCTTCTCCAACTCTCCAGCGGCACGAAGGCACAGTCTAGCCGTTGCGCTCTATAATCACAAAATTATATATGGTGAATATTTGACTATATTTTCTTAATAATTTAAAGATTATCAGGAAACTAGAGAGTTCATTTTCCATAGAAAATTCCTGGACCAGATAAAGTATCGACAATACCAGGTTAAGGTCATTCAATGCAGCACCAACCGTCTTGACATTACTATCTACACTGTCATCTGAGCTGAGAGGTAATTCTCGGAGGTTCTTCAAACAAACTACGTTGTGTGCGGCCAAGCTTTTAGCTAACGCCTCTTCATATGTCCAATGTGCCTTTAAGCTTTCCTTTGCTCTATTCTTAAGCTCTATTTCGGACGCGATCTGTAAAGAGTAAAACAATAGTTGAAGAACCGCATCCGGGTTCTTCACGACCACCAACCTGCCAGTCTCAGTGCAGAAGACATACTTCCCGCACGGTCTGTAAGGGCTTAACTTGATGAATCTAGACATGGTGTCGAATAAAGTATGTTTGCTTCCTGTTAGTACGCATGCTGCATGGCTTGCAACACCTGATGCATTCTTCATCACATTCACAAATAAGGAAGCCAATTTTGCTTCATCGGCATTGTGCTGTTGGTTGGAGAATGGGGGAATTTCTTGTAGCAACTCTGTTGCGGAAGAGCGAGGAGACAGTAAAATCCTGGGAACGATGTCGAGTTTCGTAACAAAGTGGACAAAGCAATCGGACCAACCCTCACGCTGGACGGCATGGCAAAAGGTGCGGTCGGTGGTCAGTGGGGATCCGAATGTCAAACAGAGAGGACGGGGAGGAGTCTGCTTCTTATTTGATCTTACGTACTCCTCAAGGAACCAAACGGTCGCGCATATTGCAATTGGACCGCCCGATGAATGGCCTGCAAATATTATTTGCTTATTCTTGTCCACCGCCTTTGTCACCTGAAAATCAAAGACAAATCCAGGTTTGTTTCCGACTCTTCATTTTTTGCTTTGATACTCGGTCAATGATGAACAACCCTTCTATTGCTAAGGGTAGGTCGAGAGAGATTTAATCTGAACCATCTATGCTATTGTTGTTATCTAATCGCGAACACTTGGAGAGAGGGTTCTCTAAATTCCAATTAACGGAGCCTATTTGCATAGAAAAGTCTAGACAAACCCCATAGTCATATATACTCGACTAGCTAATGACCCCCCAGATGGTAAATTGCAAACTGAAGCAGACCAGATCTCGCGTGTTACGAATACCTAAATCTTCTGTCAGATACTATGACTTGAGGAAGAGTATAGAACTGGATGAGAGTTTCAATGGTAGAGGGTGTGCGGCTGGGCGCAAATACTTGCGCAAGCTCTAGTTTCGGATCTATGGTGTTCCGGTGAGAGTTTCTATGGACTGAACTGGACACGGTAAGGCACGCCTTGAAGCCAAAAGTGGGCACCACCCAAGTTTTCTGTTCTTCAAATGAAACTTGGAAAACTCTAAAATTGGCCATAAAAAATGCTGTCTCAGAAATACTAAGGACTCTTCGACCAATTGAAACAACGCCAGAAACAGAGAATCATTCGGGATTCAAGAATACCTCCTCGCGGAACTTTCCACTTTCATGGTCCAGAATACGTAGGAATCTTGCCATGAATGCCGCGTTGACCGTGGCGACCACTTTATTGCCGATGCCCTTGAGAGATGGGAACATTTTAGTGTCGACCTTGGTCTCTCCGAAAGGCTTGGCTTTGCCGTCTCCGGCGAACCAGTCATTCGGAGACCATGATCCGCGGAAGGCCACGACGACCTGCGACGGGCAATCGGGAGTCTCCCTTTCGACGAGACACTGATCTGGGCTCTGATGAGCATGGATAGATACAGACAAGGCTTTCTCGATCAATTCCTCTTTGATGCCAAGATCTCTCTCCATGGTGCGTGTGCGTGTGTAGATGTGTATGTTCTTCTATGTGAGCTACTCTCTGCAAAATGTGCTTGCTTGACAGGTTAGCTGGGGGGAGGGGAAGACAAAATGGGGCTTATTGACTTGTCTTTGGATGTTGGTTGGGTCAATGGAGGAAAGACTAGGAAGCATCCATTACAGAGGAGAATAATGGAGTATGAGCTTAGTTATCTCTTCGTGGAGCCATCAAGGTGGGGTCGTGTGGGAATTAGGGGTGAGCAACTTGGACCGCCCAAACCGGGACCGGACCGGACCGGACCGACGGGTTTGGTCCGATTCTCGGAACTATCGGTCTGGTTCCCGGTTCCTAAAAGCGGAACCGGTTTCCGGGTGGTCCGGTTCCCGGTTCCAAGGAGGAACGGACCGACCGGACCGGACCGACTATTTAATATATATTTTTGTTATTTTTTTCTTTAAAAAAATTAATAAAATGTGAACTAAACTCTAAGTGAACTTCATTATTATAAATTCATTGATAAAAATTAGTAAAATGTGAATTAAACCCTAAGTGAACTTCATTGACATAAATTCATTGACAAAATTTAGTAAAATGTGAACCAAACCTTAAGTGTTTAATAAAAAAAAAAAACTAAACTCTAAGTTACCGATTCCATTGGACCGAACCGGCGGTCCAGTCCGATTCCCGGTCCTAGAACCAACCGGTCCGGTCCGCGGTTCCCAAAATTGGGAACCGGTTCTCTTGGTCCGGTTCCCGGTTCCACCTTGGAACCGGACCGGACCGGGAACCGATCACCCCTAATGGGAATCACTTACTTTAAAAAGTTGGTGATTCCCTTTCTTTTCTAACTTAATAAATAATATATCAAATGATAACGAAAAGAATGTATCCGATTTCATGCGACTCTAGGAGTTTGGCTTTTGATAAAGTCGTGTTCCGAACTCTACAAAAATTAAAAAGTAACATATTTTTGAATCAAGACATTAGAATATATTTTATGTGGCGAATATATCCTGTGATGGTGGCATGTGATGCAATCGCCAATCAAGAATAAGATATATACACGCATGGCATCAAGTAGGACGAATTTCATAGCACGCGAGCTGTTGCGGAAGCCAAGCGATCGAACAATGAAATAGACATAATAAGAAAATAAATCGAACACCAGATTTACGTGGTTCGGTCGTAGTGATTTATGTCCGCAGGGAGAGCAGCACGGGATTCCATTATAAATCAACTACAACTACACCCGAGTCACTCAAACATTCTAACTGTTTCTCAAGCTTCAATTGCACTCAATAACTTACGAAGTGTTTAGCTCCGTAATTCCTCACGAAATAATCTCTCGATCTCACGAAGGAATTTATACATACAAGAATTTGATCGGCTAAATCACTCGTACCTTTTCTCCGATCTCACCCACAAAGAAAACGCCAGGATGTAATTCTACGAAGGCTTCCGTCAAGCGCTCAGTTCAGCGCTTCAAGTCTTCTTTGGACATGGACGGCACGAAGACCACGCTGCAACTTCATCAACGATGGCCACCTAGACTTCGCACACTTCATCAATGATGGCCACCAAGACTTCGCACAAAGGCCACTTCAAGTCTACGTGGATCAGCAGCCTTCCCTGACTTGTAATATGTGCATATTAGTCAGTATATACTGCTGTTTGCCGAGTCCCACTAAAAGTTTGACTTATGTTATCTCCTTTTCTGTCACCAACAGTAAGGGAATCTCCGACTTAGACTTCACCGAACTTTAACAAATAACAACTAATCTCGGATCGAATTTATTCACGGGATTAAACTCGAGACATGTGTTAACAATAGTGGTGATCAGTAGGTTACACAATGTCGTCGCTGACCCGTGAAGTATTCGGTGGTTTTACTCTTTAACTTAAATAAGACAGTGTTGAGGACTGCCGGGAATGGTCTCTGGTTAAGAAAATGTTTTGTAGTAACTTTTGTCTTTTGACGAACATGTGAAGGAATCATTAGAGGACTATAGAGAGATTTAAATAAAAATAAACTATAAAGAGGGAGAAAAGGGGATTTGTTTTATCACATGAGAATTAGTTTAATCGGACACTAGCATCGAGAACTGTCACGCCTATGATGACAAATTTATCCTCGAATGATCACAACCATCGGATCACATGAACCCTCGCGATTCTCCATGTCGAGCCGCTGGGATTCGTGGCATGGGGAGTGAGACGCCGGCATGGGTGCTCTAGGCGATGGAGCGCGCTTGTTGACTCGACTTATTATTGACTTGTCTTGGATAGTGGTTGGGCCCATGGAATAAAGGGGTAATGATACAAATAGTCCCCGAATTTCGACTCAATGTGTAATGTGATCCTTAAACTTTTAATTTGTTCAATATGGTCCCTAAACATTAACCCAATGTGCAATTTTAACCCTGAACTTTTAATTTGTTCGATGTGGACTTTAAACTTTTGATACACTTTCAAGTTAGTCCCTAAACTATATGAAAATGTTCAATGTTATGCTTCCATTAATTCAAGTTCGGGAACTACATTGAACATTGGACTAAATGAAAATTAGAATGAAATATCATATTATTTTTTTTAATTCACCCACGAAGATTAAGAAAAGGAATGTAATATGATAGTTTTTTCATAAGTTAATTATGAATCTATTTAAATTGGAAACTTAGGCCACATGTAGTTTGTTGATGTTTTAAATTATATCTTGTGACATGTTTTATATTGGTGAAAACATGATTTATGTAAATTTGCCTTAAATTTTTGTGATATGAGCATGTTTGTTTTTTAAGCAGTTTCACCATCAGTGAATTTTTCTAATTTCAATATTCTTGAGTTAAACGATGACAACCATAAAGTTTGGAAGGAATTAATCTTTCTTCAATTGGGGTGCATGGACATTGATTATGTTATTCGGAAAGATGAACCACTGGCTCCTATCGATGCTAGCACTCCAGATGAAGTTGTTGTTTGGAAAGATTGGTTGTTGTTCATAACATCCTCCGGTCAAGCCGACTATTGACCAACCAATCACTGAAGTTCCACAACATGCAAATATTGATTCGGTAGATCAGATGTTCATCAATTACCAGAAACTGTTGAACAACATGCTTCTCAGAAGAATGTTGATGCAACGTTAAGAAGATTCCTAGTGATTACATTGTGTATCTACAAGAATATAACTATAATGTTGGAGCTGAGATTAATCCTAAAATGTTTTTACAAGTCATGAGTTATGATAAATCCAATTTTATGATACAATGCAACGAAGGAGGAGATGAGTTCTATGGCATCTAACGAAGTCTGAGATTTGGTTGAGTTGCCTAATGGTGCGAAGACCATTGATTGTAAATGGGTCTTCAAAACTAAGAAGGACTCGTTGGGCAACTTTGACATAAAGCTATTGGTTTGGTTCCTTGTTCAACAAATGTAGTCGATCTGGCTTAAATGTTTGCAGTCACTTAAGAGGCTGATGGAGTGATGCGGGAATTGGTGGCCAGATTGAGGAATTACTCTGGCTTTGAAGCACATGACTATGCACATGTTTGGTAGTAGTTGAAGTTCAGGTAAGCATGTGGGAAATGTACTTTCATACAGTAAGGCTGGATGTATCTAATGTCATACAAAGAGGTGTGTTCTGTTTTTTTTATGTATCTTATTTTTGGTTACTTTCCGGAGTGAACAGTCTTATGCACTGTTCTTTAAGCTGGAAGTTTAGGTGGTACGTCTTTTGTGATTGAGTCTCGATTCTCGGCCTCCCTTTCATCATTATCACTTCCTTGCACGTGCTTATGCATTTGGACATGTGCAGATGTGGCGTTTTCTTGTTCTTACAATAGGCAAACTGTATTTCTTGCGCTTAGGATTCCCTCAGGTCTTTGCCATGCCTTTGTTCTCCTTTCTTATCTTGTACAGCAATGTTTTGCCTATTCCTTTCTGTCTCTCCTTGGCAATTCAAAAATGTTTTTGTCTCCATTTTGTTCGGTGGACTTAGCTGATAGACACTAATACATAGGAAGCTGATGTCTTTTAGATGCAAAACTCTGGCTAGTTTGCATTGAGGTACTGTTTGACAACCAATTAGAGAGGGCATACTAATTGATTTTACAGCAATGCTATTGGTTGGTTCTGCAATCAGTTTTAGTCTTTTCTCTATATTGCAGAGTCTAATAAGAAACAAGGAGTTCTACATGGTTTGATAATGTATATATCATTTGAATCAGCTCTTCACTGGAGCAATTCTATCGTTTCTTCCATCTTTTTTCCTTTTGTGTTTAGGATCTTCGGGGACATGAAGAAGACTTCAGAGGTTCTCTCTTGTTTTTTGAAGGGTGATTTATTTCATTGGCGACATTTCTTTTACAGAGACAATCAACTGAAAAGGAGTACGACCCTCTTTGCATGATGCTAGCCAGTTGCTGGGTCTGGCTTTTCAAACTACTTTTCAGCAGCATGCGGAATTTTCAGCTTGGCATGTATTTTTGATGCAGGACTTTAGCTTATGGTCTGTTAAAATATGATCAATTTTACTAGAGTTATCAAGAATAATCTTTACAAATATTTTGTTCATAGAAGTAGTTGGAGATAGAGATAGAAAGGAGCCCACATCATTGTGTGCAGAAGAATCCAAGAAATAATCTCTATCAAGTGACTTTGGATAATAGTCGAAGAGTGTGGATTAAATGGAGAACACGAGTCTATGCATCTACCACTTTCATAAAAGTATGTCGGTGAAGAAAGCTTATAAATATGCATATCCCCAAACAAAACGTTTTACAAACATTAAGGGTATTTTGCTACATTGAGAAATAGCAATACAAGTCTCACTCAACAGGTGGTATCGGAAGTATGCCGTGCAACTCAGCATGGTCTTTACAGAGAGCTTGCCACCACTCAACGAGTGTGCTCTTTTTTGAGAACAGATCACTCTCCACCTCCTCCTTTTCGCACCAATTTTTAAGGTGGGCCCCCAAATCCAAGACCTCATTCCTTATTTTTTCCCATGGTTTATTTTTCAGCTCCTCCACCTTGGCCCAAAAGGAGGATTCACCCGATGAATCTGCTTGTAAATGCTCTGCGTGTTCTCGCCATTTTTGTGTAAATCTGTACCGACTTGGCCTTCTTCCTTTCTCCAGGTAAGGACCTGCCACATCATCCCTGGAGTGTCGATAGTAGTTGGCTATGTCTATTGGCTCCACAAGTCGGCGAAAACGCGTGCCGAGAACCACCCATTTTTCATCTGCCTCAAATCCATCGGGGAGCCGATCATGTCTTAGCAGTTCAATGATCTCGTCCCAAATAGCTGCCAGTTCAAGTCTCTTTACGTTAGCCTTGAAGTCGTCCTCCTCCTTTTGCAATTTGAAAGCATCGTAATATCCCTCCTTGCTCGTGGTCCGGTACTTTTCTAATGCGTTGAGGGCACTCTCTATCTCGCCCACTTTGCCTTCGATCCTTTTCTGGTTATCCTGTTTCTTCTTCTCCAACTCTCCAGCGGCGCGAAGGCACAGCCTCGCCGGTGCGAACTATAATCACAAAATCATATATTGTGAAATATTCAATTGTCTTTTTTTAATAATGTAAAAGATTATTAAGGAACTATACAGTTCATTTTTCACATAAAATCCTTGGACCAGATAAAAATATCGACTATACCAGGTTAAGGTCATTTAGTGCGGCATCATCTGAGCTGAGAGGCAATTCTCGGAGGTTCTGCAAACAAACAACACTGTGCGGGGCCAAGCTTCTGTTTAATGCACCTTCATATCTCCAATGGGCCTTGAAGCTTTCCTCTGCTCTCTTCTGAAGCTCTGTTTCGGATTTGATCTGTAAAGAGTAAAACAACAGTTGAAGAACCGCATCCGGGTTCTTCACGACCACGAACCCGCAATTCTCGGTGCAAAAGACATACTTCCCACACGGTCGGTAAGGGCTTAGCTTGATGAATCTAGACATGGTGTCAAATAAGGTATGTTTGCTTCCCGTTAGTTCGCAAGCTGCATAGTTTGCAACACATGATGTATTCTTCATCACATTCACAAATAACGTAGCCAATTTTGCTTGGTTGGCTTTGTGATGTGGGTCAGAGAAAGAGAAAATTTCTTCTAGCAACTCCCTTGTAGAGGAGGGAGGAGCAAGCAGAATCCTGGGAACGATGTCGAGTTTCGTAACAAAATGGACAAAGCAATCAGACCAACCCTCACGCCGGATGGCATGGCAAAAGGTGCGGTCGGTGGTAAGTGGGGATCCGAATGTTAAACAGAGAGGACGGGGAGTCTGCTTCTCGTTGGATCTTATGTACTTCTCAAGGAACCAAACAGTCGTGTATATCGCGATTGGACCGCCCGATGAATGGCCTGTAAATATTATTTGCTTATCGTGCCCCACTGCCTCTTTTACCTGAAAATCAAAGACAAATTCAGGTTCCGTTTCTGACTGTTCAATTTTTGCTTCGATGATGCTCGGTCAATGATGAACATCCTTTTACTGCTAATGGTAGTTGAGAGAGATTTAAACTAAACCATCTATATTATGGTTATTGTCTAGTGGACTTGGAGAGAGCGTTCTTCAAATTCCAATTAGTGGAGACTTCTATAAAAAAGTCAACACAAACCCCATATAATCATATATACTGGATTAGCGACGGGGGATTTTCTTTTACAAGGTAAAAGCTGATGACCCCATACGATAAATTGCAAACTGAAGCAAACCAGATCGTCCATGTTACGTGATCTATATACCTAAATCTTCTGTCAGATACTATGACTTTAGGAAGAGTATAGAACTGGATGAGAGTTTCAATGGTAGAGGGTGTGTGGCCATGAGCATATACTTGCGCAAGCTCCTAGTTTCCGATCTATGGTGTTCCGGTGAGAGTTTCTATGGACTGAACTCGACACGGTAAGGAACGCCTAGAAGCCAAAAGTGGGCACCACTCAAGTTTTCTGCTCTTCAAATGAAACTTGGAAAACTCTAAAAATGGCCTTAAAAAATGCTGTCTGAGAAATACTACGGACTCTTCGACCAATTGAAACAACGCCAGAAACAGAGCATCATTCGGGATTCAAGAATACCTCCGCGCGGAACTTTCCACTTTCATCGTTCAGAATACGTAGGAATCTTGCCATGAATGCGCCGTTGACCGTGGCGTCCACATCCTTGCCGATTGTCCTGAGAGATCGGAACTTCTCACGGCCGATCGGGGTATCTCCGAAAGGCTTGGCTTCGCTGTCTTGAGGGAACCAATGCTCCGGAGACCACGATTTAGGCAACGCCACGATCACCTGCGAAGAGCTACGGCGAATCTTCAGCTCCTCTGGATTCGTACCAGGTTCCATGGACGCAGCCAAGGCTTCCACGATCACTTCCTTTGCGATGCCAAGATTGCTGTCCATCGTGGTCTGTGCGCAAGTGTGTATGTCCTTCTACGTGAGCTCGCAAAATGTACTCGTCGGATGGTATGGATGGGAGAGGGAAGATATAGGCCAAATGGAGTTGGTTCAAGTTCTTACTCAAAATGTCCCTTCCATGATCGTTCCGGTGGGGCCAACTGGAACGCCAAAGCCTAGATGATCACGTGGGTGGGCCCCAGTGAGTCTCCACATCGAGCGGCTGTGATTGGTGGAATAGGGAGTGAGGCCGGCGATGGGTGTTTTGGGCAATTGAGCGCGCTTCTAGTGGCTCGAATTATTATTATTGACTTGTCCGTGAAGGTGGGTGGTTGAGTCAATGGATAAAAAAAAAACAAGCAAATTGTTTTGGTTTTCAATTAGTAAATGCAAGTTTGATAGAGAAATTATGCAATAGGAGCATAGTTATCTGGGGTAGGTAGGAGACAATTCTGGTTTAGGTCGGTAACATCAAGGTGGGGTCGCGTGGGAGTGCGGGAATACCTACTTAAAAAAGTAGGGATCACCTTTCTTTTCTAACTTTAAGAATTTAATATACCAAAAGATAAGATAAGAATGTATATGATTTCATACAACTTTAGGTGCTTGGCTCTTGATCAAAAGCCATGTTCCGAACCCTTCAAACGATCACAATGGTCGGATATGAACGGGGATCACCTATTTTAAAAAAAAAGATGAGGATTCCCTTCCTTTTCTAACTTGAAATACCAATAAATGACGAAAATAACATAGGAATGATACTTTGTCATAAAAATCACATTTCAAGCTCTTCAAAAATAACGAGAAAACAAATAAGAAGTAACATGTTTTCGTTTCAAGATATAATTTACGTGACAGATACCTCATGTGCAGCCAATTAAAAATTAAGATGCGCTCGTGTATTGCGCTAAGTTTGATAAGATTTATGGCACGCGAGTAATGATAATCGATCGCTACACAACATCGTCGCTACCACATGGTGTAATCCATCCGATTAAATGTTTTCACCCCGCACAGGACAATTGGGGTTATGCCTCGAGGTGGGAGTCGGGTGAGCGTGGGGGATCACCAATTTTTTTAACTAGCATTCATTGATTGTAGTTTTTAACTTTTAAAGAAAAGGTCGAGGATCGCCTTTCTTTTATAACTCGAAATACCGAATTTTTTAAAATGATTTCGTATAGCAAATATATTCGTATGCATTCAAAAAAAATTTAAGGCGTTCGACTTTTGATGAAAGTCGTGCTTCAACTTTCATCAAATAAAAGAAAGAAATGAAAAGTAAATGTGAAGTCTTTTTTTGAAATTAATCGGCACCCCCGTCAACATAACCTGGTCCCGCACACGTGCATTGCTCGGTACAAACTGGGAATGGATATCCGATCAGTCTCGTCTTTCCACGTTAAAAGATTGGCAAGTCTTCAACGACTGGATGACCAAGAGCAATTGTCGGGTCAACAAGACATTTGCCAGGAAACATCTCGGGTTAAACAAATGTTTTTACTTTGGTATTTTGATCAACATGGGATATCCTAAAATTATTATACGATAGTCAATTCAGCCTTACGCCTTTTAATTATTTCAATTTAGTCTTCAACCTTTCGAAAATTTATCAATTTAGTTATGAACCTTTCAATTATGTCAATTTAGTCATAAACATTTTGAAGATTTATCAATTTAGTCATAAACCTATTATTATTTGGATAATTGGCTGGAATGACTACATTGATGAATTATTAAAAGATTTAGGATTAAATTGACAAATCATCATAAGGTTTGTGACTAAATTGACGCAATTGAAAGGTTTATGACTTAAATTAACACAGTTGAAAGGTTTAGAACTGAATTGGCAACCGTACAATAAGTCTATGAATTTTTTTGACAATTTTGCCGATGAACATGTGAAGCACTTTCAGATGACCATTTTTAAAAAGACGAAAAGATAGAACAAAAGGGGATTCCTTATGACATAGTCAATTAATCAAGTGGACACTAAAACTAGCATCACACCGACGATGATAAATCCACCCCCCCCCCCCCCCCAATTCGGGCCATTTCGTACCCGATTGTAGGCCCACGAACGTGCTCCTCTTCAAGATCCGAAATGGGCTGATCAAGGGCCCAAACGAGATAGTCCAGCTGGCCCACGGCCCATAACCGCCCTTTCTGGTTCTTCTTCTGCTGCTGCTGCTGCTGCTGCTGCATCTGCCGCACCGAAATCACCCACCATTTGGACGGTAGAGACAGCAGCGCTCCGATTTACGGCGGAGCTGCGATCGCGAAGGAGCCGTGACGTTTAAGAAAGCGGAGAGAGAGAGAGAGAGAGAGAGAGACATCACCCAAGTCGGAGGCGGCGGTCGGAGAAGAGGAGAGGAGGAGCGATGGTGGGCGGCAAGAGAAAGGGAGCTGACGGATTGGGGGAGGAGCGGAATGCCGGTTGGTTGAGGGATGTGGTAAGAGGGTACGCGTAACTGTGTGTGCTTTTCTTGTCAGACTCAGTTTCGGTTCTAAGCGAGAGGACATCACGGTGACTACATTGATGCTATAGGATTGATGAGTCCTTGTCTCGAAGAATCCCAATTGAGTTCCAATTGTTCGTGCGTTGAGTAGGTTTGTGCTAAACTTGCTCCCTCTCTCGTGAATCTGCAGTTTAAAAAAGCTTTTTTCGTTCCCTGAACGGGCTTCAGCTGAATGGGTTTTGAGCCAAGATGGAACTTTCGCTTGCTGAAACAGGTGATACAAATAATGTCTCGATGATGAGGAAAATTGCCGGTTAAGAGCCTTATTGTCTCATGTTAACTTACCCAGTGTTCAAGAATGTTGCGTCTCCTGTTGCAAGTTGTTGCTCGTGGTTTGCCTTCTGGTCAGCGGCGTAAAGACTTGAATCATGAATGCTCATTTTGTTTGTGCTCTTGATGCTATTGGCTCGGTTCCTCATTCTACAATGTAGTCGACCCGGGCATGAATGTTGCAGTTATTTGAATAGTCTATGGAGCAATGCATTTGCCTGCATAGGATTAGCTTTAATTGAAGCATAGGAGATGGCACATGTTTCGTAGTAATAGAAGAAGTTCAAATTGCTTTTGCTTTGGTGTGCTTACTAATTAGTATTTGTTTTTTCTTTGTCGCTTTTGTGGGATAACTTTTGCTGACATGCTCTTATAGGAAGTTTGAAAGTTTCAGATGCAAAACTGCGGCCACTTTCCGTTGGGGGTACTCTGATAACCAATTAGGGAAGGTTCGTGATCTGGTTTAAGACGATAACATTGGTTAGTTCTGATATCAGTTTGCCTCTCATGGCTGAGCAATGTAGGACTGTTATATTTGCTCTCCATCGGAGCAACTTTATCAATTCTTCATATTTTTTCTTTCGTGCATAACTTGTATCATTGATAACACGTGTTGTACAGAGAAAATCAGCTGCAAAGGAGAACAATCCTTTGAACGATGCCAGCCACTTGCTGGGTCTGGCTTTTCAGGCAAATCCTCTTTTAGCTCTCTATGAGAACTTTGATGGAGGACTTTGCTTCGTAATTGTCAGGGAGAGTGCGCCACCATTTTACAAGTGCGGTCTCCTTCAAGAATGCGTCGTTCTTCACCTCCCCTTTGCTGTGCCATTCTTTCAGTTTCTTCGCCAAATCCAAAGCCTGCTGCTCGTTCGATGGATTAGCAGACGCAAGGGTGAGCTCCTCCACGTCTGCCCAGAAGCAGGATGCACCACACGTACCTCTCGGCAACTGCTCAGCATGTTCTCGCCATCTTTGAGTATACTTGTAGCGTTTCGGCCTTCCTTTCGTCATGTAAGGACCCGTGTCTTCATTCTTTAGGTGTCGATAGTAGTTGGCTATGTCTAGTGGCTCCACAAGTTGTCGAAACCTTGTGCCTAGTTCCACCCATGTTTCCTCTGCCTCAAATTTATCTGGGAGCTCATCTCGTTTTAGCATCTCGATAACCTCGTCCCATATGCCTCCTAGTTCCAATCTCTTCACATTAGCCTTGAAGTCGTCCTCATACTTTTGCTCCTTGAAAGCATCAAAATATCCCATGCCACGAGTCTCACACATGGTCCGGTACCCTTCTAAATCAGAGAGGATGTTCCTTATGGTGACCATCTTGTGTTCAATCTTCATCTGGTTATCATCTTTCTGCTTCTCTGATTCTCCGGCAGCACGAAGGCACAGCCTTGCCCTCGTACTCTGTAATTACAAAAGCATAGATGGTGAGATTACACTTTCAAAGAATATCAAAAAAGTGAGTTCGTTACGTATAGGAAACTCCTTGGGCTAGGGGAACCAACTTACTAGATTAAGGTGATTTAAGGTGGCGTCGATTGTCTTGGTCGCAATATCTGTAGTATCATCCGAGCTGAGAGGTAATTCTCGGAGGTTCTCCAAATGAACTGCATTACGCATGTCCAAGCTTTTGTCTAGTCCATCTTCATAAGCCAGATGTGCCAGTAAGCTTGCTACCGCTGTCTGTTGAACCTCTGATTCGGACACGAGCTGTAAAGAGTAAAACAACAATTGAAAGACAGCATCCGGATTCTTCATGACAACCAACCTGCCGGTCCCGGTGCAAAAGACATACTTGCCGCATGGTCGGTAAGGACTTAGCTCAACGAATTTAGTCATGGTATCTAATAGCATATTTGTGCTGCCCATTAGAATGCATGCCGCATGGCTTGCAACGCATGATGCATTCCTCATCACGTTGTCAAATAATGCAGTCAATTTCACCTTGTCAATCGAATCAGCTCTGTGATGTGTGGAAGTTGAGATGAAGTACGGTAGGATTTGTTCTAGGAACTCTTTTGTGGAGGAGAGAGGGGCGAGTAAAATCCTGGGAACAATGTCGTGTATCATGACAAAGTGGACAAAGCGATCGGACCACTCCTCTCGTCGGACGGCATGGCAAAAGATGCGGTCGGTGGTAAGAGGGGATCCGAACGTTAAACAGAAAGGGCCGTGAGTCAGACTCTTGTGCGATCTTTTGTACTCCTCGAGTACCCAAATGGCCGCATATATCGCAATCGGACCGCCTGAAGAATGGCCAGCGAATATTATCGGCTTGCTTCCACTCATCGCCTTCTCCACCTGGAAACCAAAGACAAATCCCGGTTTGATTCTGGCCCGCCAAATTTTTTTGCTTGGAGACGTGGTCAATGACGAACATCTCTTCCATTGCCAAGAGTATGTACAGAGAAATTGAACTTAACTAGATCGTGGGTGATGTGATCTATACGTTAACCGCTATGTGATGTGCCCGTGTACTTACTTTTGGGGAGCGAAAAAAGAAACGCATCTGAAGAAACTGGAAATGAACTCAAGATTCAAGAGTACCTCACTGCGGAGCGTTGACTTCTCTACAATCTCTAGGAATCGCCTCATGAACGCCTCGTTGACCTTAGCGGTTATGTCGTTGCCGATGCTCCAGAGAGAAGGGAACATGCCGAGGTTGACCTCGGTCTCTCCGAAGGCTCTGGCCTTGCCGTCTCCGGCGAACCCCTCGCCGGAAGTCCAAGACCCGGAGAAGGCGAAGATGACGTGCGAGGGGCTGCCGCGAATCTTCTCGACGAGGAAGGACTTCTCCGGAACCTGGTGGGCTCTGACGGAGAGGGAGCAAGCTTTCTTGATCACCTCATCTCTGATGCCCAGGTCTTGCCCGGGGCTACCTGTGTCCATGGCCTGCATAGATCTATGCTATGTGACTTTCTTCTTCTGCTGCTGCTGCTGCTGCTGCTACTGCTCCTATTTGGGTGGTTTTGTTCCAACTTATTGACTGGTGGGGGAGGACGGGGAGATAGATATAGGGGAAGATATAGAGGGACGAGATTACTCAACTTTCCCTTTGGGTGACCGAGGGAAGCTGGAAGGCAATGGGGAGTGAAACTTCGTAGGTGGTTTTGTCATTGAGCTTCATCGTTGACCTTGACTTGTGGTTACCACGGCTTGGGTCTTTGCTTTTGGGGGAGTCTTTGTGTAAATGGCTTGGAAACAGCCCCCTCGTTTGGGGGTTAGCACTAAGACAAAGCATATGTGCTGTTTTTTTGTCTTTTTCAATTGGCGAGTGCGCGTTTGTCTTGAGATAAGTTGGAAGAAAAAGAATCGAATCGTTTCTCATCTCTCGTCAGGTGTGGCGTGAGGAGGTTCTGGCCGGTGACATCACAAGTTAGGGGCTTCGGATTGGGGGGAAAGTTCAGGAACAATCTACTTCGTTATGTGAACACGGGAGAAATCGAAAGTGGGGTTACTGCTGAAACAGGCTTTTGACGTTCCGCCGAGTCGATCAAATGAAGAGATATCGGTATCAAGATGTAAACTGTAGTAGCTATGGAGATTTTGGTGTTTCTCGAGGGTCCCAATCGTCACTTCGTAATTCACGAGGGCTTCGAAAGAAAGCAGGATTAATTTTTGTTCGGGAGATAATTTTGGCCCCAAATTTCGAGTGTTGCATATAAAGGTACAAACTATGGTTTGAGAGATATCTTTCGCTTGAACTTTCGTGTGTCACATGTAAAGGCGCCGGCTTTTATTCGAGAGATAATATTGGCCATATTAGAATTTCCATCAAAAAGTGTGCATATATGACGTCTAATATGGAAACGGATGCTGACATGACAAGGTGAATACCATGTCGGTAGATATAACTTACATAAATACTCGAAATTATTCCATGGGAGATAGTTGTGCAATTTTATGTGACACTCGAAAGTTTGGGCCAATATGGTCAATCGAGTGAAAGTTGCTTTTTTTTGTTTTAGTGAAAAAATCTAATTCGTGATAGTTATGTGCATTTTTTTGTAATTCGTAAAGCAACAAGTTGTCAAAAAACTTAAAAAGCTCTTTGATATCTATCATTTTGTAATCCAATAGTTATAAGCCCTAGGGAAATTATTCGGCTCAATTCCCTAAAAAACCCCAAACTTTAGCATTTGTCTCAATTATATCCCAAACTTTTTTTGTCTCATAAAAACCCCAAACTTTTGCTTTTGTCCCAAATCTACCAGTTAACTTTTCGTCCAATTTTTAATATTATTTTTTATTTTTTCGAATTTTATTTTATTTTTTTCCTTTTCTTTTTCCTTTTCTTTCTTTCTTTTTTGTTTCACCTTCGGCCGGCCGGTCCGTGATCGGCCAAAGGCGGGGCCGCGAGGCTCGGCCCCACGGCCGCCGGCGAGGCTCGCTCGCCGTCGGCCGGCGAGGCCGACCTCGCCAACGGCCGTGGAGCTAAGCCTCGCCACCCACTGCGAGGCCTCTACCCTGTCGCCTATTGGCGAGGTCGGCCCGCCTAACGCCGGCGAGGCCGAGCCTCGCCGGCGGCGTGGCCGAGTTCTCGCCGGATCCGGCGAGGTCGGCCTCGCTTAGCAACGGCGAGGTTCAACCTCTGCCGACCTCGTAGATCTTTGGCGGCGAGGCCGATAAAAGTTTGAGGTTTTTTATGAGAAAAAAAAATTTGGGATATAATTGGGACAAAGGTTAAAGTTTGGGGTTTTTTAGGGAATTGGGCCTAAATTATTCTTCAAGAGATGGTGGATATATTCGTAAGAACTAATGTCTAGCAAACATGACGTATAACATAATTTGTACAATTTGCTTTATTCGAAGGTCTGGACATATGTCCAAAAAGTCGCCTGTCTTCTTTCCTAGCAGCGGATCTTGCCAAGCTCGTCAACGGGTGGATTGCATCGGTCGGTCAATACGATGCTGCGAGGAAACACATTGGAACATGCACGTTTTCTTCTTGGCGACCGAACTCCCATTTCCATTTTGAAAACGCGAAGTCATACTAGTCTTGTCCTATGGACAATTGGGGAAAAAAAAATAATATTCTTTGATAGGATAAACGATATAAATGGTTTTTGAACTTTGGTTCAGTGTGCAACGTGGCACCTGAACTTTAAATTTATCAATGTGGTCCCTGAACTGAATGAAAATGTTCTATGTTGTCAACATTTAATATTTTCATATAAGTCAGAGGCTAAATTACAACGTGTACAAAAAATATATCAAAAGTCCAGAGAACACACTGAATAAATTAAAAGTTCGAAAATGATATTTTACATTGGGTTAAAGTTCATGAATAACATTGAACAAATTTAAAGTTCAGAGTTCACGTTGTACATTGGGCTAAAGTTCAAAAATCATTTATACCATCGTTCCTTTTTTTTATATTGAAAAATAGAACAGATTACTTGCACATATCAAATGGAATAGCTTTCGTTTTACTGAAGTTAATTTTTTTTTACCAAGTCAGCATAGAGGTCACATGTGTACGAACGATGCAGTACCATTATGTCATGGTTATTAAGCTCGATAGAACACGACCCATGGACGTTGGACGACAAAAATACACTTTACCTCATTTATCAACACGAATCAACATGTTTTCATCGCAATTCGTCGGACAATCGGCAATATTCAAATACTAACACGAACTAACCCGTGTGTTATACATGAATCGCTACCTCTCATGGCTATTGACTCCATGAAATTAGTTCGATTCCTTTTGTATCAGAGACGGTTAATACGTGCGCTGTCCGTTTCCACTTCCTCGGGAATTGACTAAGGCCGGTATTTGATCATCACGATTTTTAGTGTTGTATATAAAGGCATAAACTTTCATTCGAGAGATATCTTTTGCTCGAACTTTCATGGGTTGCATGTAAAGGCATCAATTTTTATTCGAGGGACAATTTTGGCACGGTTAGAATTTCCGTCAAAACATGTTTGTGTGACGTCTAAAATGGAAATGGATGCTGACATAACAAGGTGAATGCCATGTTGGTAGGTATAGCTTACATAAATACTTGAAATTGTTCCGTGGGTGAAAGTTGTGCATTTTTATTTGACACTCGAAAGTTTTGGCCAAAATTGTTCATCGAGTGAAAGTAGTTATATTTTTTGCGAAAAGACCTAAATTGTGATAGTTATGTGCAAGTAATGTCTATCGAACGTAACATATAACATAATTCGTACTATTTGCTTCGTTGGAAGGTCTAGACATATGTCCAGAAAGTCGCCCGTCTTCTTTCCTAGCAGCGATCTTGCCAAGCTCGTCAACGGGTGGATTGCATCGGTCGGTCAATACGATGCTGCGAGGAAACACGTCGGAACATGCACGTTTTCTTCTTGGCGATCGAACTCCCATTTCCATTTTGGAAACGCGAAGCCATACTAGTCTTGTCCTATGGACAATAGGGGAAAAAATAGTATTCTTTTATAGGATAAACGATATAAACGATATAAATGGTCTCTGAACTTTGACTCAATATTCAACGTAAACTTTATGAAAATGTTCAATGTGATCTATGAACATGAATTAATGAAAGGATAACTTTGAACATTTTCATATAGGCTAGGGGCTAAATTGAAAATGTACCAAAAATTCTAGATACCACACTGAACTTGCACATTGAGTTAAAGTTCATAAATCACATTGAACAAATTTCAAGTTCAGCGATCACATTTCACGTTGCGCCAAAGTTTAAAGATTATTTATATCATTATTCCTTTTTTATATCGAAAAATAAAACACATAACAAATGGAATATCTTCCATTTTACTAATTTTTTTTTACCAAGTCAGCATAGAGGTCACATGTGTACGAACGATGTAGAACCATTATGTCATGGTTATTAAGCTCGATAGGGCACAACCCATTGTTGTAATACGGACATTGGACAATGATATAAAATGCGAAAAACAAAGAGAAAGCTTCAATAATACGACAAAAACACACTTTACCTCATTTATCAACAGGTATCAACATGTTTTCATAGTAGTTTATCAGACAATCGGCAATGTTCGAATACTAACCCGAACTGACGAGCATGTTAGACATGAATCACTACCTTTCATGGCCATCGATTCCATGAAATTAGCTCGGTTCCTTTTGTATCGCAAACGGTCAATACGCGCGCTTTTTGTTTCCGCTTCCTCAAGAATTGACTAAGGCTGTTATTTGATCGTCTGGATTTCCAGTGAGACCAAAACTGGATACGACGAGAACAGCCTAAAGCTAAATGGGCTCAATTAAGGCCCAATAAGGATCTCATTTGAGAAAAGTCCGGCCCAAAAACCTAAATGCGAGATTTCTAGTCAGACCAGAACTCTAGACGATGAGAACAGCGTAAATCTAAATGGGCTCGATTAAGGCCCAATAAAGATATTATTTGAGAAAAGTCCGGCCCAAAAACTTCCTTGCTGCTGCTGCTGCTTCTGCCTCCTCTTCTCTCTGTGCGTCGGAGAAGCACGGAGATCGCCATCAATGGAGGAAGAGAAAGCGGCGGCTTACTACGACGAGCTCACGCGGAAGGGCGAAGGAGCCGCGCGGTTCAAGCAAGGGCTCGGCTTCTCCGCCTCCGGTGGCTCGGCTCCTCCCGCCAGAGGATCGGCCTTCGTCTCCGCGTCCTCTGCGTCGTCCTCCTCCTCCTCCTCCTTCCTGAGCAGCTTCGTGAGAGCGTCGAGCCCTACCAAGACCTCGCGGCTCGAGAAGCAATCTCAGCTCGAGTCGATCCAGAATAAGCTCAGGAAGAGGCCGGACGACGCCGATAGGCAGCGGTCTAGGGTTTCGGATCGAAGCGAGCGAGGAGATCGTGGAAGCCGGAGGCACCGGTCGAGGAGTGCGGAGAGGGAGAGGCGGTCGAGGAGGAGAAGCCGTAGCAGTGATGGCGATAGGTACAGAGACAAGGACAGGGACAGGGACAGGGACAGGGATAGGGAGAGAGATAGGGACCGGAGGAGGAGAAGTAGGAGCGGGAGCAGAAGCGCGTCGCCGCGGAGATCCGGGAGGGCGCGGGGCGCGTCTCCTCGGGAGAGGCGGAGGCCGGAGAAGAGTAGGAGCGGTTACGGAGAGAAAACGGAAACGGAACGATCAGGGAAGGAGCAGAATGGCGGTGGGATGGCGGTTGATTATTCGCGGTTGATCGATGGATACGATGAGATGGTATGCTGGTTTTCTTAGTCTGAGTTTTCAATCTAAGCAAGAGGACATTGCATATCTATGTTAATGCTATGATGAATGAGCAATGCCTTGTCCAGTTGTATCGAAATATATCGAATTTTTTAACTGTAGTCTTGTCCTTAAACTGGGTAAGCTTTTGTTTCGTGAGCAGACTGCAGCTGAAAAGGTTAAAGCCAAGATGAAACTTCAGCTTGCTGAAACTGGTAAAATTACTGATGTCTTGGTGCTTCTACTGTCTGCATTCCCTATCTGGAACATTTTCTGTCGAAAATTATTTACTATGTTGTCAAAATATGATCGTTCATTTAGGCTTATTAATGTTTTGTGATGAATTGCAGCTGAAAAAGATGAATCAAATGGAATGGGCCCCGGCTGGGAAAGATTCGAGTTTGACAAAGATGCTCCACTTGATGATGAGGAAATCGAAGGTTTGAAGCCTTACTCCTACATGTTAACTTACTGGGCATGCAAACGTGTTGCTTACACGATTTTTAAGTTTTTTGCTTGGGGTTTGCACTCTTGTCAATTGTGTAAACTGTAAAGAACTTGGATTGAGAATGCTTGTTTTGCTTTAACTTGCAAATGTTCCAGTGGCTCTGGTTTCTCGCTTGTGACTATTCTCGTTCGAGTCATGTGTATTTCTTATTGCCATATTGACTAAGTCAAGTCACCTGGACTGTTTGTTGTTTGGATTTCTATTGACACCTCGTTAGATCATTGTCTCCCTGTCGCTTGGTTCCAGTGGTGCACATTTCGACGTTGATGAAAAATGTTGTAATCGCGGGATCATTGAGGCACGCTAGTTTAATAACATTTCTTTTGCCAACGAATGAGAAGAAAAGCTAGTTTAGCAATATTTCGAAATTTTCCTTCTTTTGAGTTCATGAAGAGTATGGCCTCTTTGATGAAGGACTCTTTCTAGGGAGGGTTAAGTTTTGACGAGGAGGAACTGGGGTGTGGTTTGTGTTCTTTCGATCAATATGGTTTTCTTTAAATTGGTTTGCTTCTGCTCTGTCACTTTACAAGCATGAACATAATTAGTGCAAATCCCTAGACGTGATTTTAGAGCATACAAGGGATTTCATTTTAATGCCTTTACAACTGAACAGCGTGGTAGTGGCATTGTCTTAACGAAAATATTCCAATTGCTAAATAGTATGGACAGAAACCTAGGTTGAATTCAATGGAGTACTAACTATGGACATCCATTGTTTCTGCAGCTGCCGAAGATGATGCAGCCTTAGTCAAGCATATTGGGCAAAGCTTCCGTTTTTCGGCTGTAGAGGTGCTCTGAAGTCTGAATTAAGTTAAAACGCTCTTAGCTGCTCTGATAATAGAGGACTACATGATAAACATCTGATTCTTTTTTGCATCACGGTGAAGGCAAGAAGGGAGGAACAGATAAAGACTGCACATGATGAAGCCATGTTTGGATCTTCTCGTACTTTATCAGTCGAAGAGCAGGAGCCCAATGTGGAGAATGAAAACAAGAGTGTTGAGAATATCCCTGTAGAAAGCCTTGTCAGTGAAAAGGTACGAACTTACGTCAATTCTCCCAGTTTTCATTTGAGGTGCTTCCTGAGCTACTAAGGTGAATCTGTGTCGTTTTTTATGTGAAATTAGGTACTTGCTAGGCAACAAGGTTCATGGCGTGACCGTGCTCGCAAAGCTTAAGTGAAGAAACAGGTTGATGGAAGAATCTAACCACCCTTTTTATGGAATTGTTGAGGAGATGTGCTTTTGAAAACGGTGAAGATCTTGAAAGGAATGTGATAGGCAACGTTATGGGCGGCATGGGCATAGACTGGGAGAATGACAAAAGTATATGCTCCCTCTTCAATTCTCAAGAGTTGCACAAAGGAATGAAGCTGCATGGTCCTCGGTGTTTTATCCCCCCGCTGCAATTATCCAGTGACCATGACGATATTGGTTGGTGCTGTGAAGCTTCTTCGAGGTGCAATCGTTGGTTGCAACCTGCAGATAGTGTGAGTCGGCTGTCGTATTGAAATCTAACTTGGAAATATCGTTGTTTTATGTGCGCTCCGTCTACAACTGACAAGGAAATCTAGCCCTTGGCCTCATGTTTTATTTGTTTGCCTCCTGGAAAGTTTGTTTATGTATAGCCACCAGCCACCTTATGTTCCATCGGTGCTGTCCCTCTGGTGCATAAGTCGATCCGATTCCTTGCATTTCGGGAGCCGATGTCAACTTGTCTTCTCCATCATATCTAGTAGTACATTGGCAAATGTTTGTGAATCATGCCTGTAACTCAATACTGTAACTATTCAATGGAAGAACTCTTGCATGAGACTTTTCTTGTCGAAATTGAAACAATGATGTCATTTGTTCAGGATAGATGACGACGGTTGTTCAATTCGACTGTCCGATATATCCAAGATGACATGTGTTACAATGAATAACAGTGGACTCACTCTCCCAGTTTGGCCTTTACAGTATGAACTGCATTTAGTTCACATTGCCAAAACGTGAGAATTTTACTCAAAAAAGTTAAGATTGCGTTTGACATCTTCTATATATCAAGCCGAAATCACCCTTTTGCTGCACTTCTTGCCTGTTCCGATATTGTCCCCCCAACACCAAATGAAAGAAAATGGATCCGTTCCCAAATTCTCTGTGCACTGAATAACAACTAGACGAAAAATATATATAATTAAACATCGTTTCTTATAACTATCCATTTCATCCGCTTCTGCATGGAATTACCCATTTCCTGCTCATAGACCATCGCTCGACTCCACGTAGGCACGCGAGCTACGATATTAGGCTTACTTATATCTTTCCTCATAGCATCTGGAACCAAATCGCGATCTGCTCATCATATCTTGAAAATTGGAAAATAAAAATAGATTGTAGTAAAAAAAAGAGAAAATACTACCAAAAACCCCAAACTATGTCACTTGTGATAAATTTACTCTGAACTTTTTTTTGTGACACGAAAAGTCCCAAACTATGTCACTTGTGACAAATTTACCTTGAACCTTTTTTTGTGACACGAAAAACTCCAAACTATGCCACATGTGATACATTTACCCCATAATACTTTGGCCCATGGGCATTTTCGTATTTTTCCTTTTTCTTTTTTTTTTCTCTCTTCCCCGGTGAGGGCGATCCTCACCGGCATCGGGCGAGGGCTGCCCTCGCCAGCCTAGGCGAGGGTCACCATCGCCAGATCCGGTGAGGGCAGCCCTCGCCCGACGCCAGATCAGACGAGGGTCGCCCTCGCCTGGGCGAGCAAGGGCTGCCCTCGCCCGATGCCGGCGAGGGTCGCCCTCGCCGAATCCGGCGAAGGCAGCCCTCACCGGGAAGAGAGAAAAAAAAAACAGAAAAAGGAAAAAGACGAAAATATCCATGAACCAAAGTATTGTGGGGTAAATGTGTCATAAGTAGCATAGTTTAGGGTTTTTCGTGTCACAAAAAAAGTTCAGGGTAAATTTGTCACAACACAAGTAACATAGTTTGGGGTTTTTTTGTAGTATTTTCCCTAAAAAAAATCATAAAGGAAGGCTCAAATCGTATGTTCGCGCCTGTGTCCTTTTCAAAATTTCAAACCCGCCAAAAAAGTCACCGTCTCTCTGTCTGTCTTGCTCTTTCTCTCTCTCGCTGTTTTGCATTCACCGGGAGGTTTCGAAGATGGCGTCGGTCCCGTCGTTCAACCCATCGGAATCTCAACAGAAGCTTCCGAGTTACAGCCGGAAGCAGAAATCTCTCGGCCTTCTTTGCACCAAGTTCTCTCTCTCTCTCTCTTCCTCTGAACTTGTCTTTTCCAATGCGTGTCCGGTCCTTATCTTGGGCGCGCTTGTGAATCTTGAATGGCCGATGCAGTTTCTTGAGATTGTACGATCGAGAAGGCGTGGATTTGATTGGCATCGACGAGGCCGCCTTGCGATTAGGTCTGAAATCTAGTTCCTTTCTTTCTCTCCTTCGGTAGCTGCCCTAAGGGTTTAATGCAAGACCGTGCATTCATTCGATTGAATTGGCATAAGAGGGGTTTGGGATCTGCAGGTGTGGAGAGGCGACGAATTTACGATATCGTCAACGTTCTGGAGAGCATCGGAGTGAGTTTTTCTTCACTGGGGGTCTTCTGTGTGTTTCTGAAGATATTGTCAAACTCCATCTTTTGAGGGAATGGACGTGGTTTCAGGTTCTAGCAAGAAAAGCCAAGAACCAGTATAACTGGAAAGGGTCGGGAGGAATTCCTGGGGCTTTAAAAAAGCTTAAGGTGGTTCACTCGCCGATTCAATGCCGAAATCTCTACTAGTTAGAGCCGCGATTGGAGTTTTTTTCCGAGCGGGTCTAATGTAATTCATTGTTTTTTTTCTCCAATTTAGGAAGAGGGATTGCGGGAGAACTTCAGCGTTTCCAATTTCGCTAGCTACAATAGAGTGAGAAAACGGGGACCCTTTTGCTCTCTAGCTTTCGTGGTACATTCAATTCAACCGAGAAAAACTTTTGGGCTTTTCACTTTGATTCATCCCTGGTGTTCTTTCTAGGTATCGGATGATGAAGAGGACGATGAAGTTTATTCTGATCCTAACCTTGGAAGTCAGGAAGAACAATCCAACCCCGCATCGGTGCCCAAAGCTTCTGGATCAGCAACAACAGGTGATCTCATTGGAGGTTGTATTGTACAATTTTGCGACTTAACTTTGGATATTTGCACGTCGAGTCCTCTGATCTGTTTGTTTGTGCCTATTTTACAATATTTTCTGCCAATATTTGGAGGCAAATTCTTTGTTAAGTATTTTACTAAATAACCCGATATAAGACAGTTTTAGTATTGATCATTGGGGAAATTTGGAAGGATGGTATGTGATTGCTCTGGGCATCCTTTTGACCATCACAATCAATTTACTATCCTCAAACCTCTCTCTCTCTGGTGACATCTCAGATAATAGAAGAGAGAAATCTTTGGGACTTTTGACTCGGAATTTCGTGAAGATCTTTATCTGCTCAAATGTGAGGCTTGTACTTCTGTGCATTTTGAATTTGTGAAAACTTCTCATTTACCCTCCATTGTTATAATGTGCTATGCGAGCGTTCACATCTCTGTATTATTACAATTGCTAAGGTGGCTGTCTTCTCCCTTGATGAAGCTGCTAAAATATTGCTGGGAGATGGTCAGAGTTCAATCATGAGAAGTAGTAATCATCTTCCTCTTTGTGTCTCATTTTGCTGATGAGGGGAGCTTGGAAATTCTAATTAGACTTCTCTCAATGAATCATTCTGCAGCAAAAGTAAGGCGACTCTATGATATTGCCAATGTATTGTCTTCTATGAACCTTATTGAGAAGGTAAAGACATATAGTATCAGGCACGAAATTGTCCATAGACCAGCCTTTGTCGTACTATTCACCAAATCTTTGTTGCTGATAAATCCTGGGACTCCGATGTTTCTTTGGTCATATGCAGACGCATACTACAGATACCAGGAAGAATGCTTTCAGGTGGATAGGGCCCAGAGAGAAACGGGCTGGATCTGTTGATGCTCTAATGATAGATGACCCTAAGAAAAGAATGTTTGGGACTGAAATCACGAACACTGATTTCAAGAGAAATAAAATGAGTCCCTTAGTTGAGGGAGTTTCAAACTTCAATTCGAATGCACAAAAACAGCCGAAGAACAAGAGACCAATAAAGGAGCTCAGCAGAAGCAAGTCGGAGCAGAACTCAAAAGAGAATTCAAAGAGTTACCAGTTTGGTCCTTTTGCTCCTCAAGACATTCCCAAAGTGATTGCCTCGAGGACCGAGAACAGAAGTACGCAGCAACCCCGTGACTGGGAGAGTCTTGCATCCGCATATGGTCCTCAATATCACAACCAAGGTAATTCATGTTTATCAAGTGATGTCTTATGATATTATAGATGTTTAGTAGAGAGATATCACTATCTGGAGCTGTTGCTGCCATGGCTGATCCGAAGCTTTCAATTATTTATTGCAGTACGACACCTTGGTCTACAATCAACAGCTAGTAGTTGAAATTGCACTAGAAAACCAAGAAAATATGCTTCCGGTGCATTTCTCCATTGGCTATAAACCCTCACTTTACAAGTTCGGGTCTTGCCTAAGATGTTAAAATTCCAGGCCATCTCCACTAGATTATCATCAAATTTAGTTTATTGCAACTGTTTATTCATCCTGCTGGGGTCAGGGTCATGGTCATTGTCATGGTCATGCTACCGTATTTACTCTAAGTGTATATTATTGAGGACCGTCCAGTGTCTGGTCGGATTTGGGTCTGTTCAACGATTGGTGAAACCTTTCGTTCAGGCAAATACTAACTTTCAAAAGTGAAAAATGAACTGCATCGTCTCAACCCCCGCTGTGTCACCAGAACCACGTACATACACTTTACCTTTTTGTCCTTAGACGTCAGTTAATGCCGAAAAGAGGCCCGTTTTGGTTTATTTTTCCCCCCTTTTTTCTATTAATTGAACATCTCTCTTGACAGTCGACATGCGATTTGTTCTTACGCCATTGGTTTTCTTATGATGTTGCAGCCTTGAGGGACCTCTTCGGCCACTACTCGGAAGCATGGAAGTCTTGGTTCTCTGAAGTTGCTGGGAAGAGCCGCTCTCGTGCAAATACATGATGCTCCCGGATCTCATCGAATGCGGCATGACACCTAACCGATTGCTCTTTATCCTCTATTGGAATGGGAGGTGATCTTGTTTTGTGCATAATTTCGAGGCCGTAACTTTCAATAGTCTTACATTTGTACATTACCATACTACTCGTTTGGTAATAGTCGACAACTTCGATGGGCACTTTCTGCTAGGCTTACATCCAATTTTAGTTCGCATATGATCATATCGTGGGGGGAAACTGTGATCGGAGGAGAAGATGGCGTGGAAATGGATCGAATCTTAAGTAAGGCGCTTCAGCACATGATGTATGTTGTTGTCGCTGCATCGAAGACACATTCTAGGGGCGCCAAAAGCTGGATAGATGCAGGACAAGACAATTCTTAATTTGCATGAATTGCAGTTTTTTGGCCATAAACAGCTCCCTGTTCGATAACCCGTTTCCTTGATTTTACTTTTCACTTTCTCTGGTAGAATTTCTCAAACGTGATGGAGGGAATAAAATAGCTGAAGCCATGAAAACATCTTTAATATACAGAACCATTATAGTTACTTCACTGCAGTTACAAGATGAACCATCTAGGATTTTGTTCGGCCTGATATCTGCTAAAGCAACATAAGTAGAGTGGTGAACGGTACTCCCGATTCTTCTCATGAGTGTCTAAAATAACTCTCCGTCAATTTATTTACCACAAAAGATCCGAGGGCTCCGCAGTTCAAGAAAAGATCCCTCATGGTCTTTTTCATTACTATATCTGAATAACCATAAGTACCCAGGAAGTATGTATAAATTACACACTCTGCTCTAGTTTCCAATACACCATATACAGCCCACGATAAGCTAGTAAACTGAGAGCTTTTCACAGTTCAAAATTAACACACGCAAGAGCAATAATGAGAAAGAGCGACTTTTATCTTCGGGTCATTAATCTCAGCTTAAACCCTTATTCCAGCACCCAGTGTTGAATTCATCAATCCTTTGAACCATCCATCAGGTGCTATCCACCAGAATCACCATTATTATTGTTTTTACCGAGTACCTGTATCATAAAATTATCTCCTCCTGAACACTGATATTCATAGTCTTGTTGGGGAGGACAATGCTGTTGATCACCACCACCTCATCTTCAACGGTCACAGCTTCACCTGCATTAAGATACTTTCACATAAATCTTAAAGCTGTCCAAATATCTACACCTTGACGTAAAACTACAAAGGGATGGGAAGCATCTCAGAGGTACCAAGGATTGTTATTCCAAGCTTTGCGTTGTAGTCTCCTCCACCCTGTAAACAGTAATTTTAACTCAGAATTAATGGCCCAAAACCATTCAAGAAACTGAAAGAAAAAGGACACGTGATGAATAGAGAGAAGCTTTTCCAAAGGCACTCATTATTGTTAAGTATGATATTGCAAAGGGAAAGAGAAGAAACAGGACGTAGTGCCCCACATTGATTCCACCATTATGATGCTGTTATGTCAAAAAAGTTTTCACCTTCAAAGCAACTAATTTGACTCTTATATCACCCTCAAGCGTGAGTTTTTGTAACTACAAGCCTGAAACGAAGTTCTTTAGCGTGTTGAGGGGAGGAGCTATTGAGTGAAGTTAATATAACGTACATCTTTGTGTGCACTATTCAGAAGCTAGAAAGCAAACTGTTATTTTCTCATCCATGAAAAATTATACTATTCTCGCCAAGTCTTTTCACTTGCCTGGGCACGTGACCATTTCCCAATGGAAGATTTCCACCCAATAATTGAATGAGTAACAACTGCATTTTCCTGAATGAGGAAACACATAAACGTCAAGCTTGTGTTCAAATTGCCGCATTCTCATATCCTATGACTGGTCGCAAACCTTGATCTCAACATCATCGAGGATGATACAATTCATGAGCCTGGCACCTGCTCCTACGCGTGCGTTAGCTGATATGGAGACATTAGGTCCAATCTGCTCCATACAAAGATGGAAGCTTCAATCATATAAATCAGGGAGGGTGAACTATCAAAATGTAACAAAGAACTATGTAACCAGTAAGAGACTTTTGTATGGTTGACATCCATAAAGGTGGAAAGAGTTCATATCTTTAACAGTTCTATTGCTACCATTGGTTTTGTCTGACCAGTAAAACATGTCACAGCAATTCCAAAAAACTGGCCCATCTCAAAGTTGCTAAAGTTGATATCTGATCCTTTCAAACTTGTGTCATATGGAGATTAATGCAAGCAATCCACTCAAATGATCCTGAAGAAACCTTGACAATTACATCAAGCAAAGAACAAGAGCAACACCTTACATACAATCTAAAGCTGAAATTTAGAATAGTGGAATTCCATTTAACGGTATGCACATACAGTGTTCAACAAATCATCATATTAAGAAAGTTTCAAAGTTCAAACATCATAAGATATCAGTTGTTATGAACAGATAATTCAAGCAAATCAAGAAGAAGAAATAAAAAAACTGACCTTGGCAGTTGGGTGCACTTTTGCCGATGGATGAATATAGACATTGCCAACAATGGTAGTACCCTTTGTACCATCTCCACTTGCCAAAAGATGGGGAGAGGTAAAGCGAAACTGTGCAAGATACAAACCTGAACATTTTAAGGACATTCTGCAGGATTTGACGCAATCAATCAGTTACAAGACCATTCAAATTCAAGTTGCCAAAAATAGATTGAACAAACAACATTATATCCAGCATACCCTGGAGTCTTTATTTGTTCCCAAAAGTCCATGGTTTCATATGTATACAGCTGCTTTTTTCCAGCTAGAGGTGATAGAATATCTTGATCCAATCGCACGAAATCTGTGGGGAGAGTCCTGTTGAATTGCATATATATTAGGAACGACGACATAAGAGGAGAATAAGGATTCTAATGCGGAGGCAGAGGTCACAAAACAGCCAAAAACAGGGCCAACAAACATGAAGAGCATTGTCAAACTCATTAACAATGAATGAAAACCAAGTGATGGAGAGTATAAACTGCAACAGAACAAAGGATGCCATTCATCAGAGAAGTACTATTAGACTTACAATATTGAGTCTGAAAATATTTCCTAGACAGATTTGACAAAGCTTAATCACATGCAAAAACAATGAATGAGCCATAATTCTCAACATATTTCTGCTTGATTTTACTACATAGACAGATGGTCTATTAATTTTCATTTGCTTCCACTAAAATAGATTGCCATCAGTAATTTGTTTGTTTAGGACAACAAAAGCATCAGAATTAGATTACTACAAAATGATCATACAAAGTCGCAGCATGGATAACCCATGCCTCCGCTGTATAAGTAGATACCCCAGCAAAGAGCAGAAGGCTCTAAAAAAAGTGAAATGCATACCTTGTCGCAGGTTGTAAGGCCTCAAAGCTAGATACACGTTTCAAATTGGCTGGGAAGCGATGAAAAGTCAGTTCGAAACTACATTAATCATAGAAGCTGCTCTAAAGTAAATTGAAACGCCATACATAAATTCTTAATAAGCAAAGCAGATCTTAGTCAGCAAGCTGCAGAATTTGCTAAAGTTGCAAAATGAAACATTTTCCAGTACGAAGTCTACATCTAGAAACTAAAGGACTTTAGCAAAAGCATCTGTATACAGCAGTTTTCCGCATCGATTTAACTGACCTCTGTCTTTCCGTTGAGAGGACACATCGCGGATGGCGCTGAATATATCTGGTGTAAATATGTAGACACCACAATTTATCAGATCACTCACCTGCATCGCAACGTAATATCAGCTCTTTAGGGGAGAAATGTGGGTTGTAAGATGAATGCCAATCTAGACAATGCCAGAGGCTCAATTGTGCAAATTGGCAAAGAAATAATCTCTTCAAGAACATACAAAAGTCTCTGGTTTCTCTGTGTAATGCATCAACTCTTTGGTACTTGGATCAGCTATCAGTTCACCAAACTGGCTTGCTGATTCTACAGAGACCTGGAGGACATACAAAGAATAAGAGACATGAATGGAGAGCCTACAGAAAGACAAGAAGTAATTGACCAACCTTAATTACGAGTAGGGTTCCCATCCCACCATATCTTCTATGAGCCTCTGCAAATATGACAGGCAAGAATGGAACTAAGATTTTCTCAACCAGTAAATAATTGTGGTGTAGCTTCCACGGCAACAAAAATTACAATCATCATAATATGAAAGCAAAGTTCATTTAAAGCAAAATGACAATAGTTACCGAGCATTTCTGGCAACGGGAAACTGCAGCAAACATCACAGTTCAGCAAGAAGATATGAGACTGCAAAGAAACAATAAGCATCACTCTCAGTTTTCTATCTGGAAACTACCGAAAGAACTTAACAATTAAATAAGTACAATGGAATCCTACATCCGCTGCAATTATGGGAGATGATATCATCACAAAGAAAATGCATCACAGCTCTTTCACATGGAGGCAAATATTTGGCCAGTAACAGGCAGAAGCTATATTCAACTGAAAATGAGGATGAGATATTGAAAGTAAAAAGGCAAGAAGAAAAGAAAGCGATGGCGTACTAAACACAGAGAAGGGGAATGGTACAAGAAATCGAACCGGGCTGTCTTCCATTATCAGATCTCTGAAATTATACAGACCACCAGCTGAACCATGTGGCTTGTCTTCCCTTAAATATCTGAAAGCGATGATAAAAATTACAACAACATCCAATGAAACCGATCTAGTGAGCTTCTAAAGTAGTCTAAACGCGCCGATTGAATATGAGAAGAACTTGCCTGACAGGGACCTTGAGTTCGTTCGAAATTGAGGAGACATAGAGCGCGAATTCACGCTCCTCGTAGAAACCAATGAGATAGATCTGAGCTAGATTCGGAATCTACACCACAACCAGTGTCCCCATTTACTTTCAAATTGCAGAGAACGAAAAGGGAATAGTACCCAAGCAATCCGCATCCAAAACCATACGTACTCTTTTACAAGCAGAGATCGGATGGTGAACCATGGGCTGCCCTGCCAAAGGGAAAAGCGGCTTCGCGATGTTCAGCGACAACGGTCGAAATCGAGTACCTGCGAAACCGAGAATTTACGGAAACGAAACAACGTCAGTAGAAGATCTAGAGCGCGCGACTTTCCTCTACATTAGGAAGCATTCAATTCATTTCTCGGAGCTCGGCATCCATTGATTGGAGAACATATGAACAGGTACTTTCATTCGGTTCGGCAATTAACGTAACTGCAGCAACACATCATTGCTTGAACCAGAGAAAGCTGATTTCCACGAACACCGACATTCCGAGAAAACACACACACATGCAGACAGGTACAACACATTCAACGCGATAAATCCCTCGCGCTCTCCTCCGGTTCAACAATTTCGGAAATCCTGAGAAGCCGGAATCGAACGGAGCTCCGCCGGGCGTACCTTTGGTCGGACCGCCGACCATGATGACGGCGACCACTCTCTCCTCGGCGCTCCCCATTGTCGGGACCACGAAGAACAACAAGAAGCCCCCGCTAGATCCGGATCTCGAGCGATCTCAGTCGGGAAACGGAGACGACAGCGGAACTAGAGGAGAAGCATATAGCCAAAGAGGAATCGAAATGTGCGAATCAGCCGCGTGCAATTATTGCACGTCGACCCCCGGTCGCTAGCTACCAGAGAGCATTCGACGCTCCAGAAATTGCCAGTTAAGTACGGCTCGCGCAGGTACGAAAGAGAAGAGGCGTATGGGATTGATGAGGAAGGAGAAGAAGAAGCGAGAGAGAGAGAGAACAGAGCACGTCCAAATCGTGATCCGGTGGCGGAGGGAGCGAGTGGTGGTGGTGGTCGGGAAGGGGGCTGCAGCGAGAGTGGACTCAAGATGGCTCTCGCACACTCATCATCAGCAAGCTGCCGATAAGTACGGCCTCCAGTCTTTTTACTGTACAAGAGCGCCTCCCTCCCACCTGCCATGCAGCGAAGTTTCCCACCTTGTCGTTTCTTTAGCTTTTTCCTCCTCGTTTTTCTCTTTTTGTCCATTTTGATTTGCAGATGAACTATGATTGAGTTAATCCTCGGGGAAAATGACACAAGTGACTTATGAATTTTAACCCAACGCTTAATATAATTCTTAAAATTTTAATTCGTTTAATGTGATCGCTGAATTTTAATTATGAATATACATAATTTAAAATCTCAAGATCTAACTAGATTTACGAGTAAATTAGATCTAACAGTAATCGAGTTCAAGTACGTCAAAAGTCTACGATCTAGGATCAGGGATCAAACCAGCAGTTCCCAACTCCGAAAACCTACATCCGGGAGGCTCTCTAGCTCCGAAAATCGGCTAAGTTCTTTTTCCTCTCGTAAAAGAAATTCCGCCTTTGGAACACTGAATTTATGGAGGGCGATGGTTCGGACTTGATGCAAACTTTTGAACTTTTTTCGGGATTGGTTAGGGGACTCAACTCGGCTGATCGCACGCTTCTAATTTAGGTTCATGGTCAAACCAAAGATAGTTCGGCCGGGGATCTTAGTCAAGCAATCATATTTGGTCGTTGGTTGTTCTTAAAGGTTCGTAAGTCACTAAATTTGGAGCACAGATCTTGTACATGAATGAATCCAGAGCTTGTTTCGGGATCAAACGACAAAAAGTTCTCATTACACAATATATATATATATTTGGTCCTAGAAGGATGTGAAAGTTTACCCTTCAAACATACAGAATCCTCCTTGGACGCCGACAGTTGATTTAATTCCCTTTCAAAAATCAAAATATGGCTATATACATACCCCCTTCCTCTCGTGTAAATGTAGATTCTATGTGAGGTGATGCGTATATTCCAAGCGTACCTCGATTCAGTTGTTTCCGGACCCTTTTTATATATTGAACTGTTTGCCCATAGTAGCTTATATATGTAAGAATTGGGCTTGTAATAAATAATTAAATAAGGCCCAAGCCCATGTGTCCCACTTAAGCCCATCTAATTTTGGGTAGTTGGACGTTGGATATGATTTGAAATAGTTGTATACTGGAGGGAGTATGATCCGGGTGGACAGTTTCCTCATTGGAATTGGGAGTTGCCCACTAAGGACTGGTTCAGAAAAATTGGAACTGAGAACTGCCCGTTGGTTCCATGGATCCACTCAGGAACCAGACCAAATCGGTCTTACCGAGAGCGAGAGAGGGAGGTAATGAACGGCCGGAGGCACAGCCGTGAGTTGATGGGAGTTGAGAGTCGAGGTCACGAATTGATGAACATTGAGCTTGAAAGTTGAGACCATGAGTAAGAGATAGAGAGACGACTCTAACAAGGTGGAGGTGAGACAAAACGAGCACTTAGTTGATGGGCATTAAACTTTAGATTAGGGATTTTAGGATTTTTTTAATTTTTCTTAATTTTTTTTTGTTGGAATTGGCGGCTCCTTGCCTAGAACCGGTTACCAGACCTATACTCACCTGTTGCAATAAATTGGAATTGGGAACTAGACTGGTCCCCATGGGAACTGCCGGTTCCGGGCCAATCCGATCTAATTCCAAGCGGTTCCCGGTTCTTTTGCACACCCTTACTTGTATAAATGTTTGTTGATAATTGTTGGCTTTAGTTGAATTCGGGAATGTGTGTGCGTATATATACATAGCCTTTTTGGTAGATTTTAGAAATTACGATTTTGTGATTATACTTCGATAATACGTTATGTTGGTTTGTGTTTGAGACTGTGTCCTTCGATTAGGAGGATGGTCACCTATTCTTATAAGAGTCAAGGTACGATAATATTAGTGTCAAATAATGATATTGTGATCAAAGGGAAAAATTATACTTCAAAAGCCCAATAAAGTAACGGGCCGAGGGCTCGTGAATTCGTGCTTGCTACGAGCAAGACATATTCAAAAGCCCAAACGTAAGATGCTTATCAAATGACATCATAAGAACCCAGTACGTTCAAGAGATCAAATCATGAGCTATCGTACGTAAACACATGAAAATATGCTTTAGGCAATACAAACCATGCTCAGGTATATATATAACCAAATAAGAATACACCGCGTTCATATCAATGCGACCGCAATTGCCTAAGACTGAAGCGTTTCCGGTCAATCTTTTCTAGAAAGCGCGGCGGATCAAGTGCAACCGGGCCGCGTTCAGACCACAACGGGACGACGGAAGGGTATCATCGTCTTTTCGCGACGGGCAAATGCTGACCTTCCTTCCCCCCCCCCCCCCCCCCCAGACGACGACGTGTCAAGCTCCAATTGGGCCATAGCTTCTAGATGGCGGGCCCACCCCCATTACAGGAACCGCGCCGCGGAGTTCAACGACGCGCACGTTCGACGTGCATTCGTTCGGCTTTGCATATATATATATATATATATATAACGAGATCGAGCTGTCATACAACGCAATCTCCAACGCTCGTTTCGCGGACGGAAAACTTTTTCTTCGATCTCCATCTCCATCTCCATCGTCTCTCTCTCTCTCTCTCTCTCTCAGAAACTTTCTCTCCTGTTCTTCCTCGGCGATCGAGAGATCGGATCCGGCGAACACATGGAGGCGAACCACGAATCCTCGACGTGGGCCGACCAGTGGGACCACACCCCGGGGCCGGATCCCAACCCGGCTCACGGGTCCAAGAGGCTCGGCGGATCCACCAGGACCGACAGGTACAAGCAGAAGGTCGGCGAGGGCCTCGTGAAGACCAAGACCGCGGCGTCGCACGGCGTGCAGAAGGTCAAGGAAGGGACCGCCGTCGGGTTCCGGTGGATCAAGGACAAGTACCAACGGACCACTCGGAAGCACTAGCTCTGGCGCCGGCCCGGCCGCCCCGGATTTTTGGCATCGTCTGCGTTTCCTCCTTCCGATCGTATATACATATGTCGCTCGACTGGTATTGTTTTTTTTTTTTTCTTTCTTTCAATAAGGATCGGTCGATCCTTCGTGCTCTTTCTAGCGTTTGATGATTCATGTTGGATTATTTGATTTTGTATGTAATTAAGAGGTATGTTGAATTTTGGTTTTGGAGATTGGACCTCATCCCATCCATATATGTATTCACTTTGGATTAGTTAAGGTTCCATCTATGACTTTGATCTTGTGATTCATGTAGATTTCGATATTCTTCCAATCAATTCATTACAACTCTTCAAAATATTGAGTAGTCAATGTTTAGCAAAAGTGATGCGATAGAATATGAAAAGTTGCGACTTTTATTAAGATGGAATATGCGATTGATAGCCTATATAAAGAGTCCGGTCCCCTCTCCACCTATAGACAAAGGAAGTTGAATTCTATAAAATACGCTAAGAAAGAATGGGTCGAGGGAAACGAATCGGATTTATTCGTTTTCTCATATTTTCGCAACAATTTTTTCTTGAAATTATTACCGGTGGATAAAAGGTACGTGTCTCCAACCCTTTTGTTGCGAATAAATCATGAAAATCTAAGATTCTTTGATATCGAATTTCCATGTAAAGGGATTACATTATCTCTAACCCTCATATTGGCTACACGACGTAAATTTGCCGCTGATTTTGAGCAAGTCTTGCTTATGTAATTGAAGATGGGAGCTAACTCGATCTCAACCATCAAATGGTGCGGGATCGCATGCGTCGGTCGCGTGTGAGAATGTTTCGCCGATCTTCGCATTTGAATCTCGACTTATCCACGTGCCTTTCACGTGATACGATTGACTTCAATCAGGGGGCCAGCGTAAGCCTTTGGGCTATGGATGCAGTATGCGTGGGGCTTATATATTCTGTAAAAACCACGTAGGTGCAATTGGTGAAATGATAGAATAGGGCTTCCATAAATTCATCTTTAATTTGGGGCCAAGGGCCTAAGGCCGCCAACTTCCACTTCCATATAAATTCATTCAAGTCTACTCATGAAATCGACACCACAAACACTCATTCGAAATTTTTTTCTTTTTATAAGTGAAAAAGGGGTGAGAAGTGTCGACAACAACGAGAACTTTATTTTGGGAGTCCCATGCTCCCGACAGAATGTTCGGTTCGAGTCGTAAATATCGCTCATCTTCAACGAGCCAATAGCTCGCCACGAGGCGACGATGAACCCACGAACCCGGGCCTTTTGAGGGCGAGGAGTGATTGGGTTGTTTTGAACCCGTGACTTTTTGAGTGTAAACCCCGCATCATTAGGCCCACCCAGAGGAACTTGAAATGAGAGAGATATTTGAGGATTTCTCGAAGGGGATAAACCCTCGATAATAGGTTAAAGCTAGATTTGATGTCTGTTGATCGAGTTTGATGAAAAGATATTCCTCTCTCCTTTCTATCGATTTCGGGTCAAGGACTACCATCAAAACCCTTTATTTTGGTGGAATAGCCATTCCCGAAACATGATCTTGAATATGCATCTGGTTAGATTTATCTTTTCTTTGTGTCTTGGCTTGGCTTCATTGATTGAATTGGAATTCCTAGTTTATTCAACCTATGCATCATGATCGTGTCCGCCAGAGATCACACCTGACGTAGAAAAGCAACGGAGCTGATTCGATTGCCATTGTCAGCAACAGTGGCAGACCAATCCAAGTGCACTTTTTGAATCGGATAAGGCGTTATTTGCCTGATCCCTCGAGCAATGTATCTTTGTGCCGGAAGAGGAATAGGTCGACGAGAATACGGATGTGATCGCTCTTTGATTAATCGGGAAGGATAACAAATCCGAGCATTTGTCTAATCTCTTTTCGCCATCCTTTTCATTTGTAGTTGAAACTATCCCTCCAAAGATAACTCGACAAATTTATGCACGACTTGGCACGATGTGAGAGAGAGGGAGAGTTTCATCGATACGAGAAGCAAATAGTTGCGTGGAGGAATCAATAACTCGACATAAACCAACAAGCAAATATTGCGCCACTCCACTTGGTCGGATGAAATTGACATGCATCCTGCCTTTCAAGACTCTTTCATATAATTCCAATAGCTTCTCTCGCTCCTCAAAAGCTCACGGAATGGAGTTGATGCTCCCACATATATAGTATGAGCAATTAAAGCAAGTAATGATACGATATTCGAGTTATTTCACGAACATAACACTCCGTACATATTGAGCTCATACAAAAGGAGAGAGCGAGGGGGGTACGTCACCATAATTAGTCAGCATAAATTATATCGAGGGTTTCGGTGTGAACTCGAGGGGATTCACCGATCTTCGACCTCCACTTGCATGTGATATCACATGTGAAGTCGAGTGGATTATGCTATTATCATCGGATGAGAATCTCCGTTACAATATTGTAGTATTTTTCTTAAAAAGTTCTATTTATTTCGAAAGTGGAAAGGGGTGAATGTTGGCATATTTTGGGAACATGAGGTACGCAAATCCTCGGCATGACAGATGAGCCCACATCTTCTGTCTGATCTCCCCCGGTCGTTGTACAGATCTGTGTCCTTCGCAATCTTAGGAATGATGAAAACGAAGCCAGGCGAGTAAAAGATGAACGTGGCGCAATAATAAGGAGACGCGGTTAGTTAAAAAGGAGGCCTAAAACCCTCGTGGGCCCTTGGATTCTACCTAACCTACGATGCTACAGTGCCCAAGCTTTAAGTGCTGGCTAGGTTCTTCAGGTTCTAGAACGAAAACAAGAAACGAATACTCCCATTTCTAGGTAAAAAGTTCGTGTACAGGCTCCTATAAGTGATGTAAATGATGGAGAATTGAGTAGGAACTTGCGAGTGCTTCTAGGGTGAGATTCGATACGAGTCCTACTGTCACTCGACGTTTAGATAGCAGCACCGTCTCAACCGATCTAATCGAGCATTGATTTCGCATCTGACAGTACAGTTCTTTTACTTCTTTGATCAGGCTGAATCCGGCCTTGGACAGCTCCAATTAATTCATTAGCTGCTCAATTGACCAGTGGCCTAATTTGACATTCGATATGATTCTGAGAACCCCGTTATCTTACAATCTCCGATGCCAAAATCCAAATACTTGCCGACCCTTTGATTTAGCATGCTGAAGCTAGCTAAGGCACGCAAGAGGTCGGGCCAAAAATTGATATTGGAGGGTGGGAGAGAGTAGTTGATTTTCGATAAGGTTCTGGCATAAGTTGATTTGGACGGAGGCAATGGTGACGCCACTGTGGAGAAGGACCAAGAAGCAGGACTTCCGAGTGCAAATCATCGATCACAGTCACAGTCCTAATCTTTCACAAGAATGTTTGTTCTTGTTTTTATTTATTGGATTAGACATTATCCTCATCAAGGTGGGCCGATACCACACCTTGGTCTGGTCCCGACTTCATGAGAAAGTCGAAACTAGGGGGTGCTTCTTTTTCTAATCAACTTTTTCCAATTTGTCATATGCTTTTTGGTAGGCCAAAAGCATCGCACTTTTCACTGGTAAGTCTTGTCGCTGATGTCCAAGGCTGTCCCCATTTGTGTTTATCCTTCTTTTCCCATCTTTTTATCTCCGTGAAAGCAACTCTTTCTCCCTTTGATGCCCTCGAAGTTAACTCTTCCCTCTTTTTCCTCTTTGGCTTCCTGTGTCTCCCCTTTCTTTAACTAGAGAAGAAAGAATAGGAGAAGCACCTGTCTCCTTCGTGCATGCTCCACTTGGCTCGGGAGTATATAGCTCAGTCGGTCGAACTCTGTTCTTGCAATTGGGTCGTTGCGATGTTGGTTCCATGGTCGAGTACGTGTACTTATATAATGCTTTAACAGCACGGTATATGTAGCAATGCCCTCATATGGTTTTAGGTAAAGCTTAATCATCGGGACGGACCGGGGATGAGCCTGCCGAAGCACATGAACTCGTTGGGTCCGATTATCTTAATTCCCGTGTCTGCCCTTTTCAATCATAGAGGTATAGTTGCATGGCCGGTATTACAAGCCGAGCCAGCTCAAATAATCGGTCAACTAGCCCAGCCTATCAACAACCATTCGATTCGCGATTCCATCTTTTTCTGGACAGCAACTAATTATGCCGATGCATCATTGTCATAGGAGGATTTTGGTCATCGATATAAGAAAACGGACTAATTCTGTGTTCTTTCTTTTTTGTTATTCAAGTCTGCATTGAGGGTCAATTTCGGGCACACAAAGCTACGTACCAATATGATTCCAAGAAGTTACATCAAATCGAAATCCAACTCGAGATCTTATGCTTCTTTAGTTGTACTTTTAAAGTTCAGCCAGCCTTATCAACTGCGCCTACTCACCGATTCAGAAGTCGTGGAATCTAAACATTTTCTGCAATCCAAGCAATTTCTTATTTCTTCAGTCCAACGAATTCTTTCTGGGGGCTCGAGCTTCATAAGATTCAAGGCCTAACCCCGCGTTGAATTAGGCGCCTGTTAACATCCAGAAGAACGTCATCACGTTCTGGTTCTGCTTTGATTGGTGGTCAATGGTGCGTGCGTGATGCACCATGAACTAGCTAGGCACCTCACCTGCCCCTCCTCCACACGAACCATCTGGGGATTCGATTGGATCTCCCATTGTATTGAGCATGCCATGTATGTTTCCATTTTGAAATGCGGTCAATGTTTCGTGACGTCCTGTGGGTCAGCCTTGCTAGCCACGTTTGAGGACCAAAAGCTCGCACTATGAAAATGAAAGTGAGTGAAATCAACCACGTCCGCGAAAGATACTTTGAACATTTTGAACGTTCCTCTCTTTGAGGGAAAAAATTTGAGTCGTTAGGGTTTTGTAAAGTATTGAAATCATGTGCGCTTTTATATATACTACTATCTTCATATCGGTGTATAAACTAAGTTTATGGATTGGTCTTAATGTCTCGAGCGATTACTTGTTTTAGGAATCATATACCTTCTTGAATATGCAAGAATTCGAGACATTATTGCTGGCATGTGACCACTTGGACGCCCTAATATATGACCCAAAATCAATGTTAAAGTGACGACTTCAAAAATCAGATTTTCACTCTCACTTTAGTTCACTACGTCATTGTTGTATCTTCCATAGATGTGGAATTTGGATATTACAATATCACTTTTCTAATTGAGTAATATATGACTCAAGTAGTATCGACATAATTTCAGTGAAACTAATTGAGGATTCATTCGTTTCGAGAAAAAAAACACTTTTGAAAGGAATTTTTTTTATTT